AAGAGTTTTAATTTCGAGGTTCTACAGCCTGAACGCACGGACTTTTGTCCCCATGTTCGTTAGTAGCTTTTACTTTTTCTAGTGCGAGATTGACTTTTGGGGAAAAGTTTCACCTGATTTCAGACAGCACCCAGAACAAAGACATCGAATCATGAGTAGTTCTGGACAAGCTCAAGAAACTCAAGGTAGCCGAGGGTCTGTTTATATCTGCTATAAAGGACATGGTCCTAACTAAAAAGTTCCTTGTTGTTATTCGCGAAGACATTGTTCTCAAATAGGGAAAGGACAATGACCACCAAGCCCTGAGACAAGGCACTAAACCCTTTTAGTAAACAATGCCATTGTTGGGACAGTTTAGAGTGGGAGAACAATTAGAACAACAAGAGAAATAGGTTGCGCCCATCTTTGTAAGTAGAAGCTTTTGCGTCGACTTGAAGCTCATCATCAATCTTCCACTTTAGCCCAAAATTCTCAAGAATCCCGATATCCTAAGCGAATTTCTGGAATAAACTTCACCAAGACTACTCTATCATCTTCAAGAACTTTAGAGCTTTTCAATCATGGCAGATTCTTCAGAAACTCATTCCTTGTCTAAAGAAGGAGCTTCCGAATACGCTCCACAAGCTGACATGACTGCTGGACAGTCGTCAACTACTGGTGCGAGCAAGAACCTTCATTCAGCTCCTATTTCACCGCCTGACTACGGGACGCAGGATGGATACGAGATGCAATCGCTGCCCCGATTGGTCAATCAGTCACCGGCTGCTCTTCCTGTCCCACCTCCACAAGTACAAGCTTATGAAGAGCCATTTAACTTCAACTTCTACAGGCCCAAGAAAGATATAAGAACATACCTACTCTCTCTAGTCTTCCTTCTAGCACTAGCTCTTGTTGCCGTGGCAACCGTCTTCGGCGTCAAATTCGCGAACTTGAAGCAACAAATGAAAGATCAACCAAAAGCACAAAATACAACATTGACGGTATACTCCACGGACTCCACTTCTTTCCTCAGTACTTACACATCGACTGCATCAACAACGCTGTCAACCACGGCTTCTACTACATTGTCGAAGACACTGTTGACAACACTAGTAGAATCCTTCACACTGCCACCAGTAACAACAGTCTCCACTCAAACAGACTCAACCACTCTCTTGAGCACAGTATCAACTACAGAATCGACAACGTACTCGACTACAGACTCTATTACACTATCGATGACTCTTACACAGTCTGTAACACTACCGCCGGTAACGGCAGTTTCGACTCTCGTCCAGCAAACCACTATCGTCCAAATCTCAACCTTACAAACCACCCTACCCACAGCCACCACACAACTGAGCACTGTAACAGCGACATCTACTTTGTCCACAATACAGCCGTCAGCGGTGTCAGCGTGTTGGGTCCTCCTGGATGACATCTGCAACAACTCTACTCAAGTCCCTCCAGATTTGACTAACGATGGCTTTGGAAACTGCTCAACGATCTACCGATTCTTCTACTGTGGCCTAATCAACCATCTAGAGGCTATAGGTGACTTAATCCTTCCAGCGGATTCGTCACCTATCTGCGGTGGAATGAAAGAATTCTGCAATAGTAACGAAGCAAACAGCACAGAGGCATTGGTCGAACCTCCCGCTCCACCTGAAATTCGCATCATCTTGGCATCCACAGGTATCGAGCAGGTCTCTGGTGGGACAAATACTACTACCTTAGCAAAGCTAGCTGAACATACTTCAATTTGACCTCTATAACTATGGCGCACGCCATTACCCCTCAATCCATCGCATTGTCATTCTCCAGAATTCGAACCGAACAGGTAGGGAAATGTACGGCAAAATAGGCCAGAGAAATTCTCTGTAAATAATTTAAATTGCAAACAACATCTATTTTGTGTGATGAAATCAAATATTAAAATCGTGACAGTTTGGTTGGTACGCAAATACAAGTCACCTCTTTTGCCGTGACCTAATGACTTGCCTGAACTCCTTATCTACTCATGCTTCCATGCTTCAAGGGAGCTCTTGATGACCAAGTCCCGCTACTCAATCTCCGTTACCCCTTGCAGCAGTAGTGAGTTGTGAACACGTGCCTGCGGTGGCTGGGTTGGCTGTGGTGGCTTTGCGCTTCGCCATACATCTGTTCTGACCCCGACCTCACTTCGACTCTTCTTCCAGAGAATTCGAGGCAATTTCTCGTACACATTATGCCAACAACAGCAATGATCAATCACAGTCGTGTACTATTTCGGAGAGTTGGCCAAAGCAAGTGGACGACATGTGCCCCGCAGCGGGGTTTCGCCTCGCAACATCAGCACGGCATCACTGAAGACGACCGCAGGAGGTTTTATCTTCTGGGGACGAATCGGGCCAGTATGTTTCTAGCTGCGAAGCTGCGATTAGAACCAGGACCATCTCCAGTAACGATGCTTACGACATTCAACCAAAGGATCGACGCATTTTACGAGCGAGGTAAAATTATACATTTGATCGAAGCCGGAGAACGTCGTCTCGCTAGAGGTATCGACATGGAGACTGCTCTCAATACAGACCTAATCTACAATTAAACTCCCGTGCCCCGAGCAGCAGACACATTCATTTTGGAGGCTTTTGCTAGGCCAGAAGTAGTCATAGAAGAAAGTGCCGAAAGTCAAAGCCCTGTTGTACCACAGCCAATTCCCGATCTACGTACCTTGTACCAGAGAATAAGCCGCCGCCGTCGCAAAAATCGATCCAAACATGCTTCGGGGTCACTTTCTTCTGACAAAGTTGTCACCGAAGGCATGCCGACTTTGCCAAGTATAAAGCCTATCTTCAACTTGATAGTACTACTTTCAAGCCAGATCTAATCCATACGATTAAAAACCGTCTAGGCCCGCAATCAACGGTGTTTTTGATTTCGCCTCTTGTTGGAATCATCCCATATTGGATAAAGACAATTTTTAAAGACCCCAAGACCTGTCCTCAATTGTTCAGGGGTCTATCGACGTATGTATCATCTCCTTTCGGCAAATCTATAAAACTAACTGTCTTGCTGTCACAATCTATCGAAAAACACCTTCAGGCCATCTAAATCAATTGATAAGCATATCACAGAGCATCGGCAATCAAGTAAAGCTCACCTGAGTGGAAAGAACTTTGAGGTTCACTATTCTGGGAAGGGAGAGCTGATGATGCCACCCGTCTCGACTCAAGACGGTCAACAGCCAAATGCATCATATGACTACATTACCAAGACCTTATCCAAGATCCCTTCCTTGAATGCGAGAACGATCGATAAAAGTTACCACCTCTACGTTACGTTACGTTACGGTCGACAGCAATCATTGATATCCTTGGATCGATGACTGGGTTGCTCCAGTGTACATACCAAGAGCTCTCCAGTAGACTTGTTGATGATGAAGAGGTGCGGAATTTGATGGATTGTTTAATTGCAGAGACTAGTGCGGTCTGTAGAGCCGAGGATGCAAGAATTACGAGAGACACAATCTGCAAGTGGACTATATCTATCCTCGAGAAAGAGAAGGACTCTTCTACTCAATGGAGCAACTACAGCACAACGGTTCTCAATATGAAAGGCGGAAGTGGACCATGCTTAGAGTATAGCAGTGGATGGATTATAGGCAGATACAAGCTGCGTGGAATTCCATGTCCAAAACACGAGAAAGTTGCAGCTGCACTCGAAATCATCGTTGCTGAGGTATCATTAGACAGCACGATAACGAGGCCTTCAAGCGAGCCAACGGCACCCACAAATGGTGCAGATCACAAATACGACGAGGAAAGACGGTATCAACAACGACTTGACAGGAGAGACAAGGTTGAAGTCATTAAGGATGAGAAAGCGCAACGACAGCGTGAGGAGCTTGGAAAGCAACCTTTGCCAGAGTACTTTGTGTCTCCAAACATTTCACCATTGGGATCTAAGCAGATAGGACTGAAAAGGGAGTTTGATTGAGCCTTTTTGGCGCCGCTATTAATTTGTCATAGCTAGTAAAACTGAACAGCACTCTACTTGATTTATGTCAACTTGTCTTAGACAACATCTTCTCAGTACGCCACAGTATAAAGTTTGACACAGGAACTGGATGTCACAGAAGGTGGACAAAGATAAGCATAACCGAATATCAAGCCCTAGAGCATCAAAGGTGAGCAGTGCTTGGGTAAGAATGGAATGTATGTCCACGTTGACTTGGAGAAGGCCTATAAAACCAGCTTGGAACTTTGTTACCCAAAGAACAACATACTTCGCAATCAATTACTTCAGGTTCAGGTTAATGGCAGCTGTCGCAGTGAAAAGGCTGCCATTACTCGGTGAGGCTGAGGCTGTCCCGCACCTCAACCCTACGTCTGCCTCACATATTTTGATTGGAAATGGGCTCTCGCATCCTTCAACTTTGCATCGCCCCGTTTCTTAGCACTGGATAGGAAAATCCGCTGATCACGGCAGAATCCACCAATATGAAGGGGCCAGTGTCACAAGAACTTCCAAGACTTCCTACTTCGACTTATCTTCTGTGCCTCACCTACCAACGAAGAAGGTTTTCAGCCTCTGGCTGTCTTGTACCGCCATGCAAGGCGATTACCAATCTGTTGGTAAGGCTGCGACCAACGCCACACGAGAATAGCACGTGCTTTGATAAAGAAGCACTTATATCCTGTCAATTAAGTAAGATAGCCTAGTCCTCAATATTCAGATCTTTTCTCTGGACAATCTTGGACATTGCCAATATGGCCGACGAGAGCAACTCCCAGAAAATAGCTGCATTTTGCAGCGCTATCGCAAGTATGACCACTGCCTACGGCGCAACCTTGCCAGCTACGGTCTTCACTGTGTACAATACAGTGAAACTTGTGAATCGGAACAAGGTGATTCATGTCAATTGCCGAAGCCGCTATCTGAGCTAATGGAATAAATTCATAGGATACGGATCTAAAGGAGTCATGCCAGGACATCGAAAAGAGCATTGGTGAAATGCGGGACCAGCTCTACAAAGATGACGAGGCCATGAAATATGAGATTAATCTCGCCATTTGGAATGCGAAGAATGCTTATCACAAAGAAGAGATCGACAGGAAACAATACAAAGCGCGGCTATTGGAGATATTTGGTATCTTGCTAGGTATCATGGTCCGGGATAAGGATGTCACTGGGAGTGTGTTTGCTCCAGCAGAGGTGCAAAAGGGGGGCCCCAAGGAGTCGAAGGCTACGCAGATATGGAGTTCATTGACAGAGAACTTTAATCGGAAAGTGTGGCAGATTCAACAAATCTCATCTACCTTGACGGGGCCCAGCGGGATGTCTATACTCGCCTCGGGCGTGCCAGTGCAAGAATATGCAAAGGCAGTCAGACGAACTCACCCTCCGCAAAGTGCATACGCACCATATCCATCCCCTTCGACAATGGTCCCTTATGCTCCGTCAAATTACCAATATGCTGCGACCCAGGCCCCATACCAGCAGCCTTCCGCTTCGACATCGGGTCAGTATATTACGGCGTCGACTACAACGACTACCTCAAACGTTGATCAACCAGGATATATGTATACACCGCTTGGGTATTTTCCTACTTCGTGAAAACGATTATCAGTTGACTTCACGTGTATGCACTGTTGTTCGATGCTATAACTTTAATTCAAGGGTCGGCTAGTTTCACTCACTTATTTATCCTAGTGTCTGCTCCTGTAAATAGTTTCAGAACTCGATATACACTTTACTACTTTTATGCTTACTATAAAAATGCATGGTTTATTTCGTTAATAACAATGTGAACCTAGAAGATCGGAATTATACTTATATAAGTACATGTTGAGTAATGAAAAGAGGGATAATTGTGACTTGAATGAGAAAGCTAAGGATGCTGATCTTATGCTATATATAGGAGGGGAAAGATACTTAATTTTTCATGTTATTAAACTTCGATATTTTTGGTACAATATTGAATTATATCGACATGAAATTCAACTAAATATTATTTTCAGAATAATTAAGTCACATTGAGTTGTCTACAATTCTAATTGTACTTATCATAAAATATTCAAATAATCAAATGTCGAACTTCGGATAAATGTTCACTCGCTAAAATAGCGGTCAATCACCTCGATTAGTGCTCGGCACGGCCCGCTGTCAAAGACATCGGTCTTAAATCCTCTGTCAAGTTCTTTTCTCTATTGAAAAGATGTCGATCTTATATCTCCGAAACCGTATCATCTTCAGACAATTCAAAATTGTCATGGAAACGTCTTTGTCCTTGCTCTCGGCCCGATCATCATAGATAATGTTCGTGTCACCACAAATGCGGAGACGTCCCGAATGGTCACAATATCCCGAAGGATCAACCACTCGGAGGTGCATCCTCGAGAGCGGCCGCAGGTTATTCTGTTGGATCCTTGCTTGCTGCATGCTCGTTGAGTCTCAGCCCACACCTCCAGCTGTCATATTCATCATTCCCGGGATTCCCCTCACACGACAGAAGAACATCGTTCTGTCCAGATCATTCTCTCGCTACAAGGAGACCTGCATCATTGTCTCAGTATGGCGAGTGAACCTGTCCAAGACCCAGTGACTGCAGGGGCTCCTGTAGCTGATCCCATAGTGGCGCCAATGGAAGTGGTACGAACGTCTTTCGGGGTTTAAGCGAATTGAGAAGAATGATCATGCTGATACCTTCAGGGCGACGACGAGGACAATGACTCTGCTTACGACCCAGAAGAGTAGCTCTTCCGAAGCTTTCTACTTACTGTGCTGATCGCGACAGTGGCAATGCCAGTGACACGACTTCTTTGTCGTCAAGTGTCTCCAAATACAGATTCGAAAACGGACGACGTTATCATGGATATAAAGACGGACTATACATGTTTGTAACTACCTATTTGACTTGCACTATCACCTAACGAAAGTGATACAGGCAACCCAACGATGAACAACAACTCAGCGTTCAGGACATGGGGTATGACCTCTAAATTCCAGCGAGAACTCTTCTGATTGTGATCATAGCCACCACATGATGCTTATTCTGCTTGAGAATGAACTGCACCTTGCTCCAATATCTGAAAACCCGCAAGTAAGTGTGCATTCTGATAAACAAAGTGCTATTGTTGACTTGAATGAAGAGAATCCTAGATGTTGGAACTGGAACAGGTATCTGGGCGATGTTCGTACCTATTCCAGGATATTGCAAGAGCCGCGTTAATTGAGTGGTCAGAGACATGGCCGATCAGCATAAATCCGCTCAAGTCGTTGGTACAGACCTCTCTCCTGTACAGCCAGCCTTCGTTCCACCCAATTGCAAATTCGAAATCGACGATGCTTCTGTCTTGTGGACTTTTACTCCTGGGAGTATGGACTTTGTGTTCTTTAGATTTATGCTAGGTTCGTTCTCGGACTGGACCGAGGTTTATCGTGAAGCATTCAAGTCAGTCTTCCGAGTCTCATCTCAGTCATGTGATTTCTCTCACTGATAACACAAAGGACAATCAAACCAGGTGGATGGATCGAACATCACGAAGTTGCTCCAGATCCCAAATCTGAGGATGGCACCGTAACACCTGGGTCTCCTTTCCACAGATGGGGAGATCTCATCTTCGAAGCTGGTGACAAACTTGGCAAGACATACAGAACGGCTTACAACACCGAAGCATGGATTGAAGAAGCGGGGTTCATCAACGTTGTAGAAAAGAAATATAAGATGCCCATTGGCAGGTGGCCTGCTGATGCAAAGCTGAAGGAGATTGGAATGTGGTTCCGAGCCTACTTCGAGGATGGAATGGAGGGCTATGCTATGGCCTTATTGACTCGAGTCTTAGAGGTATGTTGCCATCGAAAGAGGATACCTATTGGCTTCTTTGGTGGATTGTTACTGATACACTGATTGTGTAGTGGGATTTCATCGAAGCCCAGGCTTTCTTTGGCCAGCTAAGAGCTGCTTTCAAGGACAAGAAGACCCATGCTTACTGCAATCTGTAAGTGTCTCCTGCTGCATCAAATTGTTTTTCTACACACAAGCAAAACGCAAACATTAATACCTGCAAAGAACCGTTGTCTATGGACAGAAGCCACTAGCTACGTAGAGTTATATGCTTGGAAGCGGTGTTCGAGAACCCTCAACTGCGGCGCTGTCAAGGATGCTTTCTTGTAAGGTTTGCTGGATTCCGGATAGGTCAGTATCTGCGGTAGCAAGAGAAATCGCGGTCGAGATAGCAATCATGAACAAAGACAAAGTTATAATGGTAGAGCGTTGACCTTAATTCTACTTAAGCTTGCAGCTCCGACAATTGAAAGAAATGATTATGATCTAAGAGAATTACCTCGAAAAACTGCAAACCACTCCAGAAGCCCCACCAAATAGGCAATTTCTGCAAAAGCATCTGGGTCTCCAGGGTAGTAGAAACGTGTCGCTACCCTCTCGCAAGATGATGCCAATGAAGGTGGCGAAATAAAGGATGCCACACTCTTGGCATTGACATTAAGATAACCCCGAGCCACACCTGAGCCTTCAATCAAATTCTCTCTCCTGGCCCCAATTGGGACAATATTTTGGGGGCTCTGGGGCTTTATAATCTTAACAGCACAGTTGACCGGTGTACCAATGTTTTGAGGGTATGGACACTCAGGCGTCAGTTCCGCGACAGTGCAGGCTTCGGAAGCTCCCCAGCCGTTGAAGAAGCGGACGGATTTGACTCTGAACTTATGATCGTAGGTCAGAAAAGGAAAGATAAGATAATGAAGAAGAGCTCGAGCCAGCCAATGACGACTGCATATGCGTTAATTATGTGCATGGCGATCGTGTGATGATCGGTCTCTAGCGTGACCGCCTCCCGCGGGACCCTGCAGTAGCCCAATGTTTAATACTGAAGATCGAGAATCCCGCCTCTTATATCCGTATCATCATATTGGAATCACGCTGATATGTCGTTCGTACGGATTTCCATGAAGAGACATACCTGTGAAGTGGCATAGCATATTCGTTTCTGTGCGGTGATATTCGAATACATTTTCCGGTGCTGAGAACCATGTGCCGGATGGAGCCCTAAACATTGGTAAGTGGTGACTACCGGTATATTCTGTTCTTGGGAACCATTGAGATCATGAGAAACACGTCACCATATCAGGTGTCTCTGATTGGGAGCCAGGGAACATCTTTCCATATATTATGTTTATTTGGGTCTTGACCGTATTATTATCCATATTGGACTTTCCCGTCCCGTGAAATGCATATTTGTAAGGCTTATGTTGCATATGCAGGGACTTCTGTGGCTGCATTTAGAAGTATGTTCGTAGATCCACATGTAGTTGGTGTGGAATTCCTCCATGTGAGGTGTTTTCAAGCCTTGTGTCAATTGCCGTGCTTTCCGAAGCCACAATGGCCCGGGCCGCCCGGCAACACATGCGGGCGACTTTGCGAAAGATAAAGAATTGCATTTTCCCCATTCACTGGAGATAAGCATGCAGAGGGGTAAATTGAGCTACCCCTGGAAAGAGCTGAAGTTGATCAGGCCTGAAGCACGCATTGTGACATCTCCCTTCAATACGTCTGCAATCTTCACCAGCGTTCTCAATGGACAGGAAGTTTTAGCGTGTTCGACAAGAACTATCCGTCTAGGCTGGATATGGACATAGTCTTTGGATGTCCGTTATTTTATTGGATGGACACGGATATTAGTTTTAAATAATTGCTGATATTCGATTACTTGTTTATTGTAGGGGTAAAAGCTTTTATATAAAGTGGGTTAAAGTAGACGTAACCATAGCTTAAAATTTAAGGTTAAATTGTGAGAAGTTTAAAACTTGAGGTTAAAAATGTACTATTAATAGGGTAGTATTTGTTTTGGTGGTTAAATCGTTTAGAATTGTCCAGAATCTTGATGGTGATGGACATTAGCTCGTCCGAATTTGTGTTGATACGGGCAGTGATGGTTCAGGGCCAAAGAATGTCCGACCTACCCATTGAGAACGCCGATCCTCACCAAAAATGCACAAGATGGTGATATAGACGCATGAAAAAGAACCGGTTATTCACTGCAAAGGACATAAATAGCATGTAGTTGGGTTACACCACAGCAATTCTACAGACCATGATTAGGGCGTTACGGCAGATAAGACTGAACCAACTGATCGTGAATCCTCTGGCAAGCCCTCCCCAAACAATTGTTGCAACGAAGGATGGCAAGTCGCATACCTCAAAAGACCCTACAATTTTGGCAGCCCAAAACCCATATATTCATATCATCCCCGAAATTGGTTCTACAAAACACCAGACCTTGTGGGAGAAAGTTTTCAACATGTTCAACGATATCACTGCTCCAATTGCCATTGTAGGCGTTTCCTACCGCGCTCCTAGTGTTGGGAGGAAAGACCTATGGGAATACTTGGCCGAAGCCAAGTCTGCTTGGACGAAGATGCCTGCTGACCGATTTTCTCACGAAGCCTACTACTCAGGAGCGGAGGGGGTTAGCCGGGCAGGCTGCTTCCAGACCGAGGGAGCACATTTCGTGCCAGACGACATCTTTAGATTTGATGCTGCATTCTTCAACATGAGAGCTGAGGAAGCTCAGAACTCAGATCCTCAGCATCGAATGATGCTCGAGTGTGCCTTAGAGGCGGCGGAAAGTGCAGGACAGAGTCTTCTTGACTTGGCGGGCAAGAAGATTGGTGTCTTTGTAGGATGCACAGGAGGGGATTACGCACAGCGACTCTCTGAGGATCTCTACAAAACCTCAACCTTCTCGGCTACTGGGCTTGCACCGTGTATGCTCGCCAATCGTCTCTCCTACTTTTTCGACGTTACTGGACCAAGTGTTGCCCTGGATGCCGCGTGCGCATCCAGCACTTATGCGGCACATCAGGCATGTCAGGCCATTCGAAATGGTGAATGCGAAGCCGCATTTGTGGGATCAGCAATGTTGTCCTTGAGTCCTAGTTTGTGGATCACACTGGAAAAGATGGGGTAAGTGAAGCGCAACCCAACTGTTTGAATCGCCTCCCTTACCACTTTGCAACAGAGCCCTGTCACCGGACGGTAGAAGTTACTCTTATGATGAGAAAGCCGCGGGTTTTGGCCGTGGTGAGGGTGCTGCTTGTTTGTTGATCAAGCGCCTAGATCATGCAATTCGTGATGGTGACCCAATCCATACACTGATTCGCAGTTCTTCTTGCAATCATTCCGGTCGATCGGAAGGTATTACAATGCCTAGCGGGAAAGCTCAACAAGTACTGCTCCGTGAGGTCCATGACGTCGTTGGTCTCAACCCTGTACATACGCCTGTGGTTGAGGGCCATGGAACTGGTACTCAAGCTGGTGATCCCATCGAGGCTGGCGGCTTCGCGAACGTCCTCGCCAAGGACCGAACACAAGCAAATCCGCTGTACATTGGATCTATCAAGTCTAATTTTGGGTACGTCTTCAACTTTTGAATTTCCCGCCTGAGCTTCTGTCTTTCTGACCCGTATGTACAGACATTTGGAAGGGGCTAGTGGCATTCTCGGAATGATCAAGGCGGTCCTGATGCTCCAAAAGGGGATCATTTTGCCTACCGCAGGATTCGAGAAGTTCAACCAGAAGATTCAAGGCAGGGAAAAATTGAGAGTACTGACGAGCCCGACCCCTTGGCCAGCAGGGGAGCCAAAGCGAGTCATCGTAACCAACTTCGGTTTCGGCGGCAGCAATTCTGCAGTTCTTCTTGAGTGCGCTCCGTCATCTGCTGTGCTTGCCAACGGACTTGCCAACGGACTTGCCAACGGACTTGTCACAAACGGCATAAAACTTGAAAAGCGACTATTTGTGCTTTCCGCCAAGACTGCAACGAGTCTTACGTCCTATTTAGCAGCTTTCCAGAAGTTCCTAGAAAAGGCTCCTCAGACCAGCGAATTTGCCAAGGATCTTAGTTACACACTTGGACAACGCCGAACACACCACCCATATCGTGTTGCAGCAACAGCCGATTCGGTAGAGAGTTTGAGAGAGAAACTGTTAACTACCAAGCCCAACAAAGTATCAGATCGTGTCATTGCCTTCGTCTTTACTGGTCAAGGTGCTCAGTGGGCGCAGATGGACGCTGGACTGTCACACTACAAAGCCTTTACCACTGCCATTTCCCAGGCTGAAGCCCATCTCCAATCACTCGGAGCGTCTTGGTCTTTGACAGTGGAGCTGGCCAAGCCAGCATCTCTATCTCGTGTCAATGATCCCGAGATCAGCCAGCCGGCGTGTACTGCCATCCAACTTGCTTTGGTGACCCTGCTCAAGAGCTGGGGAATTACCGCGACTACGGTCACAGGACATTCGTCCGGAGAGATTGGTGCTGCGTTTGCTGCAGGTCTCATCTCCTTCAAAGCAGCTATCGCCATCGCATACTTTCGTGGCCAAGCAGGTGCTCAATTAGTCCGAGAGCAAAGGCAGAAAGGAGGCATGCTGGCTCTTGGCATCGGCGAAGAAGACGCAAACAAGCTGATCGAGCAACATGCAAAGGGATACGCGACCGTTGCCGCTATCAACAGCCCACAGAGCGTCACTGTCTCGGGTAACGTCTCCTCCATCGAGAATCTTCACAAGGCCGCGGATGGTCAGGGCTTGTTTGTTCGTAGGCTCAAGATTGAGGTTGCATATCATTCCAAGCATATGGAGGCTGTTGCGGCCTCTTACCTTGAATTTATCAAGCCTTTCTGTGAGGAGGATGCTCCATTCATCAATAAGGATAACATTAGTGAAGTGTTTGTGTCTTCTGTCACAGGAAAGGTAGTCAGTCCATCTACTCTCCACGCCTCTTACTGGGTGAAGAACCTTCTCCAATGCGTCAGGTTTGCGGATGCGATTGGGACCATTTTCACACCACAGAAAGATGGCAAGAAATCGCCGAACGTCATCGTGGAGATCGGTCCTCATCCAGCATTGAAGAATCCGATCAAGCAGACCGTAGATATCCTTCGTCAGCAAGGCGACGGACGTCCAATTCCGTTCACCTACCTTTCTACCTTGGCACGTGACACAGACGGTGTTGAAGCATTGCTCGACCTTGCCGGCAGTTTCTTCACCATGGGACCTACAGTCAAACTAGAAGAGGTCAATCAAACTAATCGGAAGAACTCTCACGTCCTCATCGATCTCCCGGCATATGCATGGGACAAGTCCGTGGCTTACGAGATGAAGACAAAGAACTCTGAAGACAAGATGCATCCTGGGGAGCCTTACCATACGCTTCTTGGAAGAAAGGTTCCGTCCAATGGGGCCAATGAGCGTGTTTACAGACAGGTCTTCACTCTCGACGAAGTACCTTGGATCCGAGACCACAATGTCGCCGGCACTGTTGTCTTCCCAATGACTGGCTACTTGTCCTGCGCTATTGAGGCTGTGAGAAGAACAGTTTCCAGTCCTCCGGCTGCTATTGTCCTCCGGGATGTTAATGTTGTTCGGGGCCTTGAGATTGGAGAAGAAGAGACTGTTGACATGTCGACAAAGATTAAGCCTGCCGCTACCGGGACAGGAGGATTTTCGAATACGGCTTGGTCATTTGAGGTTGCGACTTGGGGAGAGCAAAATGGATGGACTGTCCATTGCTACGGCCAAATCGAACCGGAGACGACCGAGATGACCACGGGAAGTCCAACATTGAAAGACTCCCTTCCTCTCATCAATTCCAAGGACATGGTAGAGCACGATCCACAACTTGAGTACACCCTTGCTGCAGAGGCAGGAGCCACACGCTATGGCCCAACATTCCAAAGCACGGTCAGGTTCTTCGAAGGCAAAAGCTTCACAGTAATCGAAACCCAGCTGCGTGACCTTTCCCCAAACCTGCCGACTTCCTATGGGTCGTCTGTTTCTGTTGATCCGCCGACACTAGACGGATTCCTTCAAGGTGGTGGTCCTCTTCAATTGGTCGATGGAAAGAGACCTACGCAGATGCCCAACTATATCAGTCGACTCCGAGTCTCCAACAATATGCCGAATGCTCCCAACTCGCGGTTCACCGTCGTCACTCGCCTGCTGGATTACGATTATAAGGGCGGCCGCATGTATATCAGTATAGCTGTCTATGAACAAGGTTCTTACAAGCCAGTATTCGAATGCGAGTCGATGACATTCCGTACTATCTCATCTGGCGAGTCCGAAGACCTAGCCACAGCCCTTCCAGGCAACTGGTGTTGGGAGGTATTGCCTAGTTTCGATTTATTACCTCATGGAGAGCTGAACAAGATGTTCTCTGTCGGCAGTCTGGGTAAGGATCTGAAAGAGCGTCGAGACATCTTGTATAAGACTGCCTGCTACTACATGAACAAAGCGTTGAAAGAGACTGCGCATGAAGACTATTCCAAGCTACCGCACCACTACTCTCACTTTTGCCGGTGGGCTCGCAGAACTATTGACCGAGAGAATTTTGACCTCAGTGGTGATCAATCGGCGTTGCTGAAGCAGGCATACCATTTTGACGCCCCAGGAGAGTTGCTCTGCAAGGTCGGCGAACAGCTCGTACCAATCTTGCATGGAGAAGTCCAACCGCTCGAGATCATGCTCAAAGATGGCCTACTCACTCGCTATTACGAGGCTGATCAAGACAACGCGCGTTGCAGTAAGATGTTGGGCGACTGGGTTGTCCATCTCTCCGATCTCGAGCCCGACTTGCGCATCCTAGAAATTGGAGGTGGAACTGGCGGTACGACAATGCACGTGCTGGAGGCGCTTTCACGCGACAGAGATGAGTTGGCAATCCTCAACTACACTTTCACCGATATCTCATCTGGATTCTTCGAGGGTGCTCGCACTAAGTTAGCTAAGTGGTCGCAAAAGATGACGTACAAGAAGCTCGACATCAGCCAGGATCCAGTGCAGCAAGGCTTTAGGCTCAAAGACTATGATCTTGTTATCGCCTCCAACGTTTTGCACGCCACTCCGAATATGATTGATACCATGATTAACGTACGAAAATTGCTGAAGCCCAAAGGCAAGATCCTCTTGCTAGAGGGTCGGACTCATCCACCCCCAACGCTGCCATTTGCCCTGCTTCCTGGTTGGTGGTATGCTGAGGATGATTACCGTGACCACGAGGAGGGACCTCTTATAACAGTCGACAACTGGAACCGCCTCCTGAAAGACACCGGTTTCTCTGGTCTCGAGGCTTACATCCAAGACTATGCCGGTCCTCCCGACCAGATGCTCAGTGTCATGTGCTCGATAAATACCGGTAAACAAGCTGGCAATCAACAGATTACCGTCTGTGGACCTTTCGTTGATAATGAGGAAGTGGAATTTGCTCAGACTGTGGCCGACGCTATCGCAAAGAAACTTGAATGCCCAACTAAGGTCAAGCCCCTTGCAGAGATCGACCCTGCGGATGACCCGTACTGCGTTTTCATCGATTCTCCACGCAACAGTCAACTGGCCAACGTTACCCAAGAGAAATTTGATGCTTTGCAGAAGTTGCTGTTGCACAATACAGGGATGTTATGGGTGATCCCAGAAGGTGGTCCCCCAGAATCCACACAGATCAAAGGCATGCTCGCCACAATTCGTCTCGAACTCGAGCCAAAGAACTTGCTCTGGTTCGATAGAGTGCCTTTGACATCCGAGGGCGCCTTAGCTATCACCAGGCTTGCCGGAAAATTGAGAGATCCCGAGTCGATTGCCGGTGAGGACTTGGACTTTGTTTGGAATAATGGCTCGATTCATCTCCTTCGTATCAGGCAAATGATGGAAGTGAAGGAACAATACGCCGCAGAGCACAACGTCCGCACTCGAAAGGTGCAGAACATTTGGGAAGGTAATCATGCGCTTGAGATGACGGTGGACCTTGCAGGTAGTCCCGACTCCATCTACTTCCGTAGGACCGACGTCCTGTCTCAAGAGGTAGGCGAGGAAGAGGTTGTGGTCAAGGTCGAAGCTGCCGGAGTGAGCTTCCGTGATCTTCTTCTGGTACTGGGTTCTATCCCTTGGACTACTCCTGGATTCGAGGGTGTTGGTGTGGTCGAAAAGACTGGCTCTAAGGTGTCAGGCTTGAAGGCAGGAGACCGCGTTTTCTACGGCACACTCGGAGGTGGCAGTTTGGCGACCTATATCAAAATGCCATCTTGGTGTGCCTACAAAATTCCGGAAGGTATAAGCAGCGTGGATGCCGCAAGCATACCAGTTGCGTACATTACTGCCTATGTAGCACTCATTCGCATTGCCCGACTGAAGAAGGGAGAATCTGTTCTCATCCACGCTGCATCCGGCGCAGTTGGCCAAGCATGCGTCGTGCTCGCACAGCACCTGGGAGCCGAAATCTTTGCTACTACTAGTACTCCGACCAAGAGGGAGTTCTTGGAGAAGACTTTTGGAATTCCCAAGGAGAACATCTTCTCAAGTCGTACGCCGAAGTTCAGAGATGGCATAATGTGTGCAACAAACAACAAAGGAGTCGACGTGGTTGTCAACTCTCTTACCGGGAACCTTCTGCAGGAAACTTGGGCCCTGATCGCAGACTTTGGCCACTTCGTGGAGATTGGAAAGAGGGACTTCCTTGCCAACAGCCACTTGGGAATGAAGCCATTCGATCGCAATGTGACTTTCAGTGGTGTCGACCTTCGCACATTCTGGGACAAGAAACCAGAATATCTCAAAGATTGTATGTCGGAGGTTGTTGATCTACTTCACCGCAAGATTGTTGTACCTATCAGACCAGTGACTACATTACCTGTCTCTCAGTTCACGACGGGTCTTCGCAAGCTCCAATCTGGTCAAAATTTAGGCAAGATTGTCGTCACCTTCGGCCCGGATGAACGCGTTCTGGCCGAGAGTGCCCTATCACCACAAGAGATGAAGCTGTCCCGCAACGCAACATATTTAATTACTGGTGGAACCAGAGGTATTGGTCTTTATTTGGCGTCTTGGTTAATTGAAAATGGAGCCTACAATGTCATCGTTCTCGGTCGTAGCGGTGCTACTGGTGCCGAAGTCCAAAAGTTCTTGAAGCAACACAAAGGTACCGACGTTATCGTGAGAGCTCTTGCTTGCGATATCAGCTCGAAGAAGGGACTTCAAAACGTTCTGGCGTCGATCAAGGACCTTCCTCCAGTTCGTGGTGTCATACACAGCGCACTTTTCCTCAACGTAAGTTTCGCTACTGATTATAAACTCATCTGACATTGATAGGACGCATTCTTTGAGAACGCTACGTATGAGGACTGGAAGAATATCAATGGACCTAGGGTCCAGGGTGCATGGAATCTTGATGAGCTATTGCCAGACCTCGACTTCTTCGTTGCTCTCTCCTCGTTTCTCGGAGATACTGGTAATGTCGGACAATCTATCTACGGTGGTACTGCAGTAAGTAACCGGACTTGTACCAAGACCAAGCTAATCCTTGCAGTCTTTCTACGATGCTTTCTCCAAATCTCGCAACGCCCGCGGCCAAAACACCGTTTCCATTGCCTTGCCAGTCGTTGTGGATGTCGGTTATGTCGCTGATCGCGATCTCACCGCTAGTTTAAAGGCCACGCTTGGTGGCACTCTCACAATGGCCGACATCTGCACTATCGTGAAGAACGCAATTATTGGACAGTACAATCCGATGAAGTTTCATTCTGATGGCAAAGCAATTGCATTCAAACTCTACCTCGGAGGCGAGTCCGTAGTCAATCTCCCATGGAAATACTTCCACCCTGTCAAAATCAGAGAACTTCTGAATGCCGAGCAACACAAGAAAGAGACTAGTTCAGGCGGAGGTACTAATAATTATTCTTCGTGGACTTCCGCTTCTGATCCTCTCACTGGCCTGATTGAAGCTCTAATCACTAAGGTTTCTGTCATGACTATGATTGAGCGAGATGAAGTGGACCCCGATGCTCCTCTTATTCATTTTGGTTTGGATTCTCTTGTGTCAGTCGAATTGCGAAACTGGATTCGAAGGGAAACGAGTGTTGAGTTGGCGTTGACTACTATTACACATGCAGCGAATTTGAGAGCTCTTGCGATGGATATTCTTGCGAAGAGGGAGAGGGGCTTGAAAGTGGTTAATGGCACATGATAGGATAGACTGAAATATCGCAGGAAAGGTATAACGAAATTTGATAAATTTACGAGAGTAATAAACTTAGTATATTTCAACCCCTTCTGAGATATCTGAACAAATCACTGGAACATATGGCTGAGCGAGCCGATCTTACTCCCCGCCAAGATTCAGAGATCCCCAAATTGAAAGGTTTTCTAACAGTATCTACACTCCATCGTCATCTTGTCTCAGGTCTGTCAAAGTCAAGTAAGCATCCCAGCCACCGCAAGTATCGTTCAGCACAGCTCCATCAACCAAAGCATCAATCTGCGAACGTTGTGCAACGAATTGTAGGTCAAGACCGAGACTCTGGTGCCATCCAATGTGGCAATGCATCAGCCATGTCCCAGGATTATCGGCTAGGAAAGCGATGACCAAGTATCCCTCAGGCGGAAGCATTGTCACATCTCGTCGAGGAGGATTCGTCGTGATGAGTGTTGGTGCTGCACTAGCATAGGTTCCTACTCCTGAAGCGAGAACATAAAAATCATGGCCTGGAAATCCGTCGGTGGTCAGTAATTTATAGTAAACGCCAGACGATTCTATAACATACCATGAAGATGTATGGGATGAGCAGCTCCCGAAGTCTGCTCCAAGATAACGTATGTCCATTGCCCCTGAGCTGCGACTTCATACACATTTTCCGAGACACCAAATGTTGTAGCGTTATCGTAGACTTGCATCAAGGTTGGATCGGACCAGTCAAGATCAAAAGTGCTATTGGAAACATACCAATAGATGATACCTGAAGCGCTCTCGGCAACGGTAATATCTAAGTCTTCCGTAATGTCTGCATCGCCGACATCGAGGGGTAGATAAGGCACTAGAGATGCGAGAGGTATATCATCACAGGAATCTGTATACGTGTATCCGGTCGTGGTTGGGTCCGCTGTGCTAGTTGAATCGTACCGAATGATTCCGAGGATACCATCCACGTTGTCATTGCTACTACATGTGACCTGTGGAATAGCTCGCATCCAGTAGTTGCCGACCGGCTCCGTAGCATTGATGATAACATCGTATCGTTGAGCTGCAGAGGCATCTGTTAGTGGGGCTTTTGAGTAGCAGGGGAAATCATACCAATTCCCATGCTCAAGATTGTGGTTTCGAATGGCTCAATGGGAACAAAGTCCATGGCGACCACTGTCATTGTATGATTATCGATGGAAAACTTGAAGAAGGTATCAATGGCCACATTGACAATGCCAAATTTATAGCTAGTATCCGAAACAAAGGTCTGCTCGTAATAAGAGCCAAGAGTGCCGTACATGTTGGTACCATTGATCAGGCCAGTGGTCAGTGTAGGTGGCCCAACAGTCTCGTCGTACTCGAAAAGCGAAGATGCAGTAGTGTGTGACCAATCTTGAATGAAAAGATTTCCAAGATCAACGTCGTAGTTTGCTGATGTGGGGCCGTTGATGTGTATAGCACCAAAAACACCGTCCCAAGCTTGAAGAGAGTAATGACTGTGATACCATGAATATCCATATTGCGTTGCTCTCCAAGTATAGGTATAGCTATCGCCGGGTGCAACAGGACACTGTGTGACCGATGCGACCCCGTCATTCTGAATTGTGTTATTCTGACGAATACCGTGGAAGTGGATAGTAGTCCCATTATTGGTGAGACCATTCGTCACTATCCATGTAGTTAGCTCTATATATGCTGGAAAATCATAGAGGAGTTGAGTAATCGGGGCTTAGATTGGACACTTAGACGGCTTGGCTCTTGAGCAGCTCCCAGCTCCAGAAATTTTACAAAAACATCGAGCACGGGAATTTGGGGATAGACTTACCGTGGACAACAACTGTATCGCCCCAGTCGGCTTCAATTGTTGGACCCGGCAATGTGCCATTGACCGTCAAGACAACTCTTTCCACACCATCTGGAGCAAGGGTAGTATTCACAAGTTCCAACCAATACTAACAACATTAGCACATCCTTTGCGTACAGATCGTAGCCTTACCTCGCGTATAACTCCCGTATCAGGGACTGTATCATACCAATTGGTTGATAGATCATAATCTCCCCAACAGCTCCTATCGGTCGCAGAGTTAGTACAACTTTGGCGTTTGTCAAGACCTTCGCGCTTCTCATGGGGAGCAGCGATGGTTGAAGAAGCAAACAAGTAAAGAGCGAAGCAGGAAAGGCCTGAAAACAACATCGTAAACTTTCGAATAAACGGCCAATGGAGCTGAAAGGAAAGGATGAGAAGATGGTGTCAAAAGACCGAGGAAAGTTTCTCTTTGTAGTTATATATTAGTGCTTAGTTTCATCAGCCTGGTTCTCTCCCAGAATGCTTGATTGAGCAGACACGAGTCGTGGCTCGTACCAGGACACGTTGATGGCCTGCAGAATGTGTCCCGTGGCGATGGTGTTTCCATCTCCCAATGCATGTTCAAAGAACGTGTATTCTGTCTGAAGCTGCACTCGAGATAACACTGCTCCACTATTGAGGCCCTGAGCCCCAAAGCCCACCTCTTCAGCAATATATTTTGCGGATAACCAATGCAACGTGATGATGTGGCAATAGTCTCTCGAGGACTGTTCTTCTTCGGTAGTGAACATCCGGATCTAATTATAATCTACAGCTTGGAAAGGAACTTGCAATGTAAGCGACCTTGTACCGCAGCTCGCTGCTCTTGAAGTCCATCAACAATAACCAATCGCAACTCTTGAGAAACTGGAAAGATAGAGACTCCCTCGTCTTGAAGCTGACGTGTGGTCCCTCCCTGCTGTCGTTGGATCCACAAAAGCGCCAGTTTTGTGTACCAATAGTTCAGATCGGCGATAATGAACAGATACCGAAATTCGATCTGCAGTAACTAGGAACAGGCACGGGAAGAACCTTGATGGTATGAACGGGCCACACAGTTGCAGGGCTCCAGGAGTAAATTCCCGAACCCCAGACTTCGGAGCGCACAGGCCCTCGGGAGTCGTCGTCACGACTAGGGCAAGGGACAAACGGCTCATGTCTATTAGAAGCATTTCCTTGCGAAAAAACCAGGGTCAGATCAATGAATTCGACAGTTGATTTTCATAATCTTCGTATTTCGTTAAATAAGCAAGGTTGAGGACAAATCTTTCATTGGAATGTAGCTCACAGGGATCGATTCCCTGCTGAAAGGATCTTTACTACCTCCAAATCCATCACCCCTTTACTAGACCACGGCTTTGAGAGTTTTCGGCAACTTCAATCTTTCGGGACCGAAGTCCACTGACCAAATAATTGTTATGCCTGCCATGAACGACAATCATACGCGTCCGTGTTTTGACTTTTTATTTTAATCACCAGGAAAGTCAGTATAGTTTAGAGTCTAGGTTAAAGGTTGGGATGAAGATCGGATGAGATTGGTCATGAGCCGTTCAAGAACCTGCCGATGGTGGCGAACAGTGCTTAGATCTTTCAGCTATAGAGGTCGTCTTACGCAAGCTTGGAAATGGATTTGCTTACGACCGAAGGCAATTTCCTGTCGCCTTTTGGGCATTCTTATAAGTTGCGAAAGTCACCGTTGGAGGTCTTCGGTTTTTAAGCTGTTCGTACCCTTTTGGATTAGTTCCTTACTTTCGATCTCCAATATTCATCATGGTTTCGAAGAAATTGGTCCCTCTCAATTTTTGGCTTGTCTTGGTCCAATTTTTCAACACGATCAATGCCGATTTTACTCTGTATGCCTACGGCACGAACATCAGCGGTTTACCGGTGTTCTATATGAACTGTTAGTACTCCATATCGACCTAAAAAGGTGTTTTGCTGAACAGCGCAAGCGTTGGCATATATCGGTTATCAAATCCCTAGCGATCTCGGTGGCACGAACATCACTTGTAAGTCGAGGCAGACGGATACATCACAGCCCGCTAATTCATAGTCACCATGAACGACACCAGCCTATATCCCCAGAAGAACACTACCGCAGGAGGGTCCGGAACAATCACTGGGAACCCGAAGCTCTACATCGATACCTCAACCGATGCTATTGCGCAGCCGGGCTTCACAACCAACGATACCGATACCACAGCAGCTACCACCACCGGCTTCCGCTTCCTGGGTACAGATATCTACTGGAAAGCGAGCGATGGGACGCTGCTGGCCAATTTCTGGGCTACTGAGACAGATATGGATGGTGTCTGGAGCCTGGTATGGAATGAACCAGATGATACACTTGATAACAGTACACCGGTGGTCATTCAGAACATGGCACCAGCTGCAAGGATCTAGTCGTACAAGTACGATTTGAGCTAGGGATATACGTGCCTTAGTCGCAGCAGGATGGTTTTTTTATAAAGTTTACTGTACATAGCTTTTCTTTGAGGATAGACTGTCAAGGGGCATGCAGTACACAACAAGTCCCTTTGACCTTCGCAGTTCTTCCTCTAAAGTCTCAGACGACAATTGAGCCTACCAAAGTCCGCTTCCATCTCTAAACCTAAGCAGTCGCTGCTCTAACCTAAGCCGAGCCCCAAGTCCTGAGCACGCTAGTAAGTCAGCTGGATCACGCTTAAGGGGCTCCCTTTCTGGACCCCTCGAGAATCGGTTACAGTTCCTATGTTGTCTACATATAGATTTTTGAAAATCCTGTTACCTGTAATATAGTCATCAAAGATATCGTGACGATGGCCGTTTTCGCTCCTTTATTACATTTATCAAGAGTCTTTGCCGGAGCCAAGTTATTTCGTTAAGTTTTTTCTATAATCGATTCGGGCTAAAAACGGGGAATTTATAAAATATTTAATGTTTAGAGTTTTTTCCAAAAAAAAAATTTTATCAAAATTTATTTCAAGGAAAACGGCGATTTATTAAGTAAAATGGAGCCTGTAGTCTTCAGATGATATTAATTAAGTTGTTCAAACCACTTTCGCCCTGACTGCGACTGAATTTGACTACGACTATGAATGCAGTAATGGCGCGTAGACCAAGTACTGCGTGCGAAGAGACCTAGGCTCAAAGTCAAGACCGTCCAGCTATTTAGGACGTCGCTCAGTAGGACAACTTGATAGGTGTTGTAAGAGTCGTGACCAGTCATTGATAAAATACAGTAAGGTCTCGCGTGAATTGGATGAGGTGGTTAAGCCGTGATCATTATCTTAAGTCATATTTATTGCACCGGTGCTTTCCGATATAAGAAAGCTTTTTGTAATCATTAGCCGCGTGGTTCGATATGAGCCGCGGTCATTGAGCCACCGCCTGTCCTGTCTTCTGCATATATTTTCAAACCACCAAAGGCCTTTTCCGTCGTGAGGCTCATGTCAGACAAAATCAATTTCTTGTGATCCTGTTAGTGGCAACGTTGCTCTTAGGGGTGTCGTTGAGTTGCTGTGTGGACAGCGCTTACCACACTACCAAACTTGAGGAGAGAGGCAGTGCATTCAATGATGTTGCAACGAAACCGGAATTTACAATATCGCAGATATATCTCTATATTTTTTGGGGTCCTTAGATCACCAAACTTAGCGTCTAATTTTTGGCCCGTTAAGATGAAGTTCTTAAGGTGCTACGTCTATATAGTATTCTTGTAAAATAATGGAGTAAATTACTGGTGAACCCTTGATAAATGTGGGAGACAAAAAAAAAGCTTGTCGATCTTGATTCGTCAAACGTTGGCTTGTGAATCCGAGGAAAGTTATGATAATATGCTGACAGCTCCCGATCCTTGTCTTGTGTTCAGGTGTTTAGCGACGGCCGAACGCATCCCAAGAGTTCACAAATTCCTAGGTCATCAGAAGACTATATTCTCTGTTCCTTCGATTCTCGCCTGATGCTTTCTTTGGACGGAGAATGTTCCTCGTATCCCATACGAATCATCTATCCTGTATACTGGGTTCTCAAGTGTTCTCATGATCTTAGGCGTGTAGTCATCGTGAGGACAAAGTGCAGAGGAAAATGGTCAACTGAGACTTCTCACATAAGTTGTGAGACGTTCATGACAATTCGCCCAAAATCTAATGTTGGAAGAGGCGTACATCTCGTCTGCACTCGTTTTTTGCTGTATATATAGGCCTCCAGAATCCCTCTGTGACACTCCTTCACAAAGCATTCATTCCCCCATCCTGAGATCCATCCTAAGCATCGACTCAAAATATTCTACCAAATGTTCAAGACCCTTCTTTTTCTAGCCCTTGGGCCGTTCCTCATAAGTACTGCAGCAGCATCTCCATTGGAAAGCCGCTGGACATCATCCACTTCCACAACCCCATTGCCAGCTTCCACCCCATTCACGGCTTCTCCAGCTGAAATCAAAGCAATCCAAGAAGCCCTCATTCTTGCCCCTTCCGAGATCGATCGCGAGAATATCCTGTTCACCAACCCCCCTGATGCCACCAACATCACGTTCCAATTCGTGAACGTTACCCACCGTGCCCCAACTGGCGGCGAGATCGTCCTAAACTCTGTTGACAACTTCCCTGCTCTTATTGGAACAAAAGGTAATCTCCCTATTTCTTAGTTCCTACTCCCTTCAGTGTATACTCGGTCGTTAGCTGAAAGCATGTCTTAAGAAGACTGTCTCTTTCTCTCCAAGGAGGTAGGCTAATGATGCAATATCACAGTCAGCGCCGCAATTGGCTTCGTTGACGCCTGCGGCCTCAACGTCCCACACTCGCACCCCCGCGCCAACGAGTTCCTAACTGTCGTCGATGGCACCCTTATCGGGGGTCTGATGCTCGAAGAAATCCCCGACAACACCGGTGTCATCAACGCCACTCTTAATGGCACCATTCCCATTCCTATGGTCACCGCTACGCTCACCAACTTCACCAGGATGCTATTCCCCCAAGGCCAAGTCCATTTCCAGTTCAACCCCACCTGCGAGCCAGCCGTTTTCGCAGCCGCTTTTGACAATAACGACAGTGGAAGAATCCAGATCGCGAATACATTTTTCTCGGTTGGGTTTGATGATGTGCTTGAGACTGCTGTAGGGAACTCGGAGAGTCTTGGAGCCGCTCAGTTGGATGCGCTGAAGGGACATATTCCTGATGCGTTTGCGGAGCTGATGAATGATTGTGCGAAGATGTGTGGGATTCCTACATCTTAAAAGTAGTTGAGTCATCGCGGGAGGACGAGCGTATTGGTAGTCTCTAGGAGTGTTGCTACACTGAGAGGACATAGTAGCTAAAGAGATCGTTGTTTTATTTCCTGTTGTTTATAGTAGAAAGCGGGCCAGATTGTTCATTCTCTTATCCAAATGAATTATAGTTGTTTTGTGTCTTTATTTTCCATATTACACGTATCCACAATTGGGAAACACAATTATGTGTTGATGCAAGCTTTACACCAAATGTGGGGTCACGTTACGTTGCGAGAAGAATCTATCTTGCAATTGCGGGACGCGAGGGCTTGGAAAGAGCCAGGGCCACGCCATGTTGCGAAAAGAATCTGCCTTGCAATCAAACGATGAAATTTTTAGGGAATTCCTGTTTGGGTTCCCTAGGAGCCGACTTGGTCCCCCTAAACATAGTCGCGTAGTATTGACAACTTTCGCACGGTAGGTATAATAGGTTATGAGAAGCGAGAGCAGGAACGTGACTGAGTAGCCTAAGCAACCTGAGCAAGAGGGTGAGGCGAGAGTGAGTAGCGCCTGAGCAGGGCGACGACGCTAACTCATCGCATTGGAAGTGAAAAGGAAGAATCGTCGTCTGAGACTTCCAATAAAGGATAAGAGATAGATTCTTAACATATGATTTGCATTACCATTTCAGTTTCCCAGCCTGCAATCGTCACAAGTTCCAGAACCTAGTCCTGAACATAGGATAAGCAGAAATTCTACCCTCATAAAAAGGCCACGAAAAGTCTACCCCTTTCTCACCCTGCCACCCTCTTTGAGTCCCCCTCCTCTTCGCTGGCGGCTTTCGTACCAACCCACCACACCAAGCTTCTTCCGCATCTATACCTTCAAACAATTTTCCCGGCTTAGCTTCTAGCACTTCAACTCTGTGCGAGACAGCGAGATCACGGTGTTGGTAGATGGCATCCATTCTTGAGGTCGATAATTGTTTTGTCGTACATCCTTCTATCGAGCATGGGGTTTCTCGTGATGGCAGACGACGCCAAAACATGCCTTTTTCAGGGATGTCAATTAGATCGCCATCAGCGTTGTAGATCCAAGCGTGGATATCGAGAGGGTGAAGATGTCGAAGGGTGCTAAACGCCTCAGGCCCGAGGCTATCGATGGAGGAAAAGTCATCGTCATCCTCTATCGTCAACTCTCGTCCGTTGATCTCTATGTAAAGTGACAGGAGTTTTGGCGGGAGAGCCGTGATGAATGCAAGGATTTGCTGGTTTTGCGTCAGTGCCTGATTTCAATGACAAGAATGACGGACACTCACAGGAGCATAGTTCGCAAAGTCAAGTAGTCTGCCCCCCTCTTGGAATGGAGCGTGGCCATTAGCGATATCTCCAACTTGTAGGAAATGAAGATTTTTCCAAGCACCAAATGCTCTCCCTAACCTCTCTGAGAACGGCGTTCCTATACACGGCGCCGAGAATCTCTCTAGCTCGATTCCAAGTTCCACGAATCCTGACGTGAGGGCTTCGTAGAAATCTGATCCGGATAACTTGTCATTGGGATCCGGGCCCCGGAAATAGATTGAATGAGCTTCGGTGAGAGCGAGGGAGGTGAGTGAGGGTAAGATGGAGCCGATTTTTAGAAGGTAATCGAGGGTGGTTCGGTTGTAGTATTCGCAATCGACTGGTACGGAGACGGATGTCAAGGATGTGTGGTATGTTTTGAAGACGGAGAGCAGGGATTCTTTTGTGGTAACTGGACTGCGGTTATCTTGATAGTGGAATCCGAAATGACGGAGTTGAGGCAAGCCTGACTTTGGAGATGCAGGGGCGTGATAGATTTGAGCTCCCCCGGCATCAACTTTCGAAAATACCAATGATTTGCCGGAATCTCGAACCGTGACGTCTAGGGCTCGCAAGTTGGGACATGTGGCTTCTGTTACATTCAACAGGAACTTTGCGGTAGAGAATGGATGGGCGTCATCTTCCCAATCAAATGGGACTTGCCATTTCAGACTCGTCAAAGAGGTTGGAGCCAAGGCCCAGATATGCTCTTCTGGTTTGAAGCCTGAAATCTCGAGATCTGTGAGACGGGGATATGATTGTAGGTTTGCGAGAATGTAATCTGAAATTGGACTCGGAGTCAACTTGGCTTTGGTTAGGTTGATCATGTTCTTTGCTGCGCTTATGAAGACTGATTCGTCGACATCCGAGGCGAGCTGCTGTGGTCTTTCGTATTTTGGTGATTGTGGAGTCTTGAACGTCCGAACGAGAGCTCCCAATTTTGGATTTCTATTTTGATGGTCAGAAAGATCAAGATGTGCTCGAGGAAGAAAGAGAGTACTCTGCAAGAGAACGTAACAGTCGAGCTTGTCTTTGCGCAGTCTTGGCATTGTCCTTTTTATTGCGATTATGATAAGTCAGGTAAATATTTTTGTACAGTTGCGGTTGAGCGACTTCCGAGAGCTTGCGAGTGGCAAGGGTGCAATTCAGGAGATGGCGTATGTCTTTATCGACATATGACATGATGTTTCGGAGAATCTCTGTGGGAAGAGAAGTCAGGTCTGCCATAACGGTGAAAACAGGTCGTTGATTTAGAGGTCGGTTCTTGGAAGTCTTATTAGTGTTGAATCTTGTGTCTTGTGAAGAATACGAGGTTGCTGCCTAAGATACCTACTGTGCCCCTTTTATCCTTTTAGCGAGGCGCTAGAGCATGTGGCATGACAAGGAGGTTGTACCTAGGTAGGTATATAAATCTGCAGCATGGAGGCTATACTGGGGTCTGTTGAACATATACGCATCATGTTGTCTTGAGCACCTGTATGCTGTCCAACAGCCGGGCAACAAGAAGTGGGACATAAGTCACGTGAGGGTAATTGATTCGAAAACGAAGTCCTTCCTTATTTACTTAATTTGTCCTTGGCCCCCCGCTCCTCCCCCTCCTACTCTTTAGGGCAGGCGGCGGTGGTCGCGCCGTATTACCGTTGTTCCGCGGATGGGGATCGATTTTCTAGGAAAATGTAATGTAGCTTTTAAGCTTAAATTCTACCTCACTTCACTCTCATTTCGCTTTCACTTCACTTTCACTCTTGATATACTTGCTTAAAGAAAAGAAATATCATGTTCTAAATATTATCTACTCTACTTGGCTCTGAGTAGACTCTCACTCCAGCTCAGTACTCTCGCTCCAGCGCTGTACCTTATTTAAATCTCTATTTTAAACCCTCTACTTTCACTACCTACTCAAACTAGCAACCCTACAAGGGACCTGGAGGGTTGTTCAACTCAACTTTTTGAAAACAAGCACTTCGGTTTCGACGTTCCGCCTTGAGCTTGTCCCGAGGCGCCTTTATAACCTGGGGAGAAGTGACGTTCTCTACACATCGAATTCTCTCGCTCAATCTTGATGGCTCAGGTGCATCAAGAGAGCTTTATCCTCAGCTTCCAGAAGCTCCCTCCCAACCTTAGCCATCGATGCAGCGTTCCACGTGATCTCCATTCTCTCCCCACAGGACTCAAGAACCTCAATAGCTTCCTCTCTGATATGCCTTGTCCTACAAATCGTGATGACAACAAAGAGCGATGCAACAACGCCGCAGTCCAGAACGAAAGCCTTCTTGAAGCATTGGTTTTCCGAGATTCGTCGAGACAAATCTACGATTTCTAATGCTTCGGGAACGAAAAGGCCAGGATTGCTAGCTCCTCCTGCACCAAGGAAGATTCTCTGCAATGCAAGAATTGTAGCTACACCAACCGTACGTTGTGCGGCGGCCGCAATGAAATCTAAGCTACCTTGTCTGGTGGCATCACCGAGTAAAGGCTTGAAAGCTCTCGTCCAACATTGCATATGGATCATGAGCTCGTCGAACGAGCTCCTTGGAGGAGCATGATTGTATGAATCGCCATACATGAATGCATCCGACATGTGGGACAAGTACGGCATAGCTTTGTACTGTAGGTGTACAAGATGATTTTTTGCTTCTTTGATGTCCCGGAATACGCGGGGCATGGCGAAATCGTCGTCCAGGTACCGTATTCCCAGGAGACTAGTCCTTGCCTCCGTAGGATCCGTCACCATTGACCTGAGCCCATTGTCGAGTTGGATGAAAGCATCCAGGATGTCGTCTTCGAGTCCTGGCATTGAGGCGATACTTCTTAGGCGAGAATAGAAGAACTGATCAGTCCAAAGACGCTTCCTCATCATTCGCAACGCACTTCGAAGTTGCGCAACAGCTTGGTCGTAACTGCCTTGAATGTTTTCGAAGCAGAAGATGAGTAGTGAAGCGATGAGACTGATGCGAACTGCACTCTCATCACCAGCAGCGATAATTTGGCGTAGCTCATAGAGTGCTTTGCCATAATGGCTGATGGCGAATGCGTGATGGGTAATTGCTGATTCTGGGCGTGATTTCGATTTACTCAAAGCTGCTAATGCGATGGTAAGGTTGCGAAGGGCTGTTGTCTCGTTTGTTGCCTGCAGTATAACATAATTCCAAATTTCCTCTGGGACAGGTCCGGAAATATCAAATGCAACTTCGTCCCGAAAATACAGGAAATACTGATACTCGACTTCGCCATTGAACAATTTGTTGCTGGGCAGAGAGAAACGTGGTATTTTGCAGGTTACTCGTGGTAGGAGGGGTTTGGCGCTGTTGACAACGATGGTTCTGGTGCGCGGTTGAGATATTTCATACCCGCCACAGGTTACGCCGACCTTTTGACATTTGAGGCAGCCTGGTCTCTCCTCCCCACACTTGACGCGACGAATTCTGCCAGATCTAAGCTTACATCTCAGAATGGGGACTCGACAACTTACTTGCATGTCTTGCACCCTGTCCGAGCTTTTGGCCTTTTTGCTCGGATCCTGTTAGATAGCTCAGGATAAACCTTCACTCTCTTAGGCCGACTTCCTAAGCTATCAGACTGAGCAATCTCTTCTGTGGACTTATTTGTTGTCCCAGTCATATGATTGTTGGAGCTAAGGGTGGCGTTGACGCTTTGATTGTTAGGACTCTGAGACGACGATGGCATGACGCTAGAGTAGTAGAATTCGAGGTGTCACTGTGGCTTTCGTAGCTTGCTCATGCGAGAGGTCAGGTACGCCGAGTGAGGTGTTCGCGATGGATATGCATACCGTAGGGCTGAGCTGTTGAGTATGAAGTTCATGAGGCTGTGCCGCACCACTAATGAGAGAGAGATGGGATCGCCCGCTTTTTATCATCAGTGGCCAATCAAATTGTTTTCTATATTTCCCGGCTGTAAGCACTACTAGCGGCACATCATCGTCTTAGCATTTCTTTTATGTCTTCATTCGAATTCATCTCTCTCTCTCTCTCTCTCTCTCTCTTTTGTTTTGTCTCATTCGATTCATGAATCTCCGCATTGCTTGCTACCTCTCAAATGCGGTTCCGACCGTCTAGATTCGGATGCGCTGCTTCTGAAACGGCACGACCCACAGGCCATCGGTCCCGACTCGCAACTCAAGCGCGCTGAATATCGTCCAGCGTAAGAAGGATCCTCTAGGATATCCCTTTCTTCGCCTTCGCAAGCTGAGCATTCGAAAGGACTACCCCTGAGATCGGACCTCGCTGATATGAATGTTGAAACTTTCTTGCCCTCAAATTCTTGTTTCCCTCGATGTCCGCATTGCCAGTATGATCAGATGAAAGCCAAACCGTGTCATGTCTTGGCTTTCTTGTCGTCGGAGCTTATTTTCTCATTTAATGAAACAGACTCACAGGTTGAAGGTCTGATACGATGTCACTGGAATCACCAAAAAGCAAGGTCTGGACTCCAAATGGATTTGTCCATAAAGATGGGCACGACTTGGCTTTGGTCTTTGATGCATTCATTTCATCTAGTCATTCATGTTCTCCACTATCATCTCGTAATGTTATCCTCTGCTTTATTCTCGTTGGCCCTCTGCTCTGTCGTTCAGGCCGGATCTTTTGATCTGACAACTCCTCGTATCGAACTTGACGACAGATTACAACTGGAACAATTTTTGAATGCAGAACAAGCAACTTGCCCTATACGAGATAATTTCTCTATCCAAGTGACAGAGCATCTTCATCCTGGTATCTGCGCACATGATAATCACCACCCTACTCAAAACACATCTTCAGTACAAACAGCAGATCCCATCTCACCATGGACCATCTACCCAACATGCACAACAAACACCACCAAAAAATTCTGCGTCTTCACCTCGCAAACCTTCCACGCCAACCGCGGCATAACAATCCTCACTACCCCCTCCACCGCAAGAGTCCTTTCCCGCCTCCCAGCCTTCCACACCAAAACACCGCACCTCTCCCCCCTCTCCGAAAACGACCATCGCGATCCTCCCTTCGTCGTATCCGCCATCCCCGGCCGCGGCATGGGCCTAATAGCAAACCGCACCATCGAACGAGGAGACCTCATCAAATCCCACCCCGCAATAGCAATCTTCCACAACGACGCCGTAACCAAAGGCCACGCCCTGTACCCCACCCACTACGCCCCTCTCATGCATCTCGCCATCAACCAACTACCTCCTCCCACCCGCTCTCTGTTCCTCGCCATGGCAGCGCACAATGTTACCGAGGAACCGTACATTGAAAGAATATACACCAATACGTTCGGCGAGGATTTCAACAACCAAGAACACTCGATCGTGATCCCCGAGACGGCGAGACTGAACCACGATTGTCGCCCCAATGCGATGTATTATTTTGATCCACGGACGCTGGTCCATTATACGCATGCGGCGCGACGGATATACGCAGGCGAAGAAATCACGATCACGTATGTGGATCCGCTGCAGACGAGGTTGAAGCGTCGAGCGGCTATCAAGCGGAGTTGGGGGTTTGAGTGTAGCTGTTCATTGTGTAGTCAGGGAGTACAGTTCGTGAGGGAGAGTAATAGGAGGATTGTGAGGATTAATGAGTTGATGAAGATGTTTGGGGATCTGGATTTAAAGGTGGAGGGGAAGGGGAAGAAGGGAGCGAAAGTGGGTGGGAGTCCGGAGATAGCGGAGTTGTTGGTGGGGTTGTTTGAGCAGGAGAGGTTGTATGCTAGTATTGTGGATGCGTATCGAGTGGCTGCGTTGGCGTATGCGGCGAAGGGGATGGAGTGGAGGGCTGTGATGTGGGCGATGAGAGCTGTTGAGGCGGGGTTGATTCATGATGGGCCGAGAGGGGCGGGGGTGTTGGATATGAAGAGGTTGTTGACGGCGCCGAGGGAACATTGGAGCTGGGGCGTGAAGTTATGAGTGTTTGATCGATTATTCTTATTTGCAAAGACATATGTTCTTGTATAAAACCCAGAGAGTTCCGGTAGACTTACATATATAAACTTTCCCTCTCCCTAGTTCTACCTTTTTCGGCAATCACTGAAACAGTCAAGGCACGGAGAATACATTGGAGCTGGACTGTGAGTGTTTAGCTTTTATTGTGGATGTGAGAGGTCATTTTGGATAAGCGTTGCTTGTGCAAAGGGCAAGGATTGTTGCGGATTCGACATAACGTGGGAATTGTTGTTGACTATTTATCTGTTGTCAACTTCTGGTCTATTGTCAACGCTGCATTTTTCTGTTTGACGATGATAAGACTTTTTCTTGCAGACATGATCAAGTAACACGTCTAAACAACAAAATCACAAAGACACCAGCTAATCTCCCACAACAAAGTCTACGCCTTGGTACTTCCTTTTCTTGATCACAGTACCAAGACGATAGTTAGGAGAACACGGAAAGTCAAAAGGGCGTGAAAGGTGATATTTATACAATCTCCCCTCACCCTTTTTCATCTTTCCGCTGACTGACTTCCAACGACTTGCTAGGCACTATTCACCCTCACACGGATCAACTTTGTTTCACATCACTTCTGATTCACTGGTTCAAGGCAGAATATCTCCCCGACCCATTAGGTATGTAGACTTCTTGTCGGTCGAAAGTTTCTCCATGTTTGAGATCAACGAAATTGCTTCAAAATCATGTCGGGCGCGTGGGGTGCTTGGAGAGAATTGTAACTCGAGCCTGAGTCTGCTGCAATTGTTCTGTCTTCTTGCGGAAGAGAGGGTCTGTTGCTGATTCTTGTGAAGATTGCGTTTGTTGTCAACTTGTATCTATTATTGTCGGTTCTTTCATCCTGATAGTGGTGAGTCTCTGTCTCACAATGAACTAAGCACATGTGTGGAGAACAGGACAGTACATAACAAGCTTTAAAGTCCGCAACTTACACTTTGTGTAGGGCTAACGCTGATAATCTGAAAGTGGAAGGAATCACAAATAATGAATTGCCCCAAAGATTATTCCACAATCCAGACATTGATAGCTTTGGAATTCCTCAAAGCCAGTAGTATAACACAACATTCACGAGAAGTCTTTCCAAGTGTTCCAATTTGATTTGCTTTTTAAGTAGTGTTCAACTTACGGAGATTGAAAAATGAATAAGTCGGGTTTTAGGCATCGACTCATATTACCCCGCTTTTTACCCCGCTATCTTCATCGCCTGCTCTTTCAGCAGCTGAAGCTCGCAGATATCATTAAGTAATGATCTATCTTCATATATACCTCGCTGACTGTATACCCAGGTATGCCTTTTATGATTTCAAGTTCTAAACGTCAATCCGACTTGTGGACGAAAATAACACGTTCCATTACCCTTCTAGGCCTACCAAATTTAGGCTCATTGAATCCGTTGAGATATTGCTCACCAACCAAAAGACCCAATATTCATCTTCTGAGCACCCGTTTTCTTGTCCCAACTAAATAAATCCTTAATTAGTCCAAATTATCTCACCCCAGTGAAAGTGGAAGAACTCACAAATCCAAGAACAGTTTCCACAAAATCGAGAACAGTAATCCCTGAAGTCCATTGCACAGGATTCGGGTCTTGAGTCCACGTCCAAGCAGGCCTGTAATGCCATCTTCCAGGATCACCAATCTCGCAGCCTCGGCTATGGATAGTCAGGAAATCAAGTTTTGAAAGGTGGGAAGGAGAATCTTACAATATGACACTTTCGAGTCATTGACCTGGCGATAGGTCTTCAAAACTCTGAGGGAATTGGAGACTGAGTCGGAAACGATAGATGCGACGAATCCGATGAATGCCAGACGGAGTAGCCATACGATCAGCGGATGATGAGGTGGCTCGGGGATATTTTCCATGAGAAAATTGTACTACTATAATAAGCATATCATGTGAGGAATAGGAAGAAGATAACGTACAGTCGCAAACCAAGGGTAATGCCCAACAAAAGTTGCAGCTGCTGTGGCAATTGCACCCCACCATAAACTTCCGATTCCATTCGTCTTGATTCGTTGGCGGAGTAAGGCTGTCCCACTCGCACCCTGCACTTGAAGTGTGGTCTTCAGAGTGTCGATCGGGGTGAGAATCATTCGGAAGGCGGCAGCACTTCGCACGTTTTAGATCAGCTCGTGAACAATAAACCAGGGTATAACCATAAGAGAATGAAGAGCATATACCAAAGCGATGCAAATATCGTCTTAATAGGTGAAGGTAAGTTTTTCAAGTAAGAATTCGATTGCAACAAAGCAAGTATTCCAGCATTAGCTGCTGTGTCTCCGAATCTTGAGACAGGTCCTACAAAGTTGGATTAGCAAGTTCGAGTTTGGAAGATAATCAACACTTACCTTGAATCAATGCAGCTCCAATGCCTTGATAATATCGCCCTAGCCCTCCATCTTGATAAAGCGTCCTCGTCGCCGCAGTGAAAGAAGTCCCGAAGCGGTACTGATAATTCATAATCGTGCGAAGCGGCTGCCCAACTTTCAGCCCCGAACAGCACGAGAAAACAACGAGGCATCATTACCATAAGAAGCAAAACTTGCAGAACCATAGCCGCAGCACCACTCAGGCCACCCCCAAGAGCTCGCATCAACGTACGTTTTAGATCAAACTACATCACCAACATCAGCTAGACAAAAAGTCGATTACTTCGCTATCACGCACATCAACATCGCCACCAGCATCTATCCAGCCTTTGATGAAGACAGCGAGGACGAGTGCTGCGACGATGAACCAGAATATCCTCCAGAGATACCAGCTCGTCTGCGAGGTTCGTTTTGGCTCCTCGTCATCTTCTTCGTTGGATTGTTGATCCAGCTGCTGCTGCTGCTGCTGCTGCTGCTGCTGCTCGGGGAGAAGAGGCGTCTCTTCGTTGACATTTGTTTGGTTTTCTGCATCGCCTTCGACGGCCATGATGACGATATTGATATTGATATTGTTGATGATGATGGTGGGGTTGAAAGGTGGGAGTTAAGTGTCGGTCTTAAGCTTGGGTGAATGTGAATTACTAATTGAGGGCCGGGATGATGTGCTTTTGCCGTTGAGCCGCGCGGGTGGATTACTACCAGGACCACGTGAGAGAAAAGGGGCTATTTGGGGAGGTAGCGAATAAAGCTACATACCTACCTAGCTAGCTAGCTATGAGATAAGGCACTTTTAAATGATTCATTCCGAGACCTTTGTGAAAGTAGAGTTGGCAATCTATTGCTCTGAGAGGTGTGAGTGATTGATTTAAAGCGAACCTATTTCGTGCTGAAGGTAACGACAAAACTACGAGCGCTTTTCAAAGTCGGAATCACATATTACAAGTAAGTTCCGTAGTAATCTCAAACAGATTCTCAACTCCTTTCCATCAAAGATAATTGGCCACCACCTGCATGCGCCCAAGTTGTACAGTCACGTGCCTGAACCCTCCATTTCTCACAGCCAATCCTAATTTCCTTTAGTCTTTCAAGAAAGCATCCTTATTCAATTCAAGCCACTCCTCATACGACTGCGACGGTAACCCCGTGACACGCTCCGAAGACTGAATCAATTCCGGCTTCTCATCATTCTCCTTCCACCAAGCAAGCAGCTGATCAGCGAACACGGGATCAAAATCATCTTTCCTCCACTTCATCATGTTTGCTTTCCACTCCTCGGGAGAAAGTATGATCAGCTCGATCAGCTTCTTGCCTTCTCGTTCCCGGAGACGATTGATGGCTTCTACTTGCTCCTGTTGGCTCATTGAGACGGGTCCACAGAGTGGTACGGCCTGGTTACGGAGATTGTCGGTGGTGAGAGCCACGAGGGCTACAGCAGCCTGTGATCAAGACTTCAATTTTAATACTGTTCAAAGATACAGTTGCAAGTAACGATTAGAGCGACTTGAAGCAGTCTCTCGACTTGGAAATTGAATAGATATAAAAACCACAGTCTCACTAACAATGTCATGCTCCGACACTGGAGCAGTATGAGAATTTGGAAATGTAATCCACAGCTTGGCCGTCTTCTCGACTATCGGAGCCCAGAACAAACGCGAATTGGAAGCAGAATTGCGTGGCCGAAGGAAAGTATATGCAATTCCGGACTCCTTAACTGCGTCTTCGATTGTAAGATGCTTCTTGCCGATGCTGCTCTCGGGAGCGAATTCGACCGTCATGGACGAGAGCAAGACAATGTACTGCACGCCGCCGTCTTTTGCTGCCGAAAGGAGCTGCTGAAGTGGAGCTTGGGAATTGGCATACATGAAGACTCGGTCAATGCCTTTCAAGAGTCTGGGGTAGGAAGAAGGGTCTTCGAGATCACCTTGTACGACTTCGACGGTGGAGGGGAAAGTTGCTTTGCCGAGACTGCGAGTCGAGACTCGGATCGATGGTGGGTTAGATGTGGAGAGAAGTTGCTTGAGGAGGGCGCCTCCAACACCACCACTTGCGCCAACAATCAAAACTTTTCGTGCAGCCATTTTGTTCGGAGAAGTTGCGGTATAAACAGGAAATTATGATAGAAAGAGAAAGTTTAAGGGATCTGCGAGTGTTTTGTGGGGTTTTGGCCACAAGACTATTGCAACTTGCTGTACTTATAATTAAGAGCCGCACCCCTTTTATATCCGAGAAAATGCTCGGCAATTTCGCCTTTGGCGGACACATCGCTAATTTCTGTGTCTAAACCACGATCTATAATAAATTTTACGTGAATTAGTTTGCTGAATGAGTTATCCTCTTTTGAAACGTCAGAAAAATTGACAAAATTGCGGACATCAGAGCTTTTCAAGCTTCCTTGTGGCTTCGCATTTGAGTTTTCTCCTCGGAAAAACTGACAAAGTAGCGAGCCCTGTGAAACTCGTTTACCTCCCCCTTTGCAGACCTACTCACCTCAAATTTGGACCTAAGTCACCTCCCTAAACAATATTTTCTCTATTCCGAGTTCTCCATCTTGACCTGCAACTGCAACTGTATATTACAACCATTGAGGAGCTATTTCGTCAGGCTACAGGTTCTATGGCGATTATGTAGTGTTGTTGCGAATGCATTCTTCGTTTCGAAAGGTTTCATTGTCGCGAATGAAAGTTTTGTTGTCATCTTGTGGCGCTTGCTGTTGTCTGGATGTGAGAATCACAGACCAGTTGACAAGAAGTGCGAGTTTAGATGCATGTTCGAAAACGTATTTTGAGATGTTGTACCGCTTCCTAGCTCTAGTCAGCTAGGAAACTCTCAATTTACCCCCACGTCGTCAAGGCTCAAAGCTCAAATTAAAGTGGCGATTGCTGAATTCAAAAAGAGAAATGTTGGTTCTGTACAGCTTTGAATCTGGTGCTAATTATATCGGCAATCTGAGCTGCAGAAACTCGACAATCAGCTTGATGCTCCAGGCATCTCTTCACCCCTTCACCAACACGGGGCAAAGAGAGCTCTTCCCAGGTTTATTAGAAATATACATCGCCTAACCCGGACAATGGCCCGTACAACCACCAATAACGACGCTCGAAATTGTTTACTGTATGTGTTTCCAGAACAGTTGTCAGAACTCTAAACCTAGCTGACGAAGAAAAGAAGACAAAAGCGATCCGATGATCGACAGACAAGGACGTCGGCCAACGCGAAACGGCTTCACTTCGATCCGAAACCCCAGCTCTCCAACACCAGGCACGAACGAACGCAGCACTTTAAACTTATATTGAGATCAAGCTGAGAGAGACACGCGGAGTGAACTGGCTCCGTCCCACGAGGCCCATTGCGTTTCCCCTCGACACCCCTCCTTCTTTTTCTACGGCCGCATACTCGCCTCACCCACCCCTCCACGGCAGCGCATTGCGCCACATCGCAGCCCTGCGCCATTCTCACGTGCAGCACACAGATTCATCTGCATCGATCCTTCGGACTTTCCTCCCTCCCGGTGCGCTTCAAGCTTCCTCTCTCGCTTACGCGCTTAACGCCATGGAGGGGTGCAGTTTGGGTAAATGCTCAGTGAGGACTTCGGGACGATAGGAGTCCGCTTGTGGCGCAAGGCGTTTATGTAGCATTGCAGGCTTGCAGCACCCCGCCAAGCCACGCGGCATTCATTAGAAATCCATCCATCCATACTCCTTCGGTTGCGAAACTTAAGTCCGTACCTACCTACGTATCGAGTTGGGAAAAGCGAAAGCTGAATGTGACGAGTAGCAGCAGATGCAGAGAATAGAAACAACACCACTCAATGATTGGGTGGCTCGCCACGGAAATATTTGCCGTTGCATTCAAGATTCTTGATTTAGACTTTAGACTTACTTTCCAACATCCCGCCGCCGGAAACAAGAGGACTTTGCTTGTCGAAGAACCAATAATGGGCAAACGCAACGCCGTGCGTGGGATGTTGGTTTGTTTGCGCAATCATCAACAGACTGAATGAACTTTATGGGCCACAGATGTGCCACAAACGCAATAGTTCCCGTTGGCGAAACCTTATGTGGTTGATGACGATTTGACGTGAACCCAGACTCGGATGCTATCGTTCAGGATCTGGTAGCACCGGTAACACAAGAAGTTAGGATTCGCGCGTTAAGCTTGTAGGGCTGACTGCCCAGCAAGTATTCCCAAAGTCAGCCTGCCCTTATGACTTCGCCTGCAGCGCGGGATGCGGGTTGCCAGCCCCGCCACAGGACAGCGGAACGTTGTAGTGGTTCGTCGCCCCCAAAATATCGACCGAACCTACCGAGCGGAGCGAGTCCGATACATTGGTTCCGACCAGCTCAGAAAACGAGACTTTGCATGCATGCGGAATTCTGAGCTGCCTGGAATCAAATTCATGAGAGTGACCTCGGCTGGAGCCTGAGTTGACGGCCAGCGTTATTTTGGTATCTTACATCAGCTAGTTATGACGCTGTCGGCCCAGCCCATAGCTCTGGATGTTGAAGTGAACATATGCGGCCATTTGATTGGTCCAAGTTTACGACCTCTCGAAGGACCACGGTATAGCCTCACAAAAACTGTCCATAACGTTGAACAAAAGTCCTTCGGGTCCAGCGATATATATTAGAGACGCATCAAAGAACTCGGCACAGAATATACACTTCTGACATTCGCTTGCGCTTTCTCCTTTGTTGGTCGTGACTTCTCGCATTTTTTCCTATCTGTATGTCTTTTTAATTGCATGTTTGAAAAAGAAAAAAATGAATCAAATACCGCCAACCCCGCCAGTTGCGAAGAAGCCCAGAGCATCGAAGCCGAAGGTCAAATCGGGATGTCTGACTTGCAAGTAAGTAATGGGAGTCCAACCAGTGATGCATGACGGCCGCCCTGAATACGAGCTCCGGCCGCTGTCCCAGCACGGTGGATGGTGGACTGGAGCTTGGATCATGATCACCATCATGGACAACGGGACAAAAGCCTTGACTGATGCGGCACTAGGCAGCGTCGTGTGAAATGCGATGAAACAAAGCCAGCGTAAGTCACCTTCTCCATTTGGCGTCTCGGTCTCTTCTATGGTCGATGCCACGGCGGGGTCCCTGAGGACTTCAAAAGTTTCAAGAAGGGAACCTGCCTCTATGCTAAGGCTTTTTGAGGACATTCCTCATCAACAAGTACAAAGCAATATACTGATTCAACGGTCTGAGTTTAGTTGCTTACGATGTTCCAACTTTGGACGAGTCTGTGGAGGGTACCCATCGAAAGAGGAAACACCTCCACCCAAAGATCCAAGTCCACCGGTCAAGCGAAAGCTTCTTTCAAAAGCTATGCAGGTTGCTCCAGCGCCAGCACCGTCGCCGTCACCGGAACCGTCATATACTGCTGTCTTCGCACCTCCACCTGCTATCAGCTCGTTTCCCCCGCCTGTGCCAGTAGGCGTGTCGTTCCAAGATGAAAGAGAGTATCAGTACTTCTGTCACTTCCGCGATATCACAGTAGTAGAGCTTGCAAACGGGTTTGAGCCAACGTTATGGAGCCCATATGTCTTGAGGGCATGCGATAATCCTTCAATCCGTCAACTCGTGGTTGCAACTGCAGCCTTGAGTATAGCTGTGAAGACTCCTCCATTAAGATTGTGGAACCCATCAAACGATCACCACCATCAGTACGCTCTGCAGAAGTACGGGCAAGCTTTGAAAGGGATCAGAGAAATGGTTGGAGGGGGACAGGACTCGACCAGAATAGCATTGATCAGCGCCCTGCTCATATTTTGCTTCGAAAGTCTACACGGCGATCTCGGTCGAGCAGTTACACACGTTCAGAGCGCAGTTGAGATGATAATCAAACGACTCTCGAACCTGCCACAGCCTCACTACTTTTCTCGGTCTGGCACTGTAGGCACTCACCCTGGCGCTCCAATTGACAACGAACTCCTCATTGCTTATATGAGGCTCGATCAGCCATCACTTGCACTCATGGCCAGGCATAAAGGTTCTCCCGCAATCGAAGCGAACCAGATATTCAAGATACTCTTCTCCGCAGAACATTTAGAGATTCCTAGCGGGTTTTCAACAATTGCTGAGGCTAGATTTTGCCTAGAGGATATCATGTGGCGAGTGCTCCCCACGACTACGCCGCCCAGAGACATCCCGGCACTATGGGACGAAGGTAATGAAACGACATATCCAGATTTCCAGTGGATATCATATCAGTTGAAGCAATGGTTGCAGCAATATGATCTCCCGAATGTGTCAAAGCATCTGTGCTACCGGCTTGCACGATGGCACGATGCATTTTCTCCTCTGCTCAACTATGCGATATCGCCGATTGGAGATTCGTTGTTCATACCCGCGGCCATCATGCATATTCAAGCACTGGCGGCGGAATTGATAATGACCGGATTCTTCCCGTTGACTTCGACTGAGCCTAGATCGTCGTCATTCTCGAGCGGTCGCTCATCGTCCTTTTCCGATGTTCATTCCGGTTTCTCGGGAGAATCTTCTTCATCCCGAACGGCGTCCTTGACGGTGCCAGAAGTGAGCTTCAATCGTCCTCGTGCTTCGTCGCAAAGATCATCTCCTACACCGAGCTTCGTCGAAACGAATCTGTTTCCCACTGTACATGCTTGTCTGCAATTCTCTCGGCAATTGGCTGGACATCCTCGATTTTTGAAAGGATTTGTTTTCGACATCGGTGTCATTCCCCCTCTAGCAATGATCTCCTTGATGTGTCCTGATAGGCAATTGCGAAAGGATGCCATTGAGGTCCTCCGGTCAATGGCGCCGAGAAGAGAGGGCTTGTGGGACAGTCGAGTGTGCGCAGAAGCAGGAGATAGACTGTTGGCAAGCGAAGACGGTCAGGGGAGCTCGGAAATGATCGATCCTTTGCTTCTGATGTGATTGGTAATCGGGCTCCGGTAATGGTTATGTGGGATGGATTTGGTGTTGGACTTTGTTTTTATGCGGTGGAATTGTTTAACGGTTGCACAAAAGAATATTTATGGGGGTACATACGGGATAAAGGACTGAAGGATCGAGACGACAGGAGTTGCAGCTGGTCTGCAGTTGGATTTATAGAAGGATATTTGATCGCTGGGCGCGACACCCCTCTCTTTGGACGTTCCGTGCTCAAATTGATGAGGCAAGTCCTCCAAGCCAACTTGCCATACTGTGCAGAGCTTATTGGTGTGGTCGCACAATTCAAGAACTTCAATATGGGAAGCTGTCGCAGTATTCCTGGTCAGCTTGAAATCCTGAGGACTACTGTGCGCAGCCACGATCCTTCAAAGCCAACATGGTCGGAGGACTTCATATCCCTGTCATTTTCAGGATTATGTATACGGTCGCATTCGGCATGCGAAGGAGATCGCAGAGTTTAGTTCAAACTCGAACGGTGACGAGACTGGGTAAGGCAGATTCGTTTTGTCGTCCATGAGGGAGGAAGGAATCGTTGCAGGAATCTGCTCGAGAAGTGGTTCGACGGCCTCGACGCGGTCCTGAAGGGTATTGGCATGCTATGTTCGCCGCTGCAGATGCCTCGGAGGCATCGCTTGGAGACGTTGTCTTGGGTTGAAGGAGGTGTATTGTGTTTTGTTGTTGAAACAAAACGCGACTCACGAAATATGCTTTTTGCTCGCGCTTCGGGTCGCCTTCCCAATTCGGAAGCAGCAAACATTGTGAGGTCGTCAAAAGGTCATTCAACCCACGACAGAGAACATTCTACGTTTAACCACACTTCAAGTATATAATCCGCGTTGTTGATCCATTTTCAAGACAGAGCATTTTCCTATCCCCCCTTGCAGACTTGCTTGAGCTATTCAGACAAGCCCTACCAAGCCGTCGAAGACATAGGTCCCAGTGGATCTAATTCTTGACAGTCTTCAAGATGGCGCCTTGGAGTCCATGATTCCTCCCTCCCCTTCAATAATTGATGCAAGACTATGTTATGAATCACATTTGTTCGCAGGCACCAGCAGTACAGCTGGGCTAGGACTAGGACTACGTCCAGGTGAAGTGCCGAACTGCAGTTGCCAGATATCAAACTCCAAGAACGATTCGTACCGTCATTTCGAGTCTATCTAGATTTGAGTCTCTCGAATTATATACATAGTTTATACCGCCATGCAGCAAGCTCTAGGTAGTAAAGGTTCCAAGGTTCTATCCTCTCTTGATATCACGTGTCATCATATGATTTTGGGCAATCCTGAATCTTCGCACTCAGTGAACGAAGATCAGTGTTCCTTAACATTACTCTTTGGCAGCGAGGGAATATCGAGCCTCTTTCGGACACCCGAGAAACCCGAGCGAAGCGAGCATGTTCCAATTTCCGCGAGACAACTTGATGTCGATTTTGAAAAGTGTGCGGCTCAGCGTTTGTATTTCGAGCCCTTCATCCATGCGGCGCAGCACCTTGTCATAGCCCGCTGTCAAATTTCCATAGGCTACTTGCGTTATGCGTATCGGCCCCTCTTCGAAGCATGCAGATCGCAACACCCACACGTCGTAAAATATACCCAACCAGACTTCTTAGTAATGCGAGTTGAATATTGTGCAGGGCTGAGATCCTTCAGCCAAGAAGAATCGGATGACCATTTTACAGTTGGCCGATGGTCGTAATTCGGACTTAAGATCATTCCCTGTTGCTTACTTAAGGGAAGTCTTTTGATTGGCATGGGGAACGACTTGGGGGTGGGACACTAGGAGTTTGCGGAGGACTGGGAGCCCCGAACTGAGGCGCTTCTTGAGACCTATAATTGTTTGGCCCCATCCTGGCGGTGCTTGAATCCGAGAAGAAAGGAAGTGAAGACATCAAATCGAACCAGTCTATGTGACAAGTGATGCAAAGCGTTTTTTTCGGATTTTCTTTGTTTCGGAGCATTGTCTATACTCGGAAACCCGAGAAAGCCTGCCATTATGACAACCGAGGACGTCAAGCGAGGAAGAGCTGGGAAGCCAAAATGTCGAACTGGTTGTAGGACTTGCAAGAGAAGAAGGATAAAATGCGACGAAAACAGACCTGGATGTCATCGTTGCCTCAAGTTTGGCATTGATTGCGACGGCTACGATGCAGAAGTTTTACCACCTCAGAGGAGGCCAAAACCGGCAATTGTCTCAAACGAAGGTCGGATTCTACTTCCCAGGAATCAGTTACCTATTGAAAGAGCTTTACAAACAGCACAGATCTTTCATCAACCAACTATCATGCCGGAAATGGATCCGGACGAAGACTACCAATATTTTCAATTCTTTCGCGACAACCGATTTCATGAGTTCGACGACGGATCATGGATGAGAAATATGATGGCGGCATCTCACGACCAGCCAACTATACAACGTCTCATCTCGTCTGTAGCTGCACTTTGTCGAGCAACGTTCTTCAAGAGTCCCGGCGAAGACCAGACCAAACATCTTCAACACGCTTATCGGCGGTATGGGCAAGGGGTGGAAGGAATCCGCCACTTGGTCTCAACATTCGGCTTGGATTCTGCCAAAACGTTGCTCCAAGCCTCGCTTCTCATATACGTCTTCGAGATGTTGCAAGGCAACATTCCGGAAGCGGTCTGTTTTCTGCAGAGCACATTCGAACACTTAATCTTGCCACGGCTTCCCAACAACAGCCATATTCCTTACACGCACCTGGAACCAATCACCAAATACGCTTGCATGGACTCGGAATTATTAACCTCCTTTGCTCGCCTAGATGTCCAATTTTGCAGCCACCCAGACAACCCAATTCCATCAAGATCCACGATAATAGGCATAGCCTACACCACACAACCTTACGAAATTCCAAGTACATTCACAGAGATTTGCACTGCTCGCCGTTATCTCGAAGACATGATACAACGTGCTCGAGCAGGACTTCCTTCCACTTTAGCACGTGACCTGCACAAGCTGCGAAAAGATTTACCATTCCGAGATGAAGAATCGCTCTCAGATGCAGAGACAGATCATCTTCATTCGCAAATTAAGCAGTGGCAGAGTACCTTCTCTCCAATCTATCAACGAAGTCTAACGCATGAGGGCTCACACGAACTCATCCGCGCTTCGATCCTCTCCGTCCAAGCGGCCAACACATCACTCATTCTCTCACGCTTCCATCCCCAGACCGATCCCAACATAGACCCTCAACTCCAGCTTCCAGACGATGAACGAGAACGACAGACGTGTGTAGAGATCATCGAGATGAGCAGAAAAGCAATTCGGCACGAGGACTTCACCAGGGGGTTTGTGGTTCATGAGGGTTTCTTGAGGAGTATGTTCGTTGTTGGGTTATTGGCTGCAGATGATGATATTAAATATGAGGTTTTGGCGGTTTTAGAGGAGATGGGTGAAAGGAGAGAAGGTGTTTGGGAGGCTGAGAAGGTGAAGAGGGCTGTTAAGGCAACTTTGTCACGGTTTGAAGAGGGAGCGTTGGTGATTATGAGAGAGCTGTACGAAAGAGCTATAATCTAAGCTATGACGATGTGCAATGCTTTGCGTGTGAGGAAAATACTATCTAACTCTCATGTCATGATCAATTAGTAATCTCAAGCAAAAAACACAGGTTTTAACATAGCAAGAAAATTCATAATCTGGGACATGGGGTGAACACTTGAGAGAATTATAAGTTCTGTGGTTACCAGGGTACTTTGGAGGTGTTTCCGTAATACCACTGGACAAGCTACCCCAAATGCCGTATATATGACTCTTGAAAAGATCCTCAAAAGAGACCCACACACCCGAATTCTGGATCTGCCTTTGGAAGAATACGCCAAGCGGAGTCGTAGTGTTCAGCGCGACTGCTGAAGCTCTCGGTCAAGTAACGTCTGGCTTTCTTTGGAGGTGATCGATTGCGGGCTGCGACGATCTGATCGACGATGTGTTTCCTCGCTTATATGCTGGATTCCCAGAACGGGTCGAAAGAATCTTGGCTGAGGAAAAACCGATCCTCCAGACACAGACTAACATTGAACACCTTTCTTAGGAAGCTACTTCACTCTTGTTCGAATGTCTGTGCCGTCATCAAACAATATGCTCATTCCTCATTTCAAAATCAAGCACCGTATTGAGATTCGAATTGATATTCCAAAAGACCACGAGAATCCCGCTAAGGCTTGCGAGACTGAGAAGATCAAAAAACCTAGAGCGGGATAAAGCGGGGTACAAGGTAAAATATGTCAGATGTTGATAGGTCTTTTTCTAGCATCGAACTTTGAAGCTATTTTAAGTGCCGTGTTTTAGACAGACAATCCTTTCGACCTCAACTTCAAGACCATGAGTTTGGTTTGAGGAGGTATGAAAAATTGAGTGGGAGTGAAGATATCTAGCAATCTCAAATAAAAATGGACAAGAGACGGTACCTCAACTATCACAGGGCGCAAGTTCGATTGGCGGAACGCCAACGAGTCGTCAAGCTGCCGATGATAGTCAAAGTCCGGCACAAACTCGAAAATTGTAATTGCGGCTTGATGCCACGTTAGACTTACTGTCAAAGTCTGTTCCCGGGACAGAACATTATACTTAATCAAAGTCCTACACTCTAGCCGGACAATACCTTCAACCTCAGCTAAAAGTTGCAAATTCGCACAAATTGACTAAGCTAATAAGATTCTGGAAAGTCGGGCACAACATTGATTGATGAAAAGTACGGCCCTTAGCTAGGACATTATGAAAACTTCAAGTCTTGTGCTTTAGCTTCCAACAATTGAATGTATGAGTGAGGCCTAGGGCTCAGGAAGTCAAACCTGGCAAGAAAAGATACCTGATGCACTCAGATGTACTCAAACCCTGGTAAGGAAACGACATTTTGGAGCTCCAAATATCAAGGAAGTGTGAAGAGGGGACAAAAAACGAAATGGTCAGGAAGCGATCTGGAGTCCCACTGGGGCAGATATTTGCAAAAGAGTGGGTTTTTAGCACATTCACATCACAATTCACGCGCATAAACACCAAGCACGTCGAGGAAAAGCAAACCTCCATTCATTGCCCACTATAATACACTTCCCCTTCCTTCCCCTTCCCCCCGCCGTCTTTCAAATCTATGCATTTATTTCCCCTCCTCCCTTCCCCCCTCCACCTCTGATTCAATTTTCTCCACCGCAGTGATACAGTGAAAAGGAAAAGCCGGCCAGAAAATCAGTGCGCGCGTGACCCCTGAATCCGTCGTTTTGACGGCATGGCATGTAAGTAAAGCAGGTGGAGATCTATACGTAAGGTAGTGTCATCGTGGTGAGGAAATGGGAAATGTCTTTCTTTGTGATTGATTGGTTTGGTTGTATTTTTGAGTTTTGGGTCGTTATTTTTCGGGGATGTTGGACTCGGTGACTGCAAGAGGAAGGCCGAGAAGGTGGTTTACCACTCGTACTCTCCTGATGCCTTGTGGAAGACGTATTCCTTTCCGTTCACGGTCAGGACACCATCCTTCATGACGCACTTCCTGCGAAGTTGTTAACACAGTGCATGAAAACGCAAGAACAGAAGACTTACCACTTGTTCTTGACACGTTGAACCTTGTCATACATGCAAAGCATGATATGTCCCATACCCTCGTCCTCATCTTCCTCTTCATTCAGACCATCATCCGGATCGTCCAAGTCAGAGTTGATAGCATCCTCATCAAGCTCCTCATCCTTGATACCATCCTTATCATCCTCGTCATCTCCACCATCAGCCTGAGCCAAGGCAGGAGCTAATCGCTTGACTTTACGAGATCTCTTGGCTGGAGTGGATGCCTTGTGTAAAGGAAGCATAAGTCCACCGCCTTCCATAGCCGAACCCATAGCCTCGATCTTTTGACGAATCAAGCCATCAATCTCAACACGACCCATGGCGATCTCTCGACCATCTGCATCAAAACGCTTGATGATACCAAGACTCTCGACTTCGTCACCAGCACCATCAGTTTGTGCACCACCGACACCATTCTGGCCATTTGCTGTTGCTTGTTGCATTTGACGTTGAGTAGTTGCAGCTAACATGCGTTGATATTGATCTTGAGTTATATTAGGTCGACCTTGCATTTGTCCCTGTGGCATAGTCAAGCCTTGAGGTATAGCAGATTGCTGTTGCTGTGCTTGTTGCATTTGCCGAACTTGTTGCATCTGCTCCATAGTCGGCATCATTGACTGTTGGCCATTCTGTTGCTGTTGCTGTGGTCTTCCGCCTTGGATAGCGTTGATCGAGGCAGCAGCACGAGGACCATAACTCTGATGGAGGTGTGCCGCAGCACGTTGTTGGGCGGGTGTAGGTCCGGAATAAGGCAGTGGGGCAGCTCCATTATTACCATTATTCTCTAGGCCAGGCTCTGTCTTGATGCGCGGTGCGTTACCATTATTGCTAGGCTGTGGCATAGTAAGACCACTTTGAGGCTGTTGGACGGGAGGTGTGTTATTCATAGGCTGGTAATTGCCAGCATTAGAGGGGACGGTTGGAGGATTAGCGATCTGGGGGGTTGGTTCTGGCTTCGGGTCCCACGGGAAAGTGGCGACACCGAGTTGTGACAGCTTCTGTTGCCAGCCCTAAAGACATTTGTTAGCATGACTATCATCATGGATCGGTATGACAGAATGAGTGCATCCAATGAAACAGCTGAATGTGACGGAGTCAATGGTTGCCTCCTGAGCAATGCACGTGATGCATCCAAGTCTCAAAACGCGCTAGCGCAAAGTGCAAATTTGCAAGCGACCAGGCCAGGTATAAAGCCAAATACTCAGGGCCGCCCACTCGCGAAATGGCCAGACACACTGCGCACAGGCAGCAGCGAACCTGCCCAGCACAAATGCTCGAAAACTCCCAACGCTCTCAACACGCGATAAGAAAGTACAACAACATCATTACGAAGATGAGATGAAGACATGATGGAGGTACACGAGAAGGAATGATCTCGATGATGGAGATGGACGGAAGCCCGAAGGAAGGGAGCCAGGCTTACCAGTCTCAACTCTTCCAGGACTTGCTCATCGACGCCGCCCTCTTCAAAATCGACTCTCGATGTATCAACGACATCTGAGATGATCTGCTGGTATATGTTTCCGACCTGAGTATTCGACATGTTGAAGGCCTTTGACGGTGCGGTTGTAGTGGGAGGAAGTGTCGTGCGTACACCTTTTGCGCCCGGTCAATCTACCTCGCCGTCACTGCCTCGGCGACAGCCCTTGACTATTATCTGAAAGATACGAAGGTCTCGTGAGTAATCGGAGGAGGCACTGAGAACGCGCGAGAGGTTGAAGGTATTCGTGGTTGTTGTTGCGAAGGAGAGAAGCTGGTGACGAAGAAGTCTTTGTCCGCTCGAATCGCCGAACCGCCCAAACCGCAAACCGCACAACCCCAAGTGAATTCGTAACCCTCGTAGATTGCCTCTCTACCCTCTTGATTATGTGTAGCACCTTTGGGGACGAATTTATTCTTGTTCTGACCTGAAGGTGGACTGTGCTAGTCCTTGGGTGTGGAGTTGTAAGAGGGAGATCGCTTTCGCTGGGTATAGGCATGGAAACCACGCTAACTGGTAACGCGCTTACATAAGGCCTGAGCCTCTTTAACGATAAGATGAAGCTGACCTTCACAATTAAAAGTTTAGCAAAGATTCACTTTTACTTAGCTTCTTTGACTTTATCTTCACCAACATCTAGATGTGTCGAGAACTCAGTTCGAAACTGTCACTTTTGGTGCTCGGAGCATTTTCAAGAGCCGGATGTCCCTCGGTAAAGAGAACATGGGTAGCAAACGTGGGATGGCTGACGGTCACGATCTTTCATGCAAGCCATCATAAGCACTGCGTAAGGTATTCAGCAAACCGGGATTGCTGAGAACCGCATCTCATCACTTCATGCCATCTTGAAACACTGTGTAGACGCGACAGTAATATTACAATCCTAATTGATAATCCATCCTAGGTACAAGTACTGGTCATGAAGCCTGCCAGCAGAAGAGTATGGTTCCGTTCCTCCTTTCCAGTCATCCATCATCAAGCATAATTCGCACCAGGTGAAGCACTTTCGGCCGTGGGCATTGAGGCATCAACAAACTCCCCAACGCCACGCTATTCAATCCAACCGCTAATGCCAGTATGGAAATTCGTTCTTATACTTTACCCTGCTCTCTTGGAAGCCCGGACACTTCACAGAGCCTTGATGATATCCACGTTAGCGGATAGTCATTTGCTTGACCATATCAGCCTTTCCAGAAGCACCTGAGCCGCTCGCCGAGGAGCTGGCACCAGCCTTCTTCTCAAACACCTTCCAGAACTTCAAGCTCTCATCAGCAGCTACTGTATGTTAGCGAAAATCCCAAGAAGGTATAATCAAGACTTACCAGCTGTTGCAAGCATCTGCCCATCAGGGCTGAGGCAGCTGTGGAGGACTCTGGTCTCATGAGCAGGAATCTCAACATTGCGTACCAAAGTTGGGTAGCTCCAGATGCTGATAGAGTTGTCTGGGAAACCGCTGGTGCTGACGATTTCGCGATAGTGGGGGCTCCATCTTAGGGATGTGACTTGAGAACCAGTATCAATGCTGTTGACACGAGCACCGGTAGTTGTGTTCCAGAAGTGGATGTGACGGTCATAAGATCCACCACCAGTAGCGAGGACGTTTGGTTGCCATGGGCACCAGCTGAGGGCCTTTACGGCGGCCTTGTGGTTGGTCTTGGTGAACTTGGGAGCTCCTAAAGAGCGTGCGTCCCAGATGGAGACGAGATTGTCATTTCCACCAGTAGCAAGCTGAGCACCATCGGCTCTCCATTCCAGACCACATACTTCAGAAGTGTGAGAAACAAGCTCGGCAATCTTGTGCTCTGCGATACGAACATCGTGGTTGAAGACGAGACCAGATCTTGCTCCTGTAGACAGAGTGTGCTTGTTCCAGCCCATAACACCAACACGAGTATCGTGACCGTGCATACTTCGGAGCTTGGTACCTTCCTCCACATCCCAGATTTGGACTTCTCCCGTGCCAAGGCCAACACTGACATAGGCGCCATCACCAGACCACTTAACGCTGCTGACATAGGTGTCTGGGCTGGTCTCGAGAAGGGAGTTGACAGTTCCGGATTCAGCTGACCAGACGTAGACGTTACGCTCGAGACCGATGGCGACTTGGTTGCCAGAAGACCAGTCAAGAAGGTTCAAGTAATAGTCATCAACTAGACCAGGAGCATCGAGGACGCGCTCAGGAGCTGTGGCAACACGGCGTCTGAATTGTGCTGATGCAGCATTGGCATTCTTGAGAGGTCGGTTGTATTGTGATCGAAGGTCGACTGGCTTGGACGACTCGGGAGGGGCAGGCTTGAAAGCAAGGATGCGTTGGTTGAGGGAAACACCACAAGCTGATGCGAGCGAGTCTGTGTAAGCGACGGTGTTTGGAGATGGACGAGTGTATGTAGAAGGCTCTTCATCGTCGTTGAGGGACAATGAGTTCAGAGCCGCCAATGCATCATCTGCTGCAGACGCGAGAGCTGCTGATCCTTCACCACCACTTGTCTTTGGTCGTTGCTTGTCAGAGTGATCGAGCTTGCCAGATCCACCAGTTGTGATAGCTGAGCTTGCTCCACGGTTGGGGATGAAGCGATCTCCGTATGAAAGTGTAGTCTTGGTAGACTTCTGTCGAAGAGGGCCCTTTCTTGATCGGCTGCTGCTTGGGGTCTTCGCACCAGTACCAGTAAGAGAAAAGTCGGAGACACCGAGTTCCAAGGCACGACGAGGAGTTTGTGCGCCTTTGGCAATGTTAGACTTTGGCGAGTCGCGGTGTGAGGTTCTTGATGCCGACTTTGTGAAATGTGATGAAAGGTTTCCACCGTATGTGGACTTGGATGATCTGATACTATCGTTGTCTAATGTCTTTCTCTCTGGTGTGAATGGAGATGAGTTGTTATTCGACATTGCGGCTGTACGAGTACGAGGAGATGGTGTCAGAGGCATCCGTCCGCCAGCGGTACGTGTGGAAAATAGTCCAGCATGGGACTTCATCGGGGTAGATACTGCAGTTGCCATTTTGCAATATTGGGGTATGATCTCGGTCGAAAGACAAGTAAATGTATCGATCGATGATAAGAGGTTCGGTATATCGAACGAGCTCCAAGAGACTCAACCTAATGGTTCCTGGTAGTTGTTTGGTTAGTATGTTCGTTTGTTGTGCTCGATATATCGAAAGCCTTCGTCAAGAATGGCTTAAGTCGGAGGCGATCAATGGCAGTACTTTGAAAGTACAAGCAGAAAGATCTAGAGGACTTGGAGTATTCTTTGTATGAAGGCAGAATGATGTTTGCTAAAAGCAAGAGGTGGAGAGTAGTAGAGGAATGAGGAGTGCGGTTTTGTAGAGTTGCAGTGTGCGAGGAAGGAAAGAGGAGGAAGTAAATTGGAAGGCTTTTATGCGTTGACATGGCGGTTGCCCATAGCGACGCGGGATGCGCTTTGGCTTGGTGCCTGAGGCTCACAATTCTGCACGTTCCCTTTGGGACTAGTTCCGGCCCCTACCCGTTTCCTCCGATCTTCAATGTTTGACAACCAAAGACAGGCCGAAATTATTTCGATTCACTTGTGATCCAGCCTCGTACCTTGTCATTCGTTCCACGCCTTCTTCTCCCTCAAATTGTTGGAGATTCTCCCTTCGCTGCAGGTCTTGCATTCACTCTAGCATGACCGGATAGGATCTCTGCAAGAATGGCTCAGCCTTCGACTCCTACTACTGGACCCCCCTCCATTTTTGGAACCTCAACGGACAACCGACTTGCTCCTGCGAACGTCCTGACCCCTGGCTCTGCCACTTCTTCCAATAATACCTTCCTGATGCCCAATTCCCCCGTCAAGGGTCGGCTGAGTATGGAAGGCTATCGCCCAAAGGTCACCAGGACTCTCGGACAGCGACCAGCCTGCTTGGTGAACGCTTCGGTCACCTACTGCGGAAACAACCAGATCTATGCCTTTGGTGGCTTCGATCAATATACTGATGAGGTCTACAACCATGTCCTGAAGCTTGATATGATTAGCCATCAATGGAGTCTTGTTGACAATTACGGCGATATTCCAGGGGTTCGTATGGGTACGTGTGCTATCCTCTTCCTCCTGGCTGCCCCACTAATTGGTTTAGGTCATACTGCCACACTGCATCAGGGCGATAAGTTGCTTATATTCGGCGGCGAGAACGAACATCGAACTTACCTCTCAGACCTCATTATCTTCGATCTCAAGACTGCGCATTGGACACAACCCGCTGTCACTGGCCCTATCCCGAAAGGCCGTGCTAGACATGCTGCGGTTCTACACGAAGACAAGCTGTTTATCATTGGGGGAATCACTGGTCACAACAATTATGTCTTGGATGATATCTGTTACTTGGACCTCAAGACTTTTACCTGGTCGCGAGCTTGGAGATTTGTTGGCAGATTCGACCATTCCGCATATCTATGGGGCGACCGAGTCTGGGTCTTTGGTGGATTGAGTGAGGATATGGACAAGATTGGCGATATCTGGTGGCTAGACTTGAAGGGTAGTCCTGCTTTCGAATCACTTCCCAGCATGGGCTCAATGGATCGTCATTCAGCTCTCACTCGTATGGGTGGTTCACCACGGCCATCATATGCCATGGCACCGCCTGCGGCTGTTGGGAGCTCTGGATATGCTGCAAATTCAAGCAGTGCACAAGTCAATCCACCTTCCTTTCAGCTCACCAGCACACCACCCATTGCACCCGGTACCATTTCTTCACTAAAGTTCGTATCTGGTCCAAATATCCCAGCACAAGGCTCTGGCATGCATTTCCATGTCTATACATCTGGAACTTTGCTGGACTTTGTCACTCCTGCTGCAACTATTACTCCTCAAGAATGCTCCTTGTCATCCCTAGAGCTTGACACTCTACGCTGGCAGAAATTGGCGGAGGGCCGAGATATATTCAAGCCCGGATACAGATGGCATTATTGCACCATGAACGAGGATGGCACCAAGGCATGGCTTCTGGGCTGTCCAACAGACCCCACTGCTACAGATCTAGGACCAGGTGGCTTTGAAGAATATCTGAGGTGAGTCATCTCGCAGCAGACATGTTTCATACTAACAGCATCAGCGATATTATGGAAATCGATCTCCGTCGTTATGGTATCATTGGAAACAACCTTACCCCACCCCCTCCTGTAGATACATCACGAATGCTGCGATCTGCTGAGCGCATGGCCCCACAACCGTCGAAAGGTCTCGGATCAGATCTTGCAAAACTTTTCAATCAAGCTCCAGAGAGTGGCAGTGGTACCGACTTCACAATTACGGCTTTGAAAGATGGCGATTGGGATGACGATGAATTGATGAGTTCGTCAATGCTGCGTAACGACGAAGAAAACCAACAGACGTGGCTCGATTCGAATGCCACCACATCACCTCCGATCCACGTTCACAAACTCATTCTTCAAGCTCGATGGCCCCATTTCGCAAGACTGTACAGTGCTCAGATGGCAGAATTTCACACAAAGAAGATGCACATCCCAGAACCCTATACTGTTGTCAAGGCATTCCTCTATTATCTCTATACGGATAGTATTCAGCCTGAAGACTGTGGCGCGTTGAGCGATGTTGCAGGTCTACTGGTCATGTCGAACATATACAACATCCCTCATCTTCGACTTCTTTGCGTCAATCGTCTCTCGAAAGAATTGGATGTTGAGCATGCCTGCATCATCTGGCACTGCGCCGGTATTGCGAACGAAGAGTGGCTTCGTAGACGTGCTGCTAATTTTTGCTTGATGCACTGGGGCCGAGTTGTGCGTACACAGGGATTCATGAAGCTTCCTCGTCAAGCACTACTTGAGATTAATCAGGAGATCGACACGGAAGGTCGGGTTGTAGGAGGTGAGGAACTTGATCTAAGATATTTGAATATATGTTAACATTAATCTAGGAGATGAGTTAGAGTACGTTGGCGGACTTGGTGGCTCTCGATTCGGCTTCGGTGGTGCGGCTCGCAAGGCCAGCATCAGCAGTAATCAGACACAGCAAATGGGATCCGAGGTTGACGAGAACGAGGAAATGGAAATGAACTGACGATGAACGCTGCCATGTGCATTATGAGGTGCAAATGGCGTTCTGGCTTGTAAAGGGTGGTGTTTGATTGTACACCGGGGGCAAATTCCGATCAGAGACAGCGATTGCATTGCTTAGGCGTTCAACGATTGGCAGATATGGAGTGGTTGCTTTGCCTTATTAGTGAGATACCTACATAGTGATCCGTCGAATGGATATATTACTTGCAGGCGTTTGTTCGCCAGGCATTCTTTTCTTTCCGTCACTGTTAACGATTGACACTTCATGGAATTATGAAATAAATCTCTATTGTTCCCTATGTTCTGAACATCTATGGCACACTATCTTTTTCAACCATCGTTCCATTCGAGGATAGTTCCTCAGTCCAGACATTGCATTCACGTTATTCTCACCTTAGAAGGTAGTCAATTATGTTTGATCTGTTGTACCAGACCAAAGTGTGGACTTCGTCAATATCTGTTATGAAGTACGTGCCGATGGTTTCGAAAGTTACACTGTACCAAGGTTTTCACCGAGAGTCCCGCAGTGGCGAGGACAATGGGGACGACAAATAGAGTCTCAAAAAATACAAAGGCGAAACTAAACTCTTGCTCGTGCATGGATTTTCAGTGGTGACCGCGAATTCTTAGGTGTTGAGAACAGAGAGGGAAACTCCAAGGGGTTGATTCCAAATACAAATCCAAAATAAAGCGAATTGTGTGTCAAATGCAGGTGTTGATCCAGAATTCCGTAAATGTCGAGGATGGTGCAGGCTGGATTTTGCGGGCATTGTTGAAGTTGTGCTGCTAGAAAATTTCTCAAATCTCCCATCGTGCTGAGGACTGTGGATTACAAAGATCTCCTAAGACAATGTAGAGAAATCTTCGTAGTCTTCGTTATTCTGCCATTCAGTACCCATTTCGAGTCCGGAAATTGAACCATTTGAAAGTTCTGGAGATGTTTTTTCGTCCTGGGCCGGCTCTTGAGGCTCGGGATGTCCCACATCTTCGGGAACATCGAGAGGCGCAGATACTTGCTGGTCAAGAGGAGCAGGAGCAGGAACCGGTCTAGCGTACAGAGATTTGTATGGTCTTTCTGATTGTCCCGCAGACGCTATGAGATTTTCGGCAGCATTCGAGAGAATCGGAACCGTGGGAACTGGAGCATGTCCCAATTGTGGTGGGAAATTGGCGTTCTGTTGTCCTGGTAGAAGCGCAGCATTCGAGGGATTTTGAACCATGGGAACTGGAGCATGTCCCCATTGTGGTGGGATACTGGCATTTGGTTGTCCTGGTAGAAGCGCGGCATACCAGGGATTTCGAACTATGGGAGCTGGAGCATGACCCCATTGTGCTACGATACTCTCATTCTGTTGTGCTTGTAGAAACTTAGCTTGGTCATTCTGGAACTGTCCTGGGATAACTGGTCCGAAAGGCTGTTGGTGGTCCCAATCCAACAGGTGTTGCCAAAGTGCGTCAGTCAGCTTGATTTCAGGGTTTTGCACTTCCACGAAACGCTTTGCGACCTCCAGCCGCACCCTGTAAAATATCATCAAAAGTGCCATGGTGACAGCAGGAGCTTCCACCTTGCACCGTCGATCATAGATCAACAAGGTGCCGTTCTGCTCAATGGCTCCCTGTGCAAAATTGACAATATCGTTAAGTTGGCGCTTCCACTTCTCCCAGTCAGGTTCATCCTGGTCAATTTTCACCCACAAGGGAAGGATGTTACTACTTCCAATCTCCTTAGAGGTCATTGGGTATCTTGACACGCAGATAGCATGTGTGATGTGATGCGGAAATTCGCGTTTACGAGCCCTGTCACAATCTGACCAGCGTGTCATTGCGAGATATGCGCTGTTGGTACGCGTGCTGATACTACCTATGAGATATACGAGAGGTTGTTTGAAGTGAAAATATGGGCCACCGAATTGCACTGAAAAATATCCAGCGGGACCTGGAGCATTGTGCTGAAGTGGTGCTGGAAACTGGTTTGCAGCTCCATTAGCCTGAAGATTGGCAGGCTGGTTGAAATTCTGAAGGTGTCCAGGATAAGCGGGGACATTCTGGGTAGGTCGTGCCGCAAAGTGGTATGTAGCTCCATTGAAAGTAGGAGGTAAGACACTTCCAGAAAATTCAGCAGGTGAGACATGCTGCGGGAACTGTGGTGGAGTTGCGAGGCCATTATTGACCTGATAGTTGGTGTTGCCGTTTTGAAAATATCCGACCTGGTTAGGGCTAAGTCCTTGGCCGTGTGCTGTTCCTGGAAGATTGAAACCAACAGCGTTGCCATAGACATGTGCCATCCGATTCGAAAGATTTGGTTGAAGTTGTGCTGGCCCAGCGACTTGGAGACCAAAGGCCTGAGATCCAGGCATATTGGTAGGCTGAGCATGTTCCATTTGAGAGGGGACAACTTGCTCAATCTTTGCTCTTGCTGTAGCTGCAGCGCCTTCAAGAGCAGCCCTCAAGCTTTCGTCTTTGCGGTCTTCCTCAGTAGTATCCGGAAGATCCATGATTGATTCCGAATTGAGGAATGACTCGTCGATAGATCTTATCAATCTCTTGAATTCGAGGACTTTTCGATTGAGTGGTGTGATCTGAGAGAGTTCTTGTTGTACGTTCGAAGGCCAGACAATTGACTTAGAGATCGAAATCTTGGTCGAAGAGCATGAGGAATATGTCGAATTTTCAGAAAAGCAGAAATCGGGGGTGTCCAAACACTACAAATGACAGAAGTATTGTACCTAAAGACTCTTCAGTCCAAATGCGAATTGTGAGTCGATTTCATTTTGAATTGCTCTAACAATCGGCCGGTATTGCCATCTGGACCGACACGTGACTTGGCACCACTGCTATCCCCACAAGAGCAGTCATCACTGAGTAGCTCTGATATGACATCCTAACTCTTCCTAAAATTCACACAGTAGAATTCAAATTATAATTTCAAGTAGCAAACGTTCACGTTCTCAATCTTGAGAACCCGTGCACGAAAAGTACCCCTGAATTAAGCGAGAGTTTGGATCTGGATCTCTCGAGCTGCTGGATTACATGGAGGACTCTGACAATAGCGCGACCTGGATGTATTCCACTTTACTAGTTAAAATTACTATCATAGTGATGACGAGCTAGAATTCAAGGGGCAAAAAGAAATAAGAAAGGCAAGTATATTGTGGAGCTTCCGCTTCTTTTGGAAAGGTCTCGTCCATAATCTTTGATTTCAATCTTGTAATCCATTAATCCATTTCTCACTTCTCAGAAGTACTATATCCCACCTATCATCCTTTTCATCAAGAAGTATACCTAAACTCCGGATGCCTATACCCCAACTCAACCTTCTCCCCCTCGCTCAACCCCACCAACCTCCCATCCCTCTTCCCCTGCGCCCTCATCCTATTCTCCCACCTCGTATACAGAATAGCCACCACAGCAATCAAGCCAGCTACCGCCGACGCCCCAATGTTAATATAATGACCCCTCCTATAAAGCGGCGCATCCTTCGCCAAATACGTCCAAACCGCCAACAACGCACCCGAGCTCCCAATCCCCACAATATACGCACTCGACACAGCACGGATAGACTGCCCCGCAGCATTGTTCAATCCCCAAGCTAGAAAGATCGGTCCACCTGGAAACGCGCCCATGGATGCGAGGAATACAGCGCCATATTTCACAGAGTTAGAGCGCGAGGTCGCGAGGAGTGAGTACCCGATGATCGCGAGCACGGAACCAAAAAGTAGGAATGGGCCTCGGATCTTGTATTTGTCACTTAGACGGAAGATGAGGACTGACCAGACGCAGGCCACGGCATAGGGTGGCACAGAGTAAAATTGCGTTTTGAGCGCCGTCCAGCCGAGGGCTTGGAGGATGGTGGGTAGGAAGAGGGAGAAGGATTGGACCGAGACGTTGATGGAGAAGTATCCTAGGCCACAGAGCACGTTGTCGATATTCAAGATTCCGCGCTTGACGTGATGAAACTGTGTTTTCTCGGCGGATGTCTCTTTGTGTTCGCGATTGATGCGTTCTAAGGCTATATAGCGATCTTTCGGCGTGAGGAACTCGCACTTGTCAGGCGAAGAAGGTAGGATGAAGATAGCGAGTCCGGAAACAAGGACGGTGAAGAGTCCTTCGAAGAAGAAGATGTTGCGCCAGCTGTAAATTGGTCGAGAGTGGACACCCCATTTTGGGATTTCGGAGAGGCCTGCAGCGAGGAGGCCACCGAATGCGCCGGCGAGGGTGGCTCCTTGGATGAAGATTCCGACTCGAAGCAGCAGTTCGTGACGCTTATAGAAGCAAGAGAGGTAGTAAGCGATTCCTGGGAGTGTTCCGCCTTCAGCGATGCCGAGGAAGAATCGTGCAGCCAGGAGACCGTGGAAGTTTGTGAGGAAGGCATGGCAAAGGGAGATTAGGCCAAAGGCGATAACAATTGATGGTAGGACAATTTGAGCGCCGACGAGTTTGAGGACGAGGTTGGATGGGATTTCGGTTCCCTGTAGATATCGTAAGTAGCTGCCAAGACCTGGCTTGTGTTTGGAAGCCAGCTTACGATGTAGGCTAAGTAGAAGATTGTCAAAGCCCAGTTGAAGCGGTAGCCAACTAATTTCAAATCTGTTGCCATCCCTTCAATACGCGCGTTCCTGAAAAATTATCAGCCGTTGACCTCCCCTACGCCACAATCTTTCGAAGTCCGTTTAAGGAGATGTGGTTCAAGTAGAAGATGATTGCGTACCCAATATTCGACCTGCAAAAAATCAGTCAGTCCTCCCTTCGAATTTTCAGATTGTGGCTCACCGATCAATGAAGCACATCAAATACAACATCAACACAGTCGGGATCATCCTCACATCCATCCGCCACCTAATCCTCCTTTCATCCTCTTCCGTCCACTCACCATGCCGGATCTCCTCATCCGAAGATACCTCCCTCGCAGCAGGCAAATTGGCATCAATATGTTTCTCTTTCTCAACCATCTTGACCTAATTTCTCCATAGAAATGAGCTTAGAATTGATGGCGTCACAAATGCTGAGGAGGTCAGACATATTTAAGCTCGGTCTTGGCCATGCGGGGATAGGTGGGGCCGATCAATATTGAACCCTGAGCTTTCCATCAAATGGGGAGACACAGCATGTTCATCGGCAGTTTGTCAGTGTAGAACCAATTGCGTTGTCTCGTTAAATACCCTGTTGCAGTTCGTAAGCTGCAGACAAGGTGTTGCGCATCGGCTATTTGGCTGTCGATTTTATCCTCGAGGCATTGACTACCGAGTCTGGAACAATTCTCCGTGGGAATATGCAAGTTTTGGTTGGTGGCAGGGAGATTGTTGGCCCGGGTAGGGCGTAGGAGTATCTTTTGACAGCTACCACCTGGAAAGGTGTGTTGTAAACCGTTGTCCAAAGTCTAAAAGAAATGGCAAGTACATGCATGGGATCTTGAAACTTTTGAATAGTATTGGAGCGGTTATCATTTGCATGTGCTATGGCGCACATCTGCCCAAAGAGTGGATGGAAAGCTATCTATAGTTCCAATAAATGCATTGATCAGTCTTCTCGGGCCTGCACTTGCGGAACTCCACTTCTTCTCATCATCACTCGAAGAACTACGGACCGACTAACCTTGTAAAGTCTCAGTATGGCCTACCAGTACGAGGTCATGCAGATGATGAATCAGGTGATTCCGATATAACCTCAACTAAACCTAGGCGGAGAACAAGGTCTGCATGCAGACTGCAAAGCTAACCCTCAGGGTACGGAGTAGGTAGCGAGATACGTTGCATTTCGCCTCAACATAACCACACTTCAAGTCTTCACTTGATGAAGTCAAAACAACTTGGAAGGAAGACAGTGGGATACAAGAAGCAGTAACAGCATCAACAAAAGAATTCTCAGCAAAGAAACACAAGGTGGTTGAACATACACATTATACTCAGAGCCTTGATCTACCCAACACCTACCTCCTATCATGAATCGACACATTCTCCTCAGGAAACATCTCATAATAAGCATCCGGCGCCGGGATCTGTTTCGCCTCCACCGGTCTCGTGATATTCCTCCCCATCATCAATGGCAACGCATGTTCCTCCTGCCACTCCACAATCGCATCAAAGTCTCGGCACTGATGATTAACATAGAAGTCCGGAAACGGCCAATCCTGAGTCTCCATCCAATTGAACGTCAACATTTAGACTGCCTTGACACATCAAGGTCTGCATCAACATGTCTGTGCAATGCGACACGTAAATCCAGTGAAGATCGAAAATGGGTGTTTGCCATGCTCCGGGTCGCGATCATATTCCGCCGATGCCAAGTGTCGAAGCAGATTTAGACAGTGGATCTGATGGAAGATGTCGAGCTGCGCGACGTACGCTTCGGCTCCCAGGCCGTATTCTTCGGGGAACTTGACAGCGAGTTCGGGGTCCTTGCCTAGTTTGCGGACCTCATCAGCAGTGATGGGGAAGGTTCGGATGCTGTCGAATTCTTCCCAGGCGGCTTCGACCTCTGGGTCTGGTTTGCGAGCGTTGCGCCAGCGTGAGGGGTGGTCGGATTCGAAGAGTGCGCCGTCCGCTTGGAGGTCGAAGGTTGCGATCTCTAGCTTGTCGAGGACGGGAGCTGGTCATTGTCAGTATTCTCCTAGGTACAATGCAAGAGGGGAGTTCTTAGTCCTTACAGTAGTATGATGTCTTCTTCAAAAGACTGTGTATATCAAGAATTCCGACATGTTTCTCGTGCAAGCTGTTCGCAAGGATGGACAAAGAGAAGATGAAAAGGATGATATTAAGAGCACACCATCGCCGTGAAGTGCATGATGGGGTCCGAGTCCTCGATGCCCACTCTTTCGATACCCGTTCCTCGTCTATCGAAGAAGTTGAAGAGGGAAGTAGAGTCTCAACTGAACTGCAATCCTTCTCTTCATCCTCTCGCCTCGATCTTGTCCAGAGCCATTTGTTCGGCATGTCGGGGGAAAGTTCGATGCAAGTTTGGAATGAAAGAAGCAAAAGTCTCGAAGTTGATTTTCACTTGAATAGCTTCAGTAAATTTGGGCGGGAGCAAGGAAGATGGGGGGGGTATTGTCGCTAGAACAGAACAAAAAAAGATAAGTCCATCTACTAAGAGGTTCGAACGTGATAAGCATCGCATTCAAGTTCTACATTAGGTAGGTGTCAAAACAATTTAGGGTTGGACGCAGATCAGCATCTTCGCGGCGCAGTAGAATCGAACGCTTCTGACTAATTTGCGGCCTAGATTGGTTCATTCGGTAGTGTTAAGCTTAAAATGGGAGGTTGATACAGGACCCCTCAATGCCCCGCCACTTCGTCATAATCTATAGAGGGGTGATTCCTGCGATGGAAATGTATTCATCATCCTTCACTGTGTTTTGGATGAACTTCTGCCTTCACGCAGAACCAAGTCGGGAAAATAGTCGGTATTTGCATGGGGACGCTCGGGCCTGTCGGCCGACTTTTGGAAAGCAATTGAAGCGATTGCAGTAGTAAAGATTACTGATAAGTGGCTTGTGAAGCTAGAGCACATCATGGACAGCGCACCAAGTTGGAGTACACAAGTTAGGAACTGCCTATCTGAGACAAACGAGGATCTTCCGTACTAATCTCCAAGTGAATACCCTAGCTATCTTGAATCCGTCAGTGGAGAAGTCTCCAACTGAAGCTGCTGTGTGAAGATAGTCCCTCACTATTATTCCTTCACGTCAAAGTAGCAACACCGTGAAAGCATAGCCAATGAACGTATTTGAGAGCAACGACGAGTTGTTGTCCTAGATGGGATGATCAACAACTAGAGACTTCACCTTCTGTAATTGTACTTCTGTAATTGTACTAGGAGCGTGAAACTTAGAATGGTTCCTTCCAGTTACCAATGGGCTTCTTCGCAAAATTAGTATCAGGAAACTCTTCCATGTCGGCCGCTGGACCGTCTTGTGCTACACTGTAATGCATAAAGTTGGGGACCACCTCCACGTCGGCCGCTAACCACTTCACTTTAAGTATACTGCATATAGTTGAGAAGACTTCCACAAAGTTTGGCTTCCCGAGCAATCAGACACCCAATACCCGCCGTTGAAGATTCAAAGCGACAAAATAGACAAAATGCTTTTCAAGAACATGCTCCTGGTTGCCGCTGGACTCGCAGCCTTAGGGTCAGCAGCACCAGTTGCTGGTAAGTGCGATGCAGTCAGGAGATAAAACATTACTGACAGAGCTTAGAGTCAGTTCAAGCTCATGAAGCAGAGGTTGCAGAGCGTGACGCCAGTATCTATGGAACAGCCCACACTCTTAAGATGGCTGAGGATGAATACACGAAGAGGGACGCTAGTCTCTATGGCACTGCTCACACCTTGAAGATGGCAGAAGATGAGTATAAAGCTTGATGAAGGGGCTGGATTTGCTGGATGGTGGGTTATGGGAGACAAAGCAGACAAGAACAGCATTATGGCAGGAATGCGCATCAAAATCGTCAGACTAAAGCGCTGGGAGAACTTTCAAAGATACTCATCATTCGAAATGCTCAATGATCAACATGTGTTCTCTATTCCACTCAGAACTTGAGAAGTCTTTGGTGTCTTGTCTTAGCCATGCCGTGCTTGTGCTGGCGATCTATCTTCATTATTTACCAGTCAGTCTATACCAACAGACTTCCATTCTAACATGGATCACTTGCGATACTGGGAATGTTAAGATCTTGTCGTCTAACATTGGTCGTTGTCACTTGATGCTGGTGATGCTGAAGGAGAAAGAGCTTGGGCTTTGCAGATCTCCGGTGATCCCTAAAATTTAGTGTGTTGATATTACATCAGCGCCATTTCCAATGCGTCGGCGCGTCCTTCACTGCAACAACTGTACCAAACATCACCCTGTGAGTTCCTCTCCCTCTCCAGTCGCAATTCCCTCCTTTTCAAGGTTGAATAAATATCTGATTCACACTTTAATCCTTTAAATGGCGTCTCCGGGTAGGCAGGCTCTCAATTGACTTATTGGGCAATGCTAACAGCAAGCAGAAACACCAGGAAACTACATCCTCGAAGTCTCCCTCGACCCAATTGAACTTCAAGAGCAAGAGAGACCAAGTCATCCGTACATTGTCCGTCCCTGCCACGATAATATTTGCTCAACTCCATACCGGTACTCAGTTGGCCGTTGAGTGGGATGACGAGTACGCATACGTATTCAATGTTCACAACTGCGCCGAATGGAGAACTTAAACACAGGTCGAGAAATCGAAAAAACTCTTGCAGATGTCGGACAATCGATGGATAAACTATGGCCCACGTCACCAACGGTCGGATGACACAAGCTTGAACAGCGTCCTCGATGCTCGGTTGTACGCTGGAAAGAAGATTGAATATATCTGGGACTCTGGATATAACTGGAACCACGTTACCACAGTGTTGGGTCGAGCTGATGCCAGTGATGGCATGAAGCTGCTGTCAGGGAAAGGAAAGCCACCTCCACGCCGACGACCATACAGTGTCGGCCCAAACACTTGCAGCGCAGTCGATATAGATGGCATTAATCGACGACTTGATCTATACACCCTCGATATGAATGCTAGTACCTAGGAACTAGATTCTCATGATCATTCCGGAGATTACGGACGATGACAATTTACCAAGGAAGAGACAGCCTAAGTTCCAGGTCGCCAAGGTATTTCAGTATAGATGTTCAATTTATGTACATGTATTCTGTATCTTTCTGTACTTTCCTTCGTCTTAGATTTGCAGCTTTGCAGCCCCCACGTCAATATTTGGAGACCCCTAGTACCGCTCGTTGTACTCTATTGTCACAATTTGTCCAATACTTGTATCGAATTTGTAGACTGGAGGCTTTGGTTGTTCCACATTCACGACTGAACTTGCATTATTGAACCCCACTACAATTCTCCAGAAGGCCGAGTGCCTCTCGAATCCTTTCGGTGTCGAGCACTTCGGTCATGTGTGGAGTTCTGGTAATGGCTACAAGGTCCTCAACTGGTTTCTCTATACTCTTGATTCCTCGGATCATGGTGAATATCTTGTACGCCGCTTTCCTACTGTCCATAAAATCCTCGGACAATGGAATGTCTTTTGTTGCACACCGCAAGATTAATAAATAGGGGAGAGTTATTTCCCAAGACTCATGTACTTGGGTACATGACACTACTTCTTCAATCAAGTCAACTTCAGGAGGCTTGTCTTTCACACTCGGTTGTCTTTAAGCCAGGAGCTTTGCTACGAAATGTTTGTCAGAATGGCCAACACGCATTGTAGGTCAAACTAGAGTGAGGGACAAGGCCGAATCTCATTGGTTTTGTGACCCGACATCTTATGCATTTATGAATCAAATTCTGTCGAATTTGACTCTTGTTCGATGTTGACGCTGAGAGTCACTGCAGGTTATATAGACGGGAATCACGCGACTACGAAGCAGACAATCAAAAGTGATTCTTCAACTACGCGTAATAACTATTTCGATTAACGCAACATGTTCTCTAACAATAGTAACGACAACCAAAAGCCACAATCAAACATGTCGATAACCACGCTCTTCGACTTCCTCAAAAACAGCATTCTCCAATGCTTCCCTTCACCTCGATTCCGCATGATCCAAGTCATCCCCAACCTCCACATCTCCAACTACCCAACCACCATCCCGAAAACGATAACCCACATCCTCACCATGTGCACGAAACCTCTCTCCCGCCGACTCTCTAAAGGCGTCACAACTCTCCACCTCCCTCTCCACAACCAAGACGACATAACCCCGCACATCCCACAAATCCTCACCTTCATAGCCACCGCTCTCGCGGTTCCCAATAACCACGTCCTGGTTCATTGTCGCGAAGGAGTGAATCGTTCGTCGGCTGCCGTCATCGCGTATCTTTGTTCGAAGAATGGATCGAATGCCGCCGACGCGTTTATGGAGCTGTACATGAGGAAGACTGATATTTGTACGAGAAGACGGTTTCTGGAGCAGATAGATGGGTGGTTTGGTGGGGGAGGGGAGTATAAAGAGGATGATGTTAGTAGGGAGGTTTGTGATAGGGTCGAGAAGCTGAGGCTGGGGTGGATGCTTCAGGGGTATTTCATTAGGCCGACGGATTGGGTTTGGATGCAGAAAGGAGGGCCTTGGGAGGGGAAAGACGATGGTGTCACAGCGGAAGACGTTACGGAGATTGAAGAGATCCTTTTGAGTATAGAACCATCGGAGGATAGAGAGAGCGCTGTGGTCGTTGAAGATGTTGAGGCGATTGATAAAGTTCTTTCAAAGGAAAGCCAAGAAGTTCTTCTTTTTTGATGGCTATTTGTGGGGGGTTGGGTCGTTTTCTGGGGGCGTGGTATGGCTTTGCAGCCTTTGCATACTAGGAAGTCGAGAATTACGGAGGTAATTGTCAAGGTAGATCTTCGGTCCCTGTCTCTCGTCTTCTATACAATGTCTCCTCCGGAAAGTCTCATGAAACCTTGATTGCAGGTCTTGTCCTTACGTATGCCACCATCATATGCAGGCAACTGGATTTCCTCCACCATATGGAGATTGAATGAAGGAAGGCATCTGCATAAAAAGTAAAGAGGATCACCACCGGGACCTGGGGGCACAGAGCGAGTTTGGGGCAGTACAGCAGGACAATGTTCTCAAGGAGACTTGGATCAAAATGATCAAAATAGGTAGATGGAAGAACAGTTCTAGGGCATGGTGTCGACAATGAGCAGAAGTTTCTGTTGCATTTGTTTGGTTTGGTGAGAATAAACATGTAGATATAAACACAGAAGTTGTCTTGCACAGTTGGTCTGGGAAAGGACACAATCGAGAGAGTGATGATCTTGAACACCGCTTCCAACCGTAACTCATATGTGTAATATCCTCCTGCAATGAACCGTATTCCTCAGCCAAGTGCTTCCATAGCTTCCTTCGTTACCACCCCATATATTCCTATCTTCTGCATCTTTGGTTCGATGGGCCCTTTCTCCTCATCGGCTTTGAAGAATCAGCTTCTATCACTCAGCGACAATGAGCCACTTACCATACATCAATCCATAAATCAAGAATAGTCCCCAAAAAACTCGTGTTGCTTTTTGATGGCGGAAAAGTTTTGAGCTTTTGGATTTTGCGAGAATCGGAGGAAAAGAGTTCCGGAAGGAAAAGGAATGCGAAGCGAAACGTTTTTGCAAAGAAGCAGCTGTATATAGTAACACCACACTGTTTGTATCTATTTGAAATATCAGCTGCCTTGAAGGGAGAATGGGACATACCGTTCTTCCAAAGAACAAAACCATCTACCTTCCAAGACTTTGCGCCAGCCATGAAACCGGGTCACAGATTCTGGAGATCTTTCTCGAATGTTGGAGTCGTGGTGGTTTGCCAGAGCTTTGGAAACAAAGATGGACTTTTCGAAATCTGAAGGTATCTCTCTGGACAAGACCCTTGACAGGTTCAGATGAGCCTCCTGTTAAGTACAGGATGATCCAACTGGCCTCTCATTGCTAAGCACCACATTAGTGATGATAGCAAAGATTGGACTTTTGTAGCCACCTGGAAAGACTGCCGAAGCAGTCTCTCAACAGGATCAGCCCGGAATACGTTTCAGTGTTATATCCTGGTAAACTTCTTTCGGACTGGATTTGCTAGTGCTATGGGCCTCGAGGTCTGGTAGCATAGACAATTGTTGCCGAGTGTATATATAAGAGGAGAGAAAGAAGAATTGATAAGCCCTCTGAAATGCGACCGCGGAAATGGGCGGAAGTTTTGGGTCGAAAAGAGTTTTGTTGATGGAGAGGTCGTGTGGTTATTGTTCTCGAATGAAGGCGCAAAAAAGCGCGGAGGGCGCGAAATGCGGTAAAAGCGCAAGTATTGTGTTGCTTTCGAGCGCAGGTCGAAGGCGGACAATTCTTTGTTGCATCATGCTGGAGATGTGTAAGGGGAGATGTAGCTGTAAGACAAACTCATGTGTCAGTAAATGGTGGAATATTCTGCGGTTGACGATTATGTTGCGAGGAAGGTTGGAGTTGAAATTTGAGAAGTTTTGAAGCGAAGGAGGTCCCAGTATAAATACAGACGATGCTTGTATGCTAAGCTAGTGCACAACACAAAAGAGGGAATTCGAACGTGACGCTAAGGCCAAAGAACCAATCCTCCGCATACCTTCGCAAGCCCGAACATTACCCCGCTGCGTTAATGACTTCAAATGAGCATTGCAGTGCTACTAAGTCCGGAAACCCAAAATCATCTGATATCTTGTTAGCTGGCTAATCCAGAGGCTGTGCGGATTCGCTTACAGGAGTCGGCCGAAGTTCAAAGGCTTGAAGACCCGATGAGTAGAAATATTGTAAGACCTAAGGTAGATTGACCTTCTGAATGGGAGTTTAGGGAGAGTGATAGTAGACACGTTTCCTCCGATGCTCCGTTCATTGTAATCCGTGATGTTGGACGCTTTTGAGGTTGCGGTTTGAAATTTTGAAGATCTTAAAGGACAGTGGAATGTGATCGTAGATCAGCTGATTCTAAATGCGAGTAGAAGCAGCGAGAGCAGATCCAATTGTGAGACCCGATTAAGAGCTTCGTTGTATGCGCAGTTGCCAAGAGGAAAAGTTCCTTTGCATGTCTCTAGCTTGGGCTTACACAGCTTGAAGTCAGCACTGATCACAGGACATCACGCCTGATATGAATAATTCTGTTGTTTTCGGAGTTAACGCTCAATGAGACATCTTGTGGAGAATGTGTGTCTTGTAATTCTAAGGCAATTTGCATTGCCTGCGCATATTGCGCAGGTAGCGCTCCAAGCGCTATCAGCGCTGAAAGCGGCTGCTGAGGTTCTCGTCACCGATTCTCTTGAAACAAGAATCATTTGTAAATGTACATAACAAAGAGATTGGAATGTATTTGCACAGGGAGAGCGGATGCCGTACGGTCACGGTCTCACCTCCTTCAACACCTCACACACACCTCTATACGCTCTTTTGGTGATGTCATAATTGGAGTCTTTGACTCTACATTAGTCCACATACCACAATAGCTTATATATCATGGCACATGCTCATTCTTATAAATTCAGCGTCCTGAAATTGCTGGTTTTGTCAATCGATGGCCGCCGTGGCTGTTCCCCTATTTGCCCTCGCTTAATGCATCGCCGAGCAAAAAGCTCAAATCTGCCTCGGATGCCTCAGATGTCTGTATATGTTTTTAAACAGTGATCAATCTCTTCGAAAGGCCGACCGCGTCCAGCATATGGTACATTAAATAAAGTGTGATAACATGCGGGGAAATGTTGGTTGCACAATTTGCCACTATTGTATTCTTCCTCGTATTCTCCTTATGTATTACACAAGCTTTCTTGCTTTCGTTGGCTAGGTGATGGATACTATACAGCTGTGAAATTTTACACGCTATCGAAAAGCTTGCTTCGTTCCACCGCCTGTGACTAACCTTTCAAGTGAAGATTTTGATCTATTCGTTCCGTCCTACTCGTTCCGCTAGGACAGACTTCGGAGTCCTTGATGAAGAGTCGTCAGTTTAGAAAGAGACCAGCTAATCGGAAAGAGTTGCACGGATCTGTACTCTCGACGCTGATTCTAGATATTAATGGGTAACTCGGAATTCAATGACCCGATTTTCAGTTCTTGCTGCGTTATCAGGGCAACATGGAATCCTATTGGTCAATCGGAAATCAATTACTGATCATTCCAATGTTTATCGCCCATGACAAGTAATCAACCTTTGTGTCTTGCAATTCCAAATCTTTTGTTGCTTGCGCTTATGTCAGCCTCACGTCAGACAGACCTCTTTCTATCTATCTATTTTCTAGATCTCCTTTCACGTTACACATCCTTCCCGAACCTTCCTACAGCCCACTACTACTATACAAGATGTCCTCTCCAATCTCCAAATCAGCTATCGATGAATTACACACGCTGATTCCGGATCTCAAAATCATTACTCCCGACTCTCCCGAGTATGAAGCTAACATCGACCGCTGGTTTTTCCTCTCTATCAAACGTGCTGGTGCTGTTGTTTTCCCAACCAGCGTCGCCGACACATCATCGATACTTCGCTTCACCCAGAAGCATTCTATCCCCATCGCTGCCAAAGGTGGTGGACATGGCTTACGCGGAGAGTCATCTACCGAAGGTGGGATTGTCATTGATTTGTCCAAATGAAGGGAGTCAGGGTAGAAGGCAACAAGATCATTGCTCGAGGCGGAGCATTATGGAGCGAAGTCTATGCTGAGGCTGAGAAATTTGATTTGGCTCCTGTTGGCGGGATATGCCCTGATGTTGGCGTGGGAGGATTTGTGCTGCATGGAGGGTATGGGTTCTTGTCGAGCGCGCATGGACTAGGCGTGGACAACATGTTGGAAGTGGAGGTCGTGCTTGCGGATGGGTCAGTTGTCTGTGCCAGTGACAGTGAGAACCAAGACCTATTCTGGGCAATGAAGGGCGCTGGTGGATGTTTTGGAATTGTAACGGAATTCGTGCTAAAAGGGCATGAGCAGAAGAATGAGGTTTGGACTGGGAAAATGATCTTCCCGAAGACTACTCTGAAAGTTGTGGTGGAGATGGGAAATCGAATTCTTGAAAGAGAGAATAAGGGGAATGCCGTCATGGGGCACTTTTGGGGGTATTCAACAGAGTCCGAGGAGGTGATGCTTGCGATCATTCCGTTCTACAATGGCCCCCAAAATGAGGCTGAAGAGTTCTTTGCCCCTTTACTCGAGCTCAACCCGATAGTAAATAAGGCGAAGATGGTTCCGTTCTCGCAATCTGGAGACAGTGCAACGGTGGCGGGGAAGTGGCGGAAACTCAGCGTTGCACGTTCTATGATCACTCCAATGAATGCTGACTTCCTCGAAGAGAGATTGAATGAGTTTGAAGAATTCCTACAGAAAGTCCCTGATGCAAGGGAACAATCGATAGTAGGTTTTGAGATTATGGGAACTCGAGCCTTGACCTCGGTCAAACAGAATGAGACAGCATTTGCTGATCGAGGGAACCATACAACCGTGAGGATCATTCCAATTTATCTGAACGAGGATAATTATGAGGTTTGTAAAAAGTGGTGTTTTGAGATGGAACGAAAATTCCAAATGGAATTTGAGCAAAGGCAGAAGGATCCTCTGTTGGATGAGACGACTCGGTCAAGTACTGGGGTGTACTTGAACTATGATGGTGAGTGCTTATTACATAACGAAAATGGCCTACTCACAAGTTATAGGTTTCGGCTTGAGCGCGAAGACAATATTTGGAGTAAATTATGAGAGGTTGGTGGAATTGAAGAAGAAATACGACCCACAAAATGTGTTTAAGAACTGTGTAGACTTGTTATGATGTACTTTATCTCAGCAGACGCTGTCTGGGTTGATCTCACACTCTGTCATCTTGAACGATAGAGCCAAATAAATGTCAAGCATATTTGGTCACAAGAGCAATTCACTACACAGTGTCTGTACCTGAGAACCCTCATTCTTGGACTCCAATGTGCCATAAAAGTCTATCTCCTTCACGATCAATGATATCACCTTGCTTTTCCTCTTCGTCGGACATGGTTGCGGTAATGCTTTCCCACCCTGCCCGAGACCAGCTAATAATAAACCTTTTTGCTGACAATGACAACAGAACAACCATTGACAGAAAACGCTTACTAGCTTACTACATCCAAAGCCACAACGAGACTCACAAGCTCAAAGAAGTCACTGGGAAGTGAATATGCGCCGATGCTTGGACCAAAGATGGCTAGCTCTACTTCTTCTGCTCTTGACTTGTTGTTTTCGTGTTGAAGATTCGCCGTTACATATACCTAGCCTGCCTTTATGTATTCGCTTCGAAAGAGCAGAATGAGTAAAAGGCTAGAGATGTCCCAATCACATGCTCGTTTTGAATCTGCCAAATGTTCACCTCATACCACAACAAACAGCGTTACAGCAGAAACTCGAATATAGACTAATATTGCTTCCGAGTTTCTGAAATTCTATGAGTGGGCTAATTCCTAAGTGTAACGAAAAGCTTGAAAGATAAAATGGTGTAATATAGATGTGAATCCTCCTAGCGAACTTTCTTTTGTTTCGAAGAGCTTGCCACCTGCATCATCTCACATACTCAAACATCATCCCTAGGTAGTGTCTTCTCCTACACCCTTTTCTGTAAGTGCTTCTCCCTAGTGTATATCTGCAGTCATAACGTGGAGCTAATGGCCAATCTCTCCATCTTTGTATCAAGATCTTAGAGGAAACTCTGGATGTTTATAGCAAACAGATAAATAGCCTCCCACAAGCAATTGACAACAAGAATATTATTCACAACAAGATTTTCAACCAAGGATACTTTGCTTGTAAGATTGGAAAGTCACAAAAACGCTACGCATACCCGCCAATAGCACCCAAGCCCGATACGTCCACCAAACCCATGAGTCTCTTGTACATCATCATCGAATTATCTCTGTAGTATGTAGTACGAGCCGGAATGGTGACAGTTCTATTGTATACCCAGTCGAAAGAAGAGGCTCTGATCAGCTCAGAAGTCGAAACTCTGCATTCACCACTTCACTTTCGACTCATGCGTCGCACGACTTTCCGAGTCACACACCTTCATCGTGCGAGGCTTACTTCATTCACCTTATTCCAGAACAAAGTCACTCAACCCCGTCAGCTAAAATCGTCGCCTTGGTACGCCAAACCGCACCGAACTCTACTCCTCTCCTTAGGTACCTGACAATTCAAGAACTGCTCCAGGAAATCTCGTGAGATTATCGATAGGCTCTGAGTTTGAACATTTTAGGTTTTAAACTTCTCATGTGAGAGCTGCAGAGAGCTGCATTCATCTAAAGTACATGACAACAAGAAATATTTGACGTTAAAGGCTCCCTCATGGGAACTTGACAGCGAATCTGGCAATATCACTTTGAATTACCGACTTACTTATGCGTCTCATCTTTTTGGGGAGAATGGACCTCGGATTCCGATCATGACTTCCCCAGTTTCTTCGGTAATTCAAGGGCTGTTGGACACAGTCTTCCAAAATCTTCATCTTCGCGTATATTTATACCTACCTTTCTGTTCAGGAACAGCCCTAGCTTGCTTGTTCCCCTGACTCAACGGCTCCTAAAATTCACTTTTTGCACCCGAAATCTAACTTTAAGTGTCTATTTCTGCTATAAATACCTTCTAGTCAACTTGTGGACAACCTTTTTCTATACACGCCGCTAAACCAACATGGCATCCAGTAACAGGAGGATTCAGCGAGTTCGGTTGGTAATCGGAAAGTAAAAACTAGTGATCTGCTTCGTGGTTGAATCCTGAATATTGATTATTGCAACGAAACACTTGAGAGGAAAGAGGCTTTGAGACGGTGGACAAGGAGGTGATAACAATAAGATAATTGACAACAAAGATTACCTGCAGAACAAAAAGTGAAATCTCATATCCTCCTCGTAATTATAACTACCGAGGCCCCTACGTACACTGTGCTCATAACGACTTTTTCAAAATTCTATGGCCATCACCTAAGCTTAAAAGGCACCAAATTACTATTTTTGGCGCTGCACTTAAGCTGCGATCAATTATATGGTGCATAGTAGCTTATATATCAATTTTTTAATAATATAAAATAACTAAACTATTGTTATGCGCAAGTGAAGTTAAAATAATTGTGTAAGCTTAAGGTAGTAGTAGCGATGGGTCGCTTTAGCGAGTACTATAGCCGCACTAGGAGGTAAGCTTATCATGATAAATGCACCTTACGAACATGGGGACAAAAGTCCGTGCGTTCAGGGCATCAGAATCATGAATTTTATTAATTAATTAGCTGTAGACCAGCCACATCGCTTAATTAAGTCGTGTACCCAGAAGTCCTGCTGCTCAATAAGCCCATTGATCCATTCCTGAGGAATTTTGTCCCATTCTTCTAATACTACTACAACCATTTGAACCTCAGTTGTTGGCTGCCTTAGGCGCCTATGGAGAGCTTGTTTTATTCTCCTCCAGCACTTCTCAATAGGATTCATATCAGGGCTAACTGCAGGATGGGGGAATAGAGTAATACCCATAGAAGTACGCCAAGTAGCACAAATATTGCTAGTAGTCTTGTGGCCGTGAGCAGAGTTGCCGTCTTCCATGAACTGAGGGGTCTTCCCAGGCCCCAAAACAGCCGCAAAAGCAGCTAAAAAATCCTGAATATAAGGCTTGAGTACTTAAGCAAGGTAATCAGTTTGTGTAAATGCCCCACTCTTCCCAGTTCCATGAATGTTGATCAATGGACTTTTGTATCCGTAGCCTACAGCACCAAAGAAGTGTACAGGAATAGTGCCACCTCTATGCATTTGGAATTGAATGCAGTCAGGATGACAGCGTTCCTTCTTATTCCTAATACACCTCTGCTTGCATTTCTTCCCTCCAACTTGAAATGTGACCTCATCTGAGTACAGTATCTGACTCCATTCCCAAATAGTCCAAAACATGTGTGCTATCCCCCACAGCCACCGCGCATTGGCTTGGGTCTTAGTGAGGTAGGGCTTTTGGCAGCAGATACAAGAGTAGTATCCAGCTTCTTTGCAGCGGCGTTTGAGGGTCTTGACAGAGCAAGAGAGTTGCAATTCATCGTGTATTTGGATCCAATTCAGCACTCTAGTTGTATGGTCGGTGCAAATATACTCAATAATATCTCTAACCTCCTGTTCATTGAGGGATTCTCTGGGTCTCCCTGTGCGTGTAGGGCGCGCTCTTTCAGGCACATCGTATAGTAGGATCTTCCTAACTGTGCTGTCTCCTAGGTGGTAGTAGCCCTGGAGCTGTTGCAGGCCTATTTTAGCGAATTTGAAGAGCCGGCGTATGCCCTCTTTGTGCTTGGTTCTGATCTCTGCACCTGGGAGACGTGGAGACATAGGTGGAGTGGTAAAAGGATCCATAATGGTGGAGTTGTTGATAGTTTAGTCCTAATGTGAAGAGTTTTAATTTCGAGGTTCTACAGCCTGAACGCACGGACTTTTGTCCCCATGTTCGTTAGCGAGTCGCTTAGGCTATGATGCCTGACAGCCTGATAGCTGTGCAGGGCATTAAGTAAGCTACGGCTGCTCTAGCGCATAATAAGGACTCCTAACCTTATTATTTTATTAATAAAAAACATGATAAATATGCAGAATTAAATTAAGTGCAATTGCAGTTCAATTGTATCGCGATCATTAATTATTCTTAGAGTTTTGGAGTCTTCTAAGCTTGGGTGGTGGCCACAGAATTTTGAAAAAGTTGTTATGAGCACAGTGTACGAGCGGGCCCCGCTAATAACCCTTCAGACAACGCTTCATCTTGCAAGTGTTCGGACAAGCCTAGGTCCCGGCTCCCATGATTTTTCACTTCGGACAATTCTTTGTGTTGTAAAATTTTGTTTCTGGGAGTGGGGGGTTGTATTTATACCCGTAATCACCCTCGAGATCCGAACGTTGCGCTTGTAGGAAGTGGTGAATATATCTCCAAGGCGGTATCTAGAAAACTTGCGTTGCCATCAAATTCACTTCTACCCAACAAAATTTATCACACAATCAAAAGCGGAATCCAAATTCAACGATCCCTTCCACCAAGCGTGTAGCCGGCTCACCCAGAAAAAACCGCAATTGCATGTTCTCGACGACACCCGGAGCCCGGCTCCCATGATGTCTCTCTCCTACAGATCTTTGCGTTTTGCAAAGATTTCTTCTGGGAGGAGGAGGGGTATTTATAACTGGGAACCCTCACTAAGGACTGGAAGTGAGAGATTCACTTGTAGGCAGGAGTTTCAGAATTCGGCCAGAAAATTGTGCTGCTCTCAAATTCACTTGAAATTCAGGCACCATTTTTGCGTAACGTTTTTCTCTTGCTCTCAATTCCGGGTATATATACCCCTCCCTGCTCCTCTCTATTTGTGTTCCACACCACTCTGCGCCCAATCCAACATCTTCCTCACGAGTGAGTATCGAGGCCTGCAACAATTTTTCTCCAAATGCCCGGTCCCAGCATCCACCTTTCATTTTAGTAAGCCCTCTCGTGACACAACAGGATATTGTTCCAATTTATCCGAATCTTATTATTTAGCAACGAAAGAGTGAGTAAAACCATTAACAACAACTCGAAAGACTTGACGACAACCCTGGTATATCAACAACAAGCCCTACCTTCCTCTCTTGACGATGACATTGAATCATGATACGTTGTCAATCACCATCAAGATCATCCAATTGTCCCATTACGACTTGGACAATTGTCTTGATGAAATAGAAATAGCGCGCGCGTTAAGAAAAAGTTGATTTTCTCATAGCGGGTCAATGCTCGCTGCTCTCACATTCACATTGAGGTTTATCCTTTGTCCTTGGTGTTTTGTCTGTTCGTTCTCCTGTACATCGAGACTCTGCAATTGACACCGCACCCATGCCCGGGACAAAGAACAACCTGGGGTTCTGTTCCGGGCAAAGCGTCGCATTACCTGAATTTTTCCTTTTTCTTTCTATTTTTGCTTTGTGGGTTCAAACTCTATTCTTTCTACAGCGATGTTTGTCATCTAAAAAACCGGCATCAAGAGTCACGTTTGACTCTTCCTCGCCATGATTGAACTCGGATTGGGCCGAATAAGTCGCCTGCTCAGGCATACACCACAACTATGGAAAGCGATCCATGTTGCAGGCACCAACGGAAAAGGCACAATATGCGCCTATTTCTCTGCTATGCTCCATGCAAGTGGTGTACGTTGTAGCCGATTCACATCTCCACATTTAATTGACCGATGGGACTGCATCACCATCAACGAGCAAACCGCCAAGGAGTCGGTATTCAAAGGCTTCGATTCTGATAAGTCTTGAATAGTAGGGTTTCAAGCTTCTAGATTATAAAACTAAGCTCCGTTACTAAATAGCGTTATATCGCCACGTTGCGTTCGGACATATTACTAATACCTCATCGAAGTATTTTGTGTATTAAGAGCTTATTACGGAGCTAGAAGGCTCTATAAATACTCGAGCTGTCTGCGTTTAACGAGCCCTGAATGTTCTATAGGGCTTTAAAAAGTGAATTTCAAATAACTTTATCAGGCTTGTTTACGGGTGCACTCGGGTGCACTTAGAGCTTTCGTCGGGTTTACTCGTACTTATGCTTGGGTAAATACTTAAATATTGAGAAAAACTCGGGTTATACTCGGGTGTGACGGGTTGAACCCGATATCTGGCTGCACTACTACGTAGTGCAGCCTACATGTCACGGGTTGGATGCAATGAGTCAAAGCAAGAACCTGATTGTATTACAAGAAGAATTAACTAAAGAGAGAAGAGTTCTTTCTCGTACGAAGAGCTGTTTTAAAGGGGCTCTCGCTAGTTCGTAGAATGGCCCGCGCGCTTTAGCGTCGCGTCGTCATGTGCAGGCCCGCGTAGTCACGTGTAGGCTGCACTACGTAGTAGTGCAGCCAAATATCGGGTTCAACCCGTTACACTGGTATTATACGGCAATCGAACCTTCTTGTACAAAGAAAGCCTCTGTAGCCTCAATCACGTGTATTGACTACAAGCCCTAACATAAAATTTATATTTTATATTTATAGCTTTTTGCTATTTTTTTTATTTAAACTATTTATAGCGTTTTTATAATAATTGTTACGGACCACTTGGATCGCCTGGCTAATCGCCTGTCACCTAACCTAATCGCCTGCCTAATCGCCCGCGACAAAGGTTAGGCCGGGAATAGTGGCGTTCCCTAGCTTTAAGCCTATTGGGGCTTAGCTCCTCACATGACATCCCTTTCCCCTAGCATATATATATCTAGATCTTCTCCTTTTTCATTCCCCTTCTCTTCTTTACCTTTAGATTCTAAGAGATAGCCGAATCGATACTTCGTCTACGTACTAAGCTTCCCACCGTGCTGTTACAACGGGCTAATACAATAAGTTAAAGTGTAAAGGGCTACGCTAAGAGGGAACACTTAAGACGTAGGCAATGTGATAGCACGCACTCTAGACTATAGAATTAAGACGTACATACTAATCTGTGAATAATAGACAAAGAACTAAAAGAGTGGAAGAGTGTTGAGGGTAGATAAGCTGGGTTCTCAAACACTAGCTAAAACAATTACATGACTACAACTACTAGTTACACCAGAACTATAATAAGTAGTGGGTAAAACTGTCGTTGAATTCGATAAAGAACTAAAAGGTAGCTAACTAAGGCTTTATATACATAGGATCAGAGGCTTCGTAGAAGCCTCGGTATAAGCTAATTACTATAAGATTAAAGTCTTAGATCGGAGATTACAACTCGTAAAGAAAATAAGGAGGCTAGTGCTTAAGCGAGGCATAGCCGAAGCATTATAGGGTTCAACCCCTAACACAAAGTAATAAGCTATGTGTATTACAAAAAGAACTAGTTAAGAAAAGAAGGATTCTCCCCGGAGAAATCCTTTTGTAAGGGCGCCAAGGCCCGAGCGTCTGCTCACGTGACGGCTATGCCCATTTAGGGGCATAGCCACAGAATGGGTTCAACCCATCACACACTAGATGAGATCGTTGTATTGGCACGTGCAATACTAGCCCGGGAGCGCTAGTCTCCCTAGCACTATACCTAATCGGGTATAGCGCACGTGCTTGGCCACATTCTTGTTACGAGCAAGGAACACGATAGGCCCAGCAAGCGAGCTTGTGGAGATACTTCGGAACAAGAAGGTTCCAGGTGCACGGGATCAGCGATCACGTGATGGACCGAGAGGACCGACTGCGGCCCTCTCGGCCCTGAGCAGGAAGGTTCTATATAAGCAGATAGTTTTCCAAGTAGATAGGAGCTTCGTGCTCAACTCAAATATAGTTTTTTAACAACAAGCTATTAGTAACTCTCTTGCATCACTCTTCAGAAGTGTGACAGCACTGTGACGATGGTGTGAGGTGGCGACGCAACGTCGGGCTATTCATTTAGAATCTAAAGCTAAGGAGAGAAGAAAGGAGAGGAGGAGAGATCTATATACATATATATGTTAGAAGTAAGGGGATGTCATGTGAGGAGCTAAGCCCTAGTAGGCTTAAAGCTCGGGAACGCCACCATTCCCGGCCTGGCCTCTGTCGCAGGCGATTGGCTCAGGCGATTGGTAACAGCTGGCGCTGTGACAAGAAGACAATTTCCTTGATCCCCTACCACTCTAAACCCGACAGTCAGAGCAGACCGTTACACGGAAATAGATAATTGTAATTAAAAGAAAAGAAGGATTTATTTATAAAATGCTGATAGAATTCCTTTAAATATAGTTTTAATAAAATAAGCAATTTATCATCTCTACTACTACTACTCCTTAGTACAATTTAACAGGAATGAGAGTCATTCTTGCTCCATAAACTAGGTAAAAAAGGTATTTCAATAACTCTCTTGATTAATCTGGCTTCGAGATCCAAGGCATCCTATCATGAGAACTCATGGCATCAAGCCTCGAACCAGAACTCAAACCACAACTCGACCCACGCCCCCGGAACACACGGCATTCAAAACAAACAAAGAATGAAAGAGGCCAAGAGCGCTCCTGGCGCCAAATCCAAAATCCAAAAATGCCACCAACATCTCCGTCCACCTCGTGTAGCCCATCCTATCACACCAACCCAACAACGCTTGTTGTTGGAAACATCCCGACAGCACGGAACCCGTTTCCCAAAACAACCAGAAAAATCTCCGAGACGCAACGGACCCAACATTTGTGGGGCGGGCTCCCGGAGATCTTGGCTCGGGTTCGGTACTTGAGGCTCTTGGAGCCGAAGCGGCGAATGTGATAGGGTGTGGTGAGCGAGGGAAGGGATGGGTGATGGGTGTGTCTCGGACGGCCAACGTTGGAAGTCGCTCGCTGAAGAAGATTTTCGTGGGATGTTGGAGTGGAGTACTGTCGGGAACGGGGAGAATTACCTCCTTGATGAATTGGAGAGTGGTGAGATTGGGATTCGGATCGAATCACAGCTCATGAACTTCAGGAGATTGACTCCTGCGTGGGGGTTCGTGATTTGCTCGGCGGTATCGGCAGTCCCAAATTGCCTGATGCGGTACCAGGCGCGGCCGCATATCATTCTGGTCTTGTGATTCTCACACAATTGCCTGGTACCTAGGTATATTGCGTGAGAATATCGGCGGTAAGCGTACGAGCACGAACTGCAGCAGCGGAATGAACGAACCGTTGTCTCAATCCTCGTGTTCGTCCAGTCGGAGGTTATGGCCTGTTTTGGGACTGAAGAATACGACAAGTCAGAAAGAGCTGGGTTCGGTATTTGTACCGAAGTTCTGCAGAACCCCTTCCAGCGCTGCTGTAACGCGGGTGGAGATGCTCATCCCTCGTTGAATTTTGGATGTCGAGGCAGAAGGAGCGAAATCGGGTCAGCATTGCTGGCTGACTGACTGACGCCATTCAGCTGGTTTCTTTGGTGTGGTGACTGCATCACCCAAAGCAGCATGCATAAATTAATTGATTGTGCAAGATAGATTGCTGGACCAGTAGACGGTGACCAAGTTTGAAGGGCGGTCACACACCCTCTTCTGGTGCCACTGTGTCGGGATCCAGACTCTGCCATGCTGGGATGCACGTAATGTACGAATCCTTGAGGTTACCATACGAGGGATGTTGGTGGAAGCAGCGAGTGCGCGAATCATGATATAAGGATGGTGATGTGGTGAATCGTTTACTGTACTTAGAAATGTGAAAAAGGTCCGTGCGATAGAGGGGTCGAGAAGAGGGGCTAAGAAGTCTTGGGCTCAACGTTCTTCGTGATTGGAATTCGTTGCCAGAACGGCTCGGTTAGAGCGTTTACAGCGCAAGGCACTGATAAGTATCTAGATGCTGCAGGTGATGACTTTGCGTCGAATCAGGACATGTCCCGTCTCCTCTTACCCCTCATCAGCACCGCTTAGATACAGTAGAGGAGAGTAATCCCAGGAATCTGGCACTGATTGACGAATCGCGAGTTGGCAAGGCGCGGAAGATTGAGTTTGAGTTTCTAGGCTTCCAGGAGAGGAAGGCTCGGAGGATTTCGAAGATTCACCTGCATTGCATGGTTCGATAGCTTGAGTCGAATCGACAAGGGAATTTTGATCTGCTGATGTGATGTGAGCCTGAGAGTGGAGAGAGGAGAAGGGAGGAACGGTTTCCCAGAGTCATCAACGTTGAAGTGGACCCGAGATAACTGGTATCCATGCTCCAATCGCGTAGTTCCCCTCAAGTAGTTTAACGTCTGAAGCAAGGGAGGTTGGAGAGGAGGTGAGGTTGTCGGAGGATTTATCCCGATCAACCTGCATTGCAGCAGCAATGTGTATCGATGACAGGGAGTTGGATCTGCTGATGTAAGGCAGAGTTTGACCGCCTCAGAGGAGATCTAGTGGAAAACTGGAAGCGAATAAAGGGTTGGAGAGAAAGAATGAAGGAGCAAGAGAAGAAAGAGAGAAAGAATCGAGAGCGGAAAGGTGGGAGTAAGTCTGATATCACGTGATAGTGCTAGGAGAGAGTTTATTCGAAGCAGTGGTGAGAACAACGAGTGGGATAGGATATAAAGGAGAGTTATCATCCACTTAGCTCCGATGAGTAAAGAACTTTATTAGCTTGAAATTTCTAAAGAGCCTAGCTAACTCAACCCTCGTCGCATCCTTCTCCATCACCCACAATCAACACTCCAACCCCAATCCCCTTCCATCCCACATTTTGTCATCCCTTTTTAATCAATCCATCAATCAATCTATCTATATGCTAATATTCCACTACCATACAACCATCACACAACCACCCCATCCGCGCACCACAAAAACCCCCACAATCTCCCCTCCCCTCACCTCCCACAGATCCCCGAACAAACCAACCTGTCACAAAGCCAGAAAGCCACTCACTCTCGATCCGCTATCTCACAGCAGCACACACGGGAGCGCACATTTCCGAATCCCCGGTCCCAATCCCCTGGGACGGACACGAGCTTAGATTTGCTGTGTTTGCGTGATGTGATACAAGACTTCTTGTCACACCTACGGTACAATATTGGGGTACGTAGGTAGGTTTGGAGCTGGTGATCTTGTGGCTTTTAGACTGTGTTGTGGAGATAGAGTGGAAAAAATCAGGAATATGGCAAGAAAGATGTGATGCCCGATGAATGGGTAATAAATGGATTTTTATTTAGGTGGAAAGATAAGTGATTAAGGATAAACCTGTAATAGTGGGGAAATAGATTGGATTAAACACGAGGCTTCTTATCGTTCAACGTACCGTACGCTTGTCACAAACAGAAAGAAAAAGAAAAAGAAATATGTCAGTATAAAACCAGCCCTTAGATATTAATCCAATGTGCTCTTGAAATCAATCACATTGTGAACGAAACTTAGCCTCCCTCACACGCCTCGCCTTAACCGCCAAAAACCCCTGTCCATGGCTCGCTCGGTTAATCACCGCCCTCATTAGCACAGCAGCATAATGAGCCGTGCTTATTGGACGGGCGTGGGAAAGGAAAGGAAGGCAGGGGTAGGGATCAAGTGTCCCGAACTGTCGGGTCGGGGCTGGTTCATGGGCCGGCGGGGAGGAGATAATATGGGTGGTTTGGTTAGTCTTGCGAAGGTGGAGATCTGGGATGGATAAAAAGGTGAGGTGTGGTGTTCTTGTTGATGGGATCTGCGTTGTTCAGTGAGGGGATTAATTTGTGGTTCGGAGATTCGGTTCGGTAGTTGATGGTTTGGGAGTTGAGGGTGCTGATCTTTGCTCGATGGGAGGTTATACTTTTATGAAGAAGGCGAGCTAGATGTTAAGAGGTAGGTCCGTTGTCGTGCAGGTTTGTGAGGTTTGGATATAGAGGTAAGGAGCGGTGAGTTTGATTACGTTCAGGTAAGAAGAAAGAATAACACTCACTCAACGAAAAGTATGACAATGATTGGCTACCAAGCAAACCCTCGAGGCTTTCACCGATCATTCTTGAACCGTACCTTCGGGATACGGGACGAATGGGAGCGGGACAGCGCTGTGTTGCAGAGGACTCACTAACAGTAATGTATGCACGATGTGTTTCCGCGTGACTTCTTCCAGATCCACGGTCGGTACGCATGCATGTTCGTACACGCCATCTGACTCGAGAAGGTCTGGGCTGCAGTCTACATATGCAGCTCCTCATTCTCTGGGAATGAGGCATTTCTCGAACATGTTAGATCGAGAAACAAGGCGTTGCTGCTGGAGATGGTGATAAGTCGGCTCGTATCGTGGAGGGTTTCTGTCCCGTTACCGTAGTTTGCATTAGCAGCGGCGCAAGGCTGGGATGATGGATGCTGTGGTGTGGTGCAATTTGTTGCTGCTGATGGATATCTGACTGGAGTGATGTGTGTTCCCGTGGCCGGTTTTCAGCTGTCCCAAGCGGGCGGCAGGGTGTGCCGGAATGTCGTGCTGACGGTCCGCGGTTGGATTCCATGGGCCGCATGTGTAGGGTTGAGGATGGATGATTACTGACTTTGCTTTCATGGTTGATGCCGTCGTCTGCAATCAGTAATAGGGGAGACCGGAGAAAGTGGATTTATCAGTCTCAAACTGGATGATGGATCATGCCTGAATTCCAATTTTCCTCTCCCGCCTCACCCACCATTTTATGACTGGAGATCCGCCGCCGCCGCTGATGGGACCCAGCACTAGGACTGGGACCCGCCGAATGGTAGAGCGATCCAGTCTGGCGGTTCTGACGCTTGTGAGAATGCGTGTGGGTGGCACGGCAAGAAGACCAGACACTCTAATTCCTTCCTGGCGTCTCACATCTTTCTAGAGTGTGCAGCGGGAAGCTTTGTGTGTGGTCACCACTGGTCGGGGCTGCTCACTCCTCTGGGTCGCGGACGTCAGTAATCTGAGTAACAGGATGGGATGGGATGGGATGGGATGGGATGCGTTGCGTTGCGTTGCGTTGCGGTGCGGCGTGTGTTATACAGCAGCATGTGCATTGAGGCACACTCCGCGTCAAGAGGGAGAGGGTGAGGTTGTTGTACAGATACTGTACAGAGGCAGGCGCATTTGATGCGTCGTTTATGGCGTTTAAAGGGTGTGGCAGGAGTAGAAGGCTCCCACCAGTCAGTTGGCGAAGATATATATTAAAACCCGTATTGCTGGGTGCTAGTGCACCGCTGGCATGGCATGGTCGTGTTTGGGTTGAGTGGTGATGATCCAGATGATGTGTGTCTGTCTGCCGGGTCGCGGAAATAATGTCGAAAAGGGCCAAGATCAAGGAAGAAGGTCAGATTCTCTCCTTCGGCGTGCATTCTGTTCTGCACTCTGCTGCATTGTGTTGCTGATCACTTCGCCGTCCATCACGTCAACATGTCAATCTCTCTCGTTGACTCGTCCTCTTTGCCTCCTCCTCCCCCTATTGCCCCTCAGCCTCCCCCTTATCCTCTGCCTCGGTCGGACACAGCGAAATCAGTGAACGATTATCTCATCATCTCATAATCATAAGAGTGGAAGCCGTGAATAGAAGAAGGATCGGATTATGATACGAAACAAGAACTCTTGCTGGCCTGAAGCGTGAACGGCCGAAATGAGGTGTAAAAGAAAGGCCGAAGCTATTCCCATGGCTGCGTTCGCTTCACTCTTCCTCTCCTTTCAGTTTCGCAAGACATTGCGCGTCTATAGAACCAGTTTGATATTGCTTCTTCCACCCCTCCCTTCCCTCCCTCACACACGCTCCCGCGCTCGCCTGTTCTTCTGGTGGTCAGTTTATGGATGGATGTTCGCCCCAAGAACCCAGCAAGACGACGAGCCCTGTCATCCCTCCACCGCGGACAAGGGCTTAACCTACAGTACAGTACAGCACGCCCAACAGCAACAGCAACAGCAGGAGAAAAGAACCCTGATCCCACCCTGCTGGCCCAAACCTTGACAGATACGAAGTAAATTATTTTGTGGCCCCTGCCGCACCCACCTCCCTGGAGGCCCCTGTGATCTGTGATACAATCTTCCGAAAGCTGCCGGGGTGGACAGGGCACATCGTGTACCAACCAGAAGCCTGGGTCCCGTTGAGAAGGCACTGTACAGTAAGGTCAGCTCGCGGCGGGCCTGTAACCCACCTGCGTGAGGTGATCCGCCGCGTTGGTGTTGGTGATGTATGGACGGATGTCTTTGAGTAAGAGTTGGGGATTGAGGCGCCTTTCCAACGTACCAAGTACTGTACTGCACACACTGGCCGAGTAGTAGCTGTAGTAGTTCAAGATCTCCTCTCATCTGTTGCTGCATTTTATGATTAGTCCTTTCTTGTCTTGGATCTGGTTTCCTCCTCCACCAACAACAAGTTAGTTTTATCTGACCCCTCGCACATCCACCGTACACCTCACAGCTGCTGCTGCTGCTGCTGCTGCTGCTTCTCACCACCCAGTGAGACTCGCCGTCGTATCATCGTCCATCACATCACATCACATCTTGATCTCTCTCTGGATCGTGCTCCCATGCATGTTAATCCAAGCCCAACACAAGTCCAACAATCAGCCTATCCTATCCTCACCCCCGTAGTCTAGTCGTGTTGCATACATACCAACGCTGAGATAGAATAAAAACCCCATGTGTGCCCGCCTTTCTTTGTTCTCTTCCACCTTGTTATCATATCAAAACCCACTTCCAACTCCCTTGTCATCATCGTTGTCCCCACTGCTCGGGTCTCTCAAACACGGAGCTTGCGAGCTCATATCAAAAAGCATTGTTTCTTCCCATTCGTCCTCTTCACTTCACGTCAAACAAATCACCCATCTCACATCAGACGGGGAATTTTTCAAAATTAAGAAGCCCATTGTCGGACCGGGGAGGACACCCAATTCCACACGCACAGATTGGATTCCCATTACCTGGAGCCGTAGGGGAACATCGCTCGCCCAAAAGAATCACGTACGCCCGCCCGCACGCACACACACTCGCGGAGATATAAGGCTATATATGAGATTGGCAAGCAGCGCCGAATCTGAAATCGGAGGAGCTTCGTATCGTATCCAACAGCATCACCGCAACGCCTCTTTTTCCTACTCAGGGGGTTGCTTCTTGATACAACGCAGTCTGGATACGGAGACTCTTTGTTATTTGGCCCCCATTCTGCCTTGCCATCTCACTCTTTTTTGGGGTGGAGAACTTCGAAACTGGGGCTCGTGGCGCTTGCTTGCTTGGCTGTTGGTGTTTCGAAGAAGAATAGGGAGAAAATAATTGTTGTTGACTTTTCTTCAACATTTGGATCCCTTGGTCTTTGAATCCGGTTCCTGCGCCGAGAAAGGAACACCATTCACGACTCGAGTGATACTTAGGTACTTACTCATTACTCGTTACCAAAATTCACGGCTACGACCTGCGGTGTTTGGTGGTGCATTGCATTCAGCCTTCACTTACCGTTGTCAAATTTTTTTTTTTTTTTCAGACGGTGGTCACTCACTAGTGTCATACTGTTTCTACATACTCGTGCACATCATCGATCACCACGGCTATTATTTTTAGCAGTTACCAACATCATCAGCACAGCACATCACATCACATCACCAGCAGTAGCAGCAGCATCATCCTCACCACCACCAACACCAACAACATCATTGTGGCGAGTCAGATCGTCTTCCTCCTCCCTACTCGAGGTCTTTAGGCGAGCTGGCGCTTCGAGCTGCATACCTACATAAAGTATCTGCAGCATCTGCATCTGCATCTGCATCTGCATCTCCATCTCCATCGTCGTGCTTGCCTTTCTTTGCCTTGCCTCGCCTTGCCGTTGTTGCCCCAAATAAATTGGACTACATTACTTTAAGACCAGGCACGACCAAGACCAAGACCACCTCCAGTGCACTGCACTGCACTGCACCACCACAATCCACCACTACACAAGGTTTGGCACCGTCTCGTTCCCAAGATCCAGGATCCCAAGCCAGTGCAGCCACCCAGGATTGACCCCAAAGTCTAAATTACTGTCCAAGTGCAAGCACAGTACTGTATCGCCATCATCGTACCTCCGGTCTGATTTGGGCTGCTATTCGCTCATCCGCTGCTACCGCTAGGTTACCCACACCAAGACATTCGCGTTACCCACCGAACACTAACAGCACTTCCCTGACTTGCCGCTACGGTGCCGTCGGTGCCAGCCAGAAGAACTGCCACTGCCACTGCCATTCATTCCCGTCTCCGTCCGTCCCAGCACCCAGCCCCAGTTCCCAGTCCCACGTCCCGGTCAATCCACCCAATCCACCACCAATTTTCCTGGCCGGCCTGGTTCGTTGGTGTTTGGGCGTCTACTGCGTCTTTTGTTCTCTCTCTGTCTCTCTCTCACACACTCACTCTCACAACCAGCCCACGCCATACTGCATGCAGAGGTCACCTCCGTGAGATAGTGGGGACCCCGAGACCGCAAAAAGGGCGTCCGAGCGTGCGGTGCTAATCCTGGATTGTTCTTACTTACATCCCCTCCTACCTAATAGCATATCCTGCCTAGTACCTACATACACACACACACACACATACATATACACAAAAGCAGCAGACCAGCCAGCAGCAACCAACAGCCAGATACCGGTGGCCAATTCCATTCGTGACCATACGGAACCATACCAGACCTGACCAGACCGGAATAGGAGACCTGGCCAGCATACCCACCACCACCACTGACCAAAACCAACACCAATAACCGCACCATCATCTGGTCCCCACCACAATTCTTCTCTCCTTCTTAATTACTGATCCAATTCCACTCCCTCCAACATCACCGCATAGAACACCTTCCGCAGTACCTCCAAAACGGCTCCTCGACACATGATACGATTCTACTGCCCTCCGCCGACCTTTGCGACACGATTTCCAACTGAGGTTTGTCTCGATGGTTGTGGCCATGGCCAATAATGGGTACGTGCTTTTCCACTCTTGTCTCTCGCGGCGCTGAAGATCGCGGGCAAGTCGGGTCCCAGCGAAACTTCCTCACATTCCACAAAAACGTCACTGCCCGCCAGGAACAGATCTTCAGCTGTAAGCTGCAGAAAAAACCTCTCCCAGCGCTGCCGTGCGCCTGCAATTCCCTCCTCGCCAGCAGGACCAAGAATCTTTTTTGCTGCAGTGCTGACTTTTGCGCCGCGGCGCTCTTCAGAATGCCTCCCTCTGCCCCGCAATCTGCACAAAACTATGTAGAGAACGGGCGATTCTACCATGCCTTCAGGAAAGGAAAATACATGTTTCCATGCGACGAGGTACCGTGGCCCAATTCTCCTCTTTCCGTGCGATTTCTGGTGTCTGGGAGGAGACGGAGCTAACGCGGGGCATCTTGTAGGCGGAAATGGATCGCATGGATATCTACCACAAGTTCTTTGCAGTGGCGAGACGGGGTCATTTGCACAATGTAACTCTTACGAAGAATATCCACGGGGGACCGCGTATATTGGATTTGGGGTGCGGCACGGGCATCTGGGCGATTGACGTGGCAGAGTAAGCATAAACCGACCTCTGGAGCTCGAGAAATGGAGAGGTCGAGACTGATCTTCGACCCAGGACGCATTTTAAAGACCATGCGGAGGTACACGGAGTAGATCTCTCTATGATTCAACCTGGATTGTACGTATCCTGGGCTTTTGGGGGAGGAATACATTCTGATGCGATTCACAGGATACCAGAAAATGTCGGATTCTCACAGCGGGATATTGAATCACCTTGGTACGGCATGGACGTGGATTGGGATCTAATACATATGCGCATGCTCAATGGCAGCATCTCGAGCTGGCCAGATATATATTCGAAGATTTTTAGGTGAGTACTTTTCTCAGCGGTTTGGTTTGGCTAAAATCTGACAAATTTTCCAGGCATCTCAAGCCTGGCTTTGGTTGGCTAGAACACGTTGAAATCGACATGTACCCACGCTGCGACGATGGAACCCTCCCGCAAGACTCACATCTCGTACAGTGGGCGGATTACCTCCTGGAGGCAACAGCGCGCGCACAACGGCCACTGGCTTACAACACGCAGACTCGAGCAATGTTGGAATCGGCCGGTTTCGTCGAGATCCAAGAACAGGTCATCAAGGTCCCACTAAACCCATGGCCTGCAGACCCTCACATGAAAGATGTTGGAAGGTGGTATAATCTTGGTCTCACGCAAGGATTGGAAGCTCTTTCTCTAGGGCCACTTACCCGCGTCAACCACTGGCCAGTAGAAGACATTGAGAGGTTAATTGCGGCTGCCAAGAGGGATATCTGTTCGAAAAGGTATCATTCGTACTGCAACATGTAAGTTCTGCCTATCTATGGTTCCCCCTTTTCTCTGCATTCCATCAGGATTTCTGGCGGCAATGACGTCTAAATCAGCGTATCTTTTGTCTTTGCTGACGGCGTACTGTAAATAGGCACATTTGGACTGCCCGCCGACCAGCCGAGGCCTGAAACTTCTTCGATGTAGCATTACAAGCATTTCAAAACAGCGAATCCTCCTGCACGACATGTTCTGGCGGCTCCTCCCTCCGGCAAGCAAGCAAAGAGGTGGCAGGCGAATCCCGTCCAATGTCCGCTTTATCCCCCCATCTGAAGGCAGGCTCATTTCGGCCAAGAGACGACTTTAGCCTGGCGGAAAGGTGCGCTACAAGGCCAATTTCAGATGCATCGCGCAAGGCAGACCGACCTCAGGAGTGGGCGGCAGCGCTCTTACCCCTCCATAACCGCATGATGGTTCAATATGCGCGCGCGCATAATTTCGGGTTTTGCTGCAGTATGCACCTCTAAGCGCCTGCAGTACATCCCGGTTCCATTGATTAAGACCCGCAAATATAACGGAAGACGCAGAGAACGAATACGTTTTAGCGGCTCGACCGGGCCACCCGCTGATCTTCCCCGAATACGATTTGTTGGTTTTCAACTCTCCTGCCCATACGGGTGTCTGGGTTACATACGTTACACGAATCAGACCTCACTCCCCAAAAATTGGGCCGACATATTCACGGAACCAACCAACCGGCATATCAGGCGATTATATAGCTGCGCCGCTGCGGGAACCATGCGATTCGATCCGACACCGACCTGCCTAAGAAGGAGGTCATTCACGACCTTTACCACGGGCTCGGGAACCGGCTGTGTTGAAGCGCAGTGACACAAGGCGCGAGCGGCGCAGCTGAGAAGTTGTGTTTGTTGTTCAGCTCGACATGCGGTTTTACCTATACGAACACCGAACGACCCGGGAGTGTGGTCACGGTGGCGTGGGGTTCATTGTGACGTGTCGGTATCGGGCTGTTGGTTCAGGGATGGCCAGTCGCATACTTACATCCAGCCTGCTTGCTTGCTTGTCTTGAACTTGATGAGTTGGCAACGATCCCATAACATGGCCTTGGGACGGACGTGTGGGTGGGAATGGATGAACGAAGGAACGCTTGTGGCTGCTTGCTTTTTCTTCTCGAAAGAAACAGAAACAGAGAAGCAGACGATCCGGTCCCCCGGTAGCGAGTGAATGAGAACTTGATGGCCGCTGGTCTTGATTTGTTTTTTTCCTTTGCGTGCTTGCCCGATGTGGGGGCTCGATCGGGTGCATGAGTGAATGAAACAATGTTTTCTCTCGGCTCGAACCCGGATCCCTGAGAGGTTAGGTAGGAACCCGAGAATTGTGGGTGGGAGTTGCCGTGTCGTTGCTTTTTCTCTTTCCCGAGACATGTTAGGGATGGATCGGTCCGCCTTTTTGCTTTTTCCCTTTTTGCTTTTGATAGCGGGGCCGGATGAGGTTGTGAGATGGGGTGGTTGGGTTGTGGAAGGATTCTTTGCAGGGCTTTAGAGGTTGCATTGCGTGTGCGCTGGGCTGGACTGGACTGGACTGGACTGGACTGGACTGGGCTGGGCATGGCGGGACGGCTTTTCATTCGGTGGTTGTGGCGCTGCGATTGGAAAGGCTTGCATTGTGGGCGTTGTTGGGTTTTGGTGCTTGCATGAGTGGATGAGAGGGTGGTAGTGGTGGTGCATTGAGGGAAGATGGCGCTTGAAAGGCGATGAGTGGAGATGAGAGGCGATAGAGAAAGGGAGGAGGGGAAAAAGAAGAGAAGAGAAGTGTACATGTTGTCGACGATACCTATACCCGATGCATCATTCATTCCATTCCTCGCTCTTTTTTTTCGCGCGTTCTATCCGTGTCTATGTCTCCGCTGTGCTTGTCTCGCTGCACGGTGGTTTTGAAGAACTCTTTCCTCAGCACGAATTTATTAATCCGGGTTCTCAAGCTACGAAACAGCATCACGGACACACACCTAACCATCGATGTTTTTACCTTTCGAATTATCTACAAAGAAGGAAAGGGGGAAGAGTTCTCAAGGAAATTTCTTTTGATATTTACTTACATTGTAAGCACGCTGAATGAAGATAGAGATCCAAAGCAAGGCTGGATTTGGGGAATGCTTTTCAACCAACCAATCTGCTTAAACGGTTCGTTAAGTACGTGGGGGGGTAGAGGTCGGAGTCGGAGGGGGTTGTTGAAGGTGAATTGATGAGGGGTCGTGGTTTGGTTTATAGGAGCTGGTGCTGAAAGTGTGGAAAAGTGTGGAAAGGTGTGGAAAGGTGTGGAGAGGTGTGGAGAGGTGAATCGAGTTCTCGAAATAAAAGCATCAGAGATCGGTGAATGAGTTGGTGCGTGTATATATACCCCTCCCCTTTATATCTTCCTAGAACCCATCGTAGTCTTTCCACAATCCTTACGATTTCTTCAATACGAAGTATATTTGCTATGTGAGGCCGGCGTTGGTGATCGATTAATTGCGTGGGGTTGGCGGGTGGGTTTTTGAATTTTTTTTTTTGATTTTTTTTTGTTTTCGTGTATTTTGTGGGGGGTGGAAGTGAGAAAGAGTGGGGAAAGGGAAGAGGGGAAGAGGTTGTTGTTAAAATTCGAGGTATTGTCGTTTCTTAACGACATTTATTAGGACCGGGAGGATAGTTTAAAGGGGGATTTTTGGTGGATTGAAGGTGGTGGAAGGTGGGGACAAGTGGTGTGAACTCGAAGTTGAAGCGATGGAGGTGTAGTGCGAGAGAAAGAGAGAGAGAGAGAAAGGGTGGGAAGGTGGTTTTTATAGATAGAGGGGTAGTGGAGGGCAAGGGAGGGCAAGAAGTAAGGGAAGGTTGAGGGGAAGGGGTGAATTAGGAGAGAAATGGGAAGTGAATCTAAGAGTCAGAGTCACAGCTAAAGTTAACAAATCAAGACTTAAAGTTTATAAATTCAAGTTAGCGTAATAGAGTAAAGTTATTGCTGTACAAATATATAAACCCTCTCTCCTTCCTCCTCCTCCTTCTCATAATAATATGTACTCAGTGGCCACCATACCAGACGTTGTTTGTGGCCGGCTCTGGTTGTGTTCCACCAGAAATAGCAGTCAATTTCTTTTGCATAGAGGTTTCCTTGTTGTTTTTAGATTACAAGAATACAGAGAGCCGGGCTGTGGGGATTGTTGTCAAGGATTATATTGTTATCGTTTCCTTGTGGTAGTGATTTTTAAAGGGCGAAAGGAAAAATAATTTGAGATAGTAGTTAAATTTTAGAGAGTTCTATGTTATTGGGGTGTTGAAAATGGGGACTTGATATGTTTGTTTAGAGATAGATGGAGAGACGTAGAGAGATGGGTAGTGCGAGACCGGGGAATAGAAGAGGTGGGGAGAATCTGTAATTTCTGGTTTGTGGATGAGGGGAGGGGAGGTGGGCTTTTATAGAGGAGGGAAAACATAGGCAGTCAAGGTTGTGGAAGGGTGGGGTAAGAGAGAGGAGATGGGTGAAGTGGTGAGTCAAGAATAAAAGAGGCAGTAGAAGTGAATCCGAGAACCAGAATTATAACTGAAACTGGAGGATTTAGAGCTAAACTCCAGAAACCAAAGTTGGCGGAGCTAACCGCAGAGTTGTGGATATATAAAACCCCTCCGCTCCCTTTCCGAAGTTCTTAATAATCACACAACCACCACCACAAGAGGATGCGCCTTGAATTTAGAGTTATAGCAATTGTAGATGGTTTTCGGCTTAAGCTTTAGGGAGTAAGTGACGGGCTTCCCAATTTGTTGTGAAGGATTCTGTTACTGTCGATAGTTGAGCTGTTGTCGTTGTTTGGTGGTGATTATTGATCGGGAGGAGTAGTGTTTGAGATAGTTTTGGATGAGGGAAATAACGAGAATTTCCGCATCTGGGTATATCGAAGCAGTGAAAACGTCAGAGAGCTTGATACGTGAGGTCTGGAGTTTGTGGATGTGAGAGAGGGGGATTATATAGAGGGAAGCGGAGGGATCGTGAGATTGATAAGTACCGGTGAAGTGGTGAATTGATAAATCAAGAGGGCGAGGAGGACTAGTGGGAGATTTGAGAAAATGAGTGAATTTGAGAGCTGGAGTAGAACATGGATGGGTGAAGCGGAACGGCATTTGAATATATAAACCCCTTTCCCTCTTTCCACAAACTCCACAGCTGAGAAGTGAAAATTTGACCAGTCCATCTCTGGGCTGTGTCAGCTGTGTCACGGGTCTCTTTTGTGCGGAATTTTAGGGTGGTGTTAAGTTTCTAGAAAAGAAGGGGAAAATCGAAAAGTATTCAGATTTTGAGATAAAGTTTATTGTCAACATTCGAACTATTGCCAAGAGCTGGACTGTTGTCTTCACAAGTTTGGTTTCTGGGTTAGAGCGATAATACTTGAAGTTCATGATCAGGGGTATTTTGGTGTGTATTCCTAGGCGTTTCGAAATTCGTGGAAAAGCTAACCAGCGACATTCTTCAGCGGTATCGACTCGACATAGTATTGAAAAGTATATGTGGTGGTGAAGAAGGGCTGTATTTATGGACAATAAAAGGAGCAAGGAGGCTGAGGATGGATGGGGGCGGGGGGTGAATCAGAGCGATTGGGTTGGTTGCTAGACTTAGATAAATCGAGCTGAGAGGTGAAAGGGTGGGTCGGGTGAATAGATTGAGGTAGAATTGAGCACGAGATTCGAAGTAGCATAGATATATATAAACCCCCTCTCCACCCTTCCTTGTGCAACCCCTGTAACATAGCGAATATTCGTCTCACGCGTGGATCGTGACCTCGTGGTTTTAAATCACTGTGAACAAGGGTACCGAGTGATTTACTTTTGTGTACAAATTGGCTTTGCTGTTTCTTTGACATCAAAAAGGGGTTGTTGTTAAATGCAATGCTATGTTGTCGAGTAGCGAGAGCAGAGAGCATGTAGAGCCAGGGGTGAAACGAAGCTATGGAACGTAGAGAAGGGATGAGATATGTCGAAATGTGTGGAAATATGAGTGGTTGCAACGTCGCACAATGAGATATTTTGGTCTTGTGGAAAAGGCAAGTTGGTGTGAGTGAAGGGAGAAAGTGTGTATTTATATACAGAAGACAAAAATAGAGGTGCGATTAAGGTTGTGAGGTTAAAGAGGTGAATTAGAGAAGTACTTTAAAGAAGGCATGAGAGGACGGGATATGGATATATATATCCTCTCCTCGCTCATCCTGAAGTTCACAAACAAATTCAAACTCTTGCTCCGCTCCCCCCAATAATTGTGGCTGTGTCGGCCAACGATAATAGATTTCTTCAATACGAGGCTCTAGTTATTGCTTTTGGATTAGAAGAGGGAAATAAAGAAGATTATATGGTTCTGAAACTCGTTGCCAAGATTCTCATTATTGTCGTACTTGCCAGTTCATCGTATATAGTTAATAGCGATAATACTTTGAGATTCATGTTGAAAAGTGGTGAAGTCTTAAGTAATTGTGCTATGTGCCATGCAATATGTGCTATAGTACACGGGCCCGGAGAGAGCGAAGTGTCAAACTTGTGACAGTTGATTATCATTGGTATAGGAAATAGATGTGCAAGAGGGGACCGTGCTTATATAGAGAGAAGTGTAACATTCAAAAGGTGGGGAGAAGGCTAGGGGAATGAATTAGAATGGCGGGATGGAAGACCGCAAATGGAGTGGATTGCAGACAAACGCAATTTTCAGGCGAGTCCACTACGCTAATGCTAAAAACACCCCTCAACTTCAAGCCGTTCTCTACAATCATCTACCATCCGGATCTGATCTTTCGCTTACTGTTATTCACAATTCGGTGCGACGATAGTAGAGTTCAGCATGGAAAAAAGAATCTAAAATCAAAATGATAAGTAAATCGTTAAATCAGTATGTCGTCACAATCTTAGTCCAGCTAAAATAGATCATGGCCCCTGAACGCCCTCGTGAGCCCACATCTTCCTCCGTAAATTTACTTCCTTATATCTCCTTCATCTCATACCCTTCCTTATGCCCACAATTCCCATTCATATTTCCTTTGCGATTGCCATTCATGCCCATGTTCCATTCCCAGTAGCATTCCGATTCCCACCACATGAACTACACTGACTCGGCTCTCCTTGCAATTGTCCAAATTGAAATCGGGAATCATCCATCACTCTATTCCCATTCCCATTCCCATTCCCATTCCTACTCCTACCGCATAACTCACACTGGCTCAGCCCGCCTTGTCCGAATCCGAACTGAGGCATGGAATCATCCATGGTCTCTTCACCAAACCGATCACTTATATTCTGTTGGACCAAACTTTGATCCGCTCCCTGTCCAAGACCATATTGCGTTTGTCCTTCTGGAAAGTCGCAAAAGTACTGCGCCGCTGCCAAAGGAAGCATATTCGCATTCGAAGGCACCGGCACCGGCGCTGGCCACTCGACATTTTCATTTCCGTTCGTTAATGTTGGAGACTGATTCTGGTTTTGCAAATAGTGGTCGCTGGAGAAAGTAGAGGTAAAGGTAGAGTCATGCGTGCCGGATCTGAAACCTTGGGATTCCAATCCACCACCATCCATCACACTTGCACTTGTCATCGTATGGCATTCGGGAACTCGCGAGCTGGAGTTGACGAAAACTTGAGGGGCGAAGTTCAATTCCGAGTTACGCGTAATATCTCGAAAGATTCTCGGACGTATAAAGTTATCCACGTGTTGGGCCACCTCCTGAGAAGCCGTTTCGCCATCAGCGAAAATCGGGATGGTGTTGTTATCTCTACGTAGGTGAGTAATTTCATGGATCAGACTTCTTCTGACATCATTGAGTACCCTGTCATAGTAGCAGACGTGATCTAGCTCATAGTTAGCATTAACAACCTCTCGAAATATCAATATCATTCTCCGAGAAATGAGAAGGCGAGCATAAGACTTACATGGCGAAGGAATCTGGTCGGCATTGGGAAAACATATGTTGTATATATTCTTCCATCTTTCTTCCTCACCAAGCCCATTATGCTCACGTTTTTTCAATCTCAGTATTTGTTGTCCGGTAAGTGGCTTGAAATCTTGTAAGTCCTTGATTTCGCAGGGTTGGGTGCTCCGGGAATGAGCCATGAGCTCGTTTTCGGTTTTGAACACTTTGTCGCATCTGTAGCAGTGTGGTTTCCTGAGGTGGTATCTGAAGAGGTGACCTCTGGACACAGATGGTTAGGAATACTTGTTTAGATAAGATCTAGAGAGGATTGGAGGAAACCTAACTTGACGCGATGCACTTCTTTGAATCCAGGATCTTTGGCACAATGACTGAAATCGCCGTGCGGCGTCCATCTACAATATCGCTCGTCATCTGCGTAGTAGGGACAAGCGAATGGAGCGTTACGTTTTCTTTTGCGTGGATGTTTGTTTTCGTCTGCAGATTGGTCGCTGTCGGACTGGTCGCTGTCAGACTCAGGTTTTGACTTTCTTTTACGTTCATCGCAGGTGGTCCTCTGGAAATAACTTGGAGGATTATTCTGGGGCTGAGTTCCGGTTACCTCAGGGAATGAATGGCTGGGGACTTCAGAAATATGTGGATTGGCATATGATTCGATACCGGTCATCCATGACTGGAAAACGGCTCCGAGAGCAGTCAGCGTCTTGCCTGCAATCTCAGGAGGTAGATTGCTCAAAGCTGATTTTGACACATTGATGAGACTTTGCTGATCCAGATGCAGCTTCCAATACTTAGCGCGTGTAGCACTATCCTCGTGGATGTTTGAGAGGGTTTCATCATCGGATTCATCTTCTGAGTGGGTGCTTCCGTAAGAAGATATGGAGTCAAGATCGGGGTCAGGAGTTGATCTCTCGCTATGTAGGGGACTAGAACTGGAGTTCGAGTCAGCAATCATGATCCTCGTGCAGGGCGGTGAAAGATGGAGATCTTACGATCTATTAGGATCTTCTTTATGTAGCATGGTTGAGGCAGAAGTTTGTGTCACTTTTGACGAATGTACGGTCATTGAATTGTGCTTCTCGGTAGACTTCTCATCTACTGCAGCATCTGTCGTTGTACACTGGTGTGAAACCTCATTATCGGATCTATGAACTCGTTGGATTTGATGCTCAGGCACTGTGGACAAGTTTTTGTGTAATGGGAGCCGTGGCCTCTTCATAGTCAACCCTCTGCCATGACTAGGACTCGGAGGTGCTCGGAGGTATCGGTCTTTATCGCGAATATTGACTTTCGAATCGAGTGCAAGCGATCCCAAATCTTTGCGAACAAGAGAAGATGGTGTTACGGACTTGTAGCCGGGAATAGGTATGATGGAAGGCTTGTTCGCAATACAGAAATCGTCCTCTTCCCCTTCGAGCTCGCTACAGGGGACTTGAGTTCTGGTAGTTGGTGGTGGTGTAGAACAACGCTGCAAAGAACTTGCTGAGGACGCTGAGTATGACAAGGAAAGTGCGGAGCTAGGAGGTGAATAAGACGATTCCATGTAGCCTTGAGGGCTCTGAACATCTCTTTTCTTTAGAACTTCTCGCGAATGGACCAATCCATTTGACCTGGCTTCATGTTGTGTCTTTAACTTGCTGCTACTAGCTTGAAGTTGCTCAGGACTTGGTGTTTTGTCTGTCATTGTAATGTTAGAGCGTAAGAAAAATGCAATAGGGAGGCACCTGCATACATGGATCTCTAGATCCTTGAAGTGGAGACGTTGGTGACATGTTATTGAATGCGGGCGTAATTTGAGGGACTTGTAAGAAAACAGACAGGCTGGCTGCTGCAATGTTCACTACTTATATCCAGTCGGCTCCTGGCCCACCCCTCTCACGTACTGTATTTAGACGAGGCTTAAGCAAGTTGGCGGCAATTCAAACTTGAACAGTATCATGGTAATGGAGTGCCACCCATTCGTTCTGTCTCATTTTTGACAGCGCTATTTGAACCAGCCGAGGCCGGTCGAGGCCGGTCGACCCAACGCGACTACCGCCAGCCTTATCATGTCCGAGCTGACTGCAGCCCTAAGGAAGGTAACATGTGTATGGTTCTTTCGATGATAGCCAAAGAATTTCGGATAATCATAAATGCTGAGGATTTCTTTTTGTGTTTTGTCCCAGCCTCGATGTAGTTACATTCGATGAGGACCACGTTGAGGATATACGTTCGCGTCCTGCCTCAGCCGCGTTCTGTCTCAGCCTCGATTCTGCGACGTCTGTTCAGAATCACAGAGCCAACTAACAATTATCTGGTGACGAAGCAAATCATGAAGTCGACCTGACCTCGACCTTGAATGTCTCTGGTACACGTGTCGAAGGCTGTAGATCTATTCTGACATGGTCACTCACTGCTTGGGATCAATCGTTCTTCTCTGACTCGACAAAGAACTTGCTAAGGGCAATAATCATCTCAGCGGCCAGCGTTCGATCCTTTGGAAGCTCAAGATCAAAAGCATTGGGAGGGTGCGGCAAGGTCGAACGATGACCCAGCAGGCTTGAAGATGCTCGATAGTCCAATTACTAACTACCACTTGCTTTTTGGGCCGATGTTGAAAGCTGGTGAATGGTCTTGCGCTTGTGGTCTGGGAAACGCTTTCGGAATTCCTTAATAGTCGATGGATATGCTGTTGAAGCTGCCATTGTGAGGACTTTCTTCCTACCAGGAGAGAGGAATCAGTAGGCAGCAGAAGTCAAAAGTCATGAATTAAACCAAACAAGGTGGACTGCGGATCGGAATATCATTTATCCGCGATCATCCAGATCATCCGCATCGTCGCGACAAAAACAACAATGCACAGCACAACAAAATCCACACTCCATGTCTTCCCGCCCTCAAAACCCTCCTTTCAGCCCAGAAAAAGGATCGATTCGAGCCATAATCCTTGCGCATCCTTCTGAACGGTTGTAGTTACACCCACTGTTATGGAAAGAACAACAATTGAAACACCTAAGCTACGAGCTTCACCCTGCTCGATCCCTCGACCACAACATTGTGGGTGGCGAAGCCATTCCTATCCCAGAACGGAATCAGGTTCAACATCTTATTAATGACGTCCAAGGTTGTCAGCTCAAGGGAGACCGTGATAGGAAAATGCGAGTTGTGGTTGCAAAGCTGTTCGTAGCGGCAACTGGAAGAGAACTACAAAGGTCTGCATGCCATTCTCCTGCAAATCCCATACCGGACCATAACTAATTGCCTCCTTCAAAGGGACGACTTAGCATTCCAGTACAATGGCCGGATTGTGGCACGAATTCATCTTCCTTTGATATCTTGTGACCCCCAATCCACTCAAGAACCAGTATGGGCATATATGGATAGAACTTGGTCTTTGGAGAGGTGAAGAACGCTGTTGGAGAAAAAGTCGCCTTCATATATCACACAAACGGTCCAGGCTATTAGAGATCTCCCCCTGGATTCTCTCTACGTCGCTATCTTGATTGCTTTAGCTCAACGGTCAAGAGCGACAGCATCATCACATACACCTGCGAGGCCACTGAAGGTACATCAATGATAAAAAGAGTATCTTCTCACATTGCTGACATATTCTTATTTCATAGGTCTCTCTTTTCGTTTCAGAACACACCAAAGACACCTCAACAAATGTGCAAAGCCATGCAAGTAGCCCGCCCGCCTGGATCACCAGCTTAAAGCAATACACTGCGACTATCGCCGACGCATATCTGCAGAAGTTCGATGATCCGTATCACTTCCACGCCAGTACTCTTCACATTTACCAAACATTATACCACATTAATATACTAGCAACTATATTCTAAGCGATGAAAGCAGGTTCGCGAACTCCGAATCTATCCTCGGATTCCTCGACTACAGGTGAAAAGAGAAAGGCACTGAATGAGATCACAAAGGCGGTTAATAAGATACAACGATCGGAAAGGTCCGAGGAGGATAAGAGTAAGGAGTTAGGCTGAATAGCACTGTACACAATCAAGGACATGCTATTTGGTACAGGATCATGGTGATTAATGATTCGGCTATACGTTCTCCTGTTCCAGTTGCCTTGAGAATATTGAAACGGTCTCGCCCCATTGATGCGTCTTTCAATTATCGGCATCTCGTTCAGCTCAATATCAACCCTACTCCTAGGGAACGTCCTCAAGGAGGGAATCAGAGTTTGCTCGCCTCGAGCAACTACATCGAGATTCGGATGAGCGAGCAGAACAAGAACGAAGACGTGTGGAGGATGAGCAGAGAAAGGACTTTTAAAGGACAGGAGAGCCCGCGCTCGAGGGCCATCAATAGGAAGCTATTCAGACGTAGCTATCAATTATACGCAAACGACTCCTTTCCCACAAGTCGCACAGCTCGTTTCAATCCCCAAGACGATCGCAATCCCATTGAAACCATCGATAGAAGCAACTAGGCGAAATCTACGGATGGTTATTGAACAATTTCCTGCAATAGAACGGGTCCTAATTCCGTGTCGGGTTGGAGGTTGGATCGGTGGTTGTGTTGCAAGCTCCGCCGATCTTTCCGGTTCGCTCTTGTGGTTGTGATTTCGTACAGTGGACTACCGTGGAAGGAGAGGAGAGCTTGGAGATAGTTCTGTGTGTTTGCTGTCAAGTTGTTCTTTTTGTTATCAATTTCCTTTCTTGCTTTCTTGTTGCTGATTAATGAAATTCGAAGAAAATTTGGAATGGCCCCCTTTTGTGTCATGGGAGGGCTTCCTTAAATGAAAGCCGGATGCTAGAAACAGAAGTCTGCAGCGGGAGCTTCTTCAAGCCTTGACACTTATGTATATACTTTGCTGTCTCTAGCAAGTCTACAGCATAGTAGAGAAGAGGAGTGGAGAGAGTCGGGGGAGGAGTATTTATATCTGAACAGAGGACAACATATTTGGAGCATAGGCAAACTTCACTTCCGATTTTCAAGTGAATTTGTAGAAAGAAGCTCGAGACTACTGGATACTCACTTGGAGAACAGATTCACTCCTTCCTCCGCGTGGAACTTCTGGATTATAGTGAGGGGTCTACGGTTATAAAAACAGCTCCTCCTCTCACTTACAAATTTTGCAACACAAAGATCTGTAGGAGAGAGACATCAGGAGGGCCGGGCGACCTGTTTCTGCCATCACCTGTTGTCTCGGTGTAGGCCGGAAGATGACGAGGATTTTGATGAAGGTGCTCGGTTTCCATTCCTGGCTTCAAGAATATTTTGTTGTCAATAGGCTGTTGTTGTTGTCAATTCTTGTTCCACTACCTCAACATCCTTTTCCTCGCTGTTGCAAGATTCGTTCCTCTTAATATCAGCACCGCAATAGCTAAGCTTCATACATGCTATTTTACTACTTTACTCAACTTAGGGATCGGGAGCGGAAGCCCACAAAGACGAGCTGTCAAAATGTCACCACCTTGGTCGTTTGTAAGGAAAGAGAAGTTATCAATGGCGAAGTAGGCTGTTTTTATAGCGAAAACCAGCACGTAAATTTTGATTTCGGGTTAAAAAGGTGAATCTCGAAGGTACGGAGTGGGGAGAAGAAGCAAACTAGTGCAACTGCTGGGGAGAAGAGAGTATATACACTGAAGACCCATCTTCAATAATTAATCAGAAGTTGCTCACAGGCCACTGGAGAAAGAAGCAATGTGTACCTTTTTACCTAGCTCTTTGGCTGACTTCCTGAGATGGTGAGGTGATGATATTTCGCGCGTAAAATCATGTTTCTAGCTCTTCTATCAAGTATCTACAAGACTGTATTTGCCGTCAATATTTCCGCTGCTGTCAAGTCCTTCAGAGGGTTCCTTTTTAGTAAGGAAATCCTTAAACAAGATGCATAAATCCTGAGCTTAGAGCAATAGTGCAGTCTATCACAAAATAACACAAAGTAGCCCATCTCACTTCTTCAAAAACCATTCTGTCAATATGTGTGCATTGGAATATCCTTGGGTCCACTGGGCCGTGCGATTTATAGTCGAAGAACTGGCAGAGGGATTCAATGTGAGGAGACGAGGCTCTACAGTGAAGTGACGCAGCGACATGAAGGGGTGAATGCTGAGGCTGCATTAGCGGAGCTAGAATTTTGTGTAAGCTATATAAGCTCCTATTGAGGGATGCTTCTAGCAACATTAAGACAAATACAACTAAGTTGAAGGAATTCTCATGGAGAACACAACTTCGATGTCAGCCTGGATAATATTTTGGTTCGTTGCCGCGTCACCGGCTAATCATTGTTAGGCTTTCAATTTTTCTGTTGCTGCTAAATCTTTGGGTTGTTGTCAACAAATTATCTCTTTCATGGATATGGCAAGAAATCCCTACCCCATAGCAAGGAAAGTGAGAATTCATGTGCTTGTTTAATAAAACTTTCAACCTTCAAATACGTTCTGTGACCGTCCATAGACAATTAGCCACAGCGTACTTCAAGCGATGCAAAGGGGATGAAGTCATATATAGCTGACGGTACAACTATATTGGTGAATATTGCAACAAACTTGCGAAAGTAAACTGTGAAGAACAGAGGTAAGTGAATTTTTAGCCTTGTTGAACGAAACTTTTCTAAGATGGAAATTATAAAAAGGAATGCCATCTATTGATTCCAAGACAAATGGACCTCTGATGTCAAAAAGATGTTGAGCGCGCCGGGTGCATGTATGACTAAGGATCCTTATCCTGTCGCGGGTTCGTTTTTGTGTACGATGGGGAGATTCCTTCGAAATGCCCTCCAGGAAAAGGAGCCGACTCATTTGTCTTCAAAGGTTTTGTTGTCAAGCAGTCTTTTGTTGTCGGCTAGTCTTCGGAAATTCAATTTTTGTCCATTGTCATCTGCTTTCGGTATCTATTTTAGAATTTATAATATAAATTAACTTTTGTCAAAGGTCCTCCAAAATAGAGCACCAGGTCAGTCTTCCCTAGGTATTGTAGTCGAGTGTCTTTGTAACAAGTAAGTAAAGAGCGGCCGCTCTACCCGCCTTTATATATTTCTTGGTTGTAAGGCGAGCAAAAAAGTTCTTTTGTTTCGCGGGAATCACGGCTTTTTCTGGTTCATTCACTTCATTATGTGACAGAAAAGGTGCCTTGGAAAAGCGTGAATAACATGTAAGTAGAGCTCACTACTTCTCCCAGGGATTCATTGCTCGACAGAGAACGTGCCTTGGATAAGAGTGAATGATAGATAGTTAAAGTGCACCGATTCTTCCACAAATCCATAATGTAACACAAAACGATAAATATGACCATTCTCATCAGCTCTTGGCCGTATAAACATACCATGTCAATGACATCGATGTTACATGCCTGGGACAAGAGCCCCCGGAAGGTCTATGCGACGGTTTCACGGCGCAACTTTTCATGGGACAGCAAGATGGTGCACTTCAAGTTACGGGTGAGAACATTGAGGTGGCTGGGTTGATGGCTTGGATCTTGAGCCACTGCTGAAGATATTTTGCGGATACTCTGGTTTTGTTTGAGATAGAGTTTTTTGTTGCCAAAGTTTAATCTGTTGTCAAAAGTTAAGGACGGAAGACCTACTCACCCTAGCCTTGTTTTGTTAGACTTCAATCACACCGTTAACACCTACCTTGCAGTGTTAGACACCAGAATTTGCACACGACACTACACCCCTTCCTGGTGTCGTGAGATCAGAAGTGGAAGTGGAATCAGAACTTGAAGTCTCGGTTTGCGAGATGAGGTGTGGGAGAGTTCTTTTATAGACGGTGGGGGTGGAATGGTGAATAAGGAGAAGCTTCATAGCGAGATAGCACCGAGTGAATGAGTGAGTTTGAGCCGCAGGTGTACTGAAGAGGTTGGTGGTGAAATGGTGAAAGAGGCGAGGCTTCAGAGCGAAATAGACGAAAACCTTGTCACGAAATAGAAGCGAGTGAAAGGGGAACTGTGCCTGAAAGGGCTGGCAATAGAGGTATATAAACCTCCACAACTTAAGTCATGACTATTAGTTATAAAGATGTGAAGGGACCTTATCATCTGTGAGTGCTTCTAGGATGGTTGCTAGTTGACACTGCACGATTTTGTCTCAATCAATATCACATCGGTTGTCATCAGAAAGCTCCATGTAGCCATGAGTTCAGATTTGCTTCATTCGTGCACTGCGCGTGGGTAGCGATCCTTTTGTCATCTACTCATTTGTTGTCAACGTTCCTGTCTTGTTGCCTAAAAGTTCCGAACCCCAGAGCTTAACATGAATATCAGTATTGTTCAGAGCTGTGAAACTGACATAAGAAATAGATCTGTCAAAATTTACAGATGCTGACATAAATCAGATGAATGTCACGGCCCTTGGATCCTGACTTAAGAAGGCGGTAAGTCGTCAGCCACTAAGCCCAACATATGTCAGAGTAATGTTGTAATTTGTGAATCTAACATAAAGAGAAGCAAATTCCCGAAAACTTAAGCCTAACATTAACAGAATGAAGTTGTAAATCCTGAAACCTGACATTAAGTCGGGTAATGTCATGAACGATTGAAATCACATGAAAAAACCAAAGTCTGGTTGGGAGCTTCAATGTCCGCCCATCACTCAGTCTATACGTGCCTCAAAAGCACGCACCCGATACCACACAATCCACAGGCTGAAAGTGTGGGGCTAAATCATAAGTAGTTTACCTAGGCAATGTGTGTAGATCCCACAACTAAAACCTCAGCTCAACAGAGACCGTGCTATTGCTCAAGTCAACCATCCACCCTCCTCTGGCCGTACCCAACCCAGGAGTAACAACTGCAGCATTACCAATCGATCCAACCTGAGCCATCTTCTCAACTCTCAAGATTGTACTCTTGGCAGCTTCCATGCTGGGTATACTTGCGATACTCGGCGCCATTTGCACTTCCACACTTCCAGTCTTCTCCGAGTACGTCACCATCTCAATATTCCCAGCATCAACACTGACCTGCGTTCCAAACACTGCAAGATACACCATCCTCCTCACGGCATCTTTGGGCAGCACCACAACCATACCATTTTCATAGCTCTCAACCTCGCCACCAAACGCAACAAGACCTAGTGACGGATCCTCATAAACATACGTCCCAGCACCTAGAACATGCCCAAGGAAGTTCGGTCCATAATCTCCACTATAAGCATCCCAAGCCAGCGTATCAGGCCAAGAGTGAAACGCCGCACTCGCGAACCCTTCTTGATCAATATTCGTCATCGGCCCCATGTTGCCTCCATACCCCACTCTCAAGCTATATATATCCTCTGGATTTTCCTGGAAATGTCGCAGAAGAGGTAAGGCATTCAGTCCCGATCCGTAGTGATGAATTTGTCTCTCAATCCTCTCCAACTTCCCCGCGTAGAGAAAATCCCAATACCGTCTCGCATTGCCGTTCCAGCCCCAGTGGGATACCGTCGGCATGTAGCCTAGGACCGAATTAATGGTCTTGTTGGCTGTGGATGTGAGGTTGAAGTAATTGGACCAGTAATAGATGCCTTCTTGACCTGTGGAATCCCATGCCATTTCGCTTCCATAAGGCACTTCTTCGCTTGCCCACACCAGCGCTCGATTCTTCATAAGGCCATTCAAAATATTTGCCTGAGAGGTTAAGTTCTCGTTCTTCAAATCAGAGAGTAAGGAACCCCAGACCGTTTCACCCATCAGCCCCACAGAGGTGTATCCGGTATTTGAAGGATTGAGAGCATACACAACAGTATTGTACGATTGCGAAAGATACCACTCCCAGCTCGCTCTTGTCGTTAACTCCGGATAATAACGCGCAACGCGATACAAAGCCCAGTACAAAGCCGACACGTGCACATAATCATACGTCCTATCCGTCGCATACGCATCTGCTATGTCCCAACTCTCCCAAGTACTCCAATCAATGGCTTTCGAGTAGGAGTAGGACGTTGCATTTGGTTGGTACCAAAAGACACTTTTCCGTACCGCGGAAGAGTTCGGCGGTTGCAAGGTCCCCAGAACGGTGAGATGCACGAAGTCTTCGAGGATGGAAACCTCGGCTGCGGAAGGCTGAGCCGAGATCTTCATTGCGGCAGCGAGCCAGGAACCGGCGCCTCCTTCGTCGCTGAGGCCGGCGATCCAGACGCGTTGGTCTTGCAGGACGGGGGCGTTGACAGAGCGGTCGTAGGTTATTATTGAAGGGCCGCGGTGGAAGGGATCAGACGCGTTGGTGAAGTGTTGCTTTGTTGCGAGGAAGTTGCCGAGTTGCGAGATTGTGAGGGGGAGAGGAGCGGTTAGGTAGTAGGAGATGGAGTGTGTTACGTTGTTGGTGTAAGTCACCAGAACGCGGACGCGGCCGAAGGTTGAGGAGGAGGACGTGAGGGTGTAAATTCCAGGGGCGAGGAGCGTGAAATTGATGGCGTTGGGAGGAGAGGTTGAAATTGTTGAGACGGAGGAGTTGTATTGGAGATACAGTTTGGCTGTCATGTCCGACGGGATGATGTATCCTGGGACACCGATCGCCAACGGATTCCCAGTCTCCTTGACCGCATCTTCAATTTCCCTGATATTCTCAGCAACAGAGAATCTCAAACCATAAAGAACTTCCTCTCCAGCAGCAAGAACTTTAGAAGTACCCTCGTTCCAAGGTGTCGTAGCGTTCCATTCCTGCTCAACATAACCCAGAGTCTTCACCTCCCACGAATAAAACCCCTCAAAAGTCTGACTTTGATACCCCAACGCCGTGTTCGTATCCTCCGTTAAGAATCTCCACCCTTCAAAAGTCGTATTCGCATCAATAGGCGTGACGACCAACGAAGCTCCTGCCCCAGCTAAAGGTGTGACGCGCAGATATCCACCCGAGAGACCAATGTTGGGATCTGTTAGCGAGCATTTGGCTTCTGTCTCTGCGGCCGTTCGAGTGGTGAATATACTGTTGAATTCGATTGGAAAGCCCAGTCCGCCTATCTCGAGGGAATGAGAAGCTGTGTTGTGGAGGTGGAAAGTGAGACTTAGGTCTCCTGAGGAGGTGGTGCCCCATGCTCGGGTTATGTTGAGCGGAATGTTGGATGGGAGGGTAGGGGAAAGGTTTGAAATTGCGAGTGTGGCATTATCATTCTCTTTGAAAGAAATGACGGGGGAACGCTTAGTTGCTGTATTGATGTTGGTCCATGATTGGCCGGTTGAGCGGTATCGAACGACGATGTCTCCGATGTGATAATTCCCGTTCGCGGAGCGCTTCGAGAGGAGATCGAAGGGAGAGAAATCGAAAGAAGTATTTATTTTTGGGGAGAGTGAGGCGAGGGTCTGGGATGCAGTGACGAGTTTGACGTTGAAGTTCGGAGTGCTGAAGGATAGGTATTCGCTGGAAAGTCCCAGATCGTCGTCAGCTGTAATGGTTTGTGCCCAGACGAAGCACAACAGCAGGATAAACTTGGTAATATTCATGTTGTTACATGAGATGGAATGAAAACGAAATGCGAGGTCAAAACAAGCAGCAATATTAAGGGATGTAACTCATTAGCCGAGAGCCCGGGTTATACACGATCAATTCCAAAGCTCACGTATCGTCAATACTTTGGTGCATTGAACCACTGACTTTTATGTTTTGATATATAAATTCTACAAAAAAAAGCTCAACATGATCAGCATAGCTTCTCTTACTCAAGATGGCAGGTTACATGAAATCTTGAGTATCGGCATTTAGTGACATCAAGACGCGGGTGCGGGGTGCCTAAGCGAGTGGTACTCAAGGGAGGTGACAAAACCCGATTGGTGCGCATATATGGCAATAAGGTTGTTTGTCAAGTTTGAAATAATTGCGAGGGGAAAGATGAAGAACTGTATAGAGAACGTTCATAAGCACGTAAAGTACAACTTATCACAGCGCTTCCAATGCATCTTCATTGCATGCGGTAGCCCCGCTGTTGAACCAATGTCGACTTCTCAACGAACTTCAAATGTTTCACTCAATTGAGTCACGACGATTGTATAGCCGCTGCTCTAACTAAATGAAAACCAGGTTGAATCAATCATGAAGTCTCTCGAAATGAAGAATGTTGTGAAATGTGCATCGCCAAATCTACCCCACATCTGTATTAACCCAGGCACAGCTTTCGCGATTTCGCCATAGCGCTTGCTTAGGACTGTAACAGATGCCATTTAAGAGACTGAACCACTTCCTACTACGAATACGAATGAGTCCCCAATAGCCAAATTATCGATTCGATCCGACACGATTGTGCTTGCAAGCCTCCTGGATTTTGTACGATCTACATCAAAATTCCTCGAGTCAAGAGTTTCAAAGCGAGCCCTGAAACCCTACACAATAGAACAGCCTCAATGATTAACGCTATGTATCTTGACATTGCTACCTAGGTGCCTAAGAAACATGCGGTCCATATCAGCGGATCTTGCCACAATTAATGCATGCACGTGACTGAACAAGGTCGATCGTTTCAGCACAGTGATGATAGTTCTAGCTTGATATGCTCTCTCGACTATTCATTGACCATTGCGTTCCCTGAGCGAATGGCACAGTTCTCAATGAGGAAGTAGATCCTGAAGATGAGACTTCATCACGTGGTGATCATCATACCTAGAGCTTCTGGAACGCAGTTTGGGACAGGGAAAGCTTGACGGTGAGAGCAAAAGGAGCCATATAGGAGCCGTTACAAACGCAGAGCAGATGTTCAGAATTATCTGACGCGCAATATGAACTCGACTTATTTCCAAATCGGATGAAAGAGAGCATGCGGTTGACTCAAAGCCGTCTGGAAAAGTCGTCCGAGAACTCTTTGCATTGAAGGCTCCCGGCCTTTCCCCAACATTGGAATCCGCTAGGACCACTAGGACCGAGCAACACTTTCTGAGTTCGTCGAGTCATGAGATGATCGAGACTGGCCAACGATGAACCTTGTTAGAAGGGTTGATAGATACTATGGACGCCTTGCTATTGCTGGAAAGGAGCGTAAACAAAGAGGTGCAAAGAAAAAAAAGCTTGCGGGTAAGAGTACTTTTCGACTTTGAACTCCGACGGGGTGAAAAGTCGGGAGTCGAGTTAGGCGCTAAGAGCAGCAGAGTTGTCTTGAAAGTCCGAGATTCGATTAGGCATAAATATCGAGCATAATAGAACACCACTTCCACACAGCATCACAGGCAGGAGCGACTGCAAGTGATAGATATATCCTTGTTGTTGCGAGATTGAGAGTAGAAGTGTTGCTGTGCCGCAGAACAGATAAAGGTTTCGCTCACCGCCCTTTTCAAGCTTGACCAAATCTAGCGACAACCTGCAAACTCCCGAATGAACCAACCTCTCTTCGATTCTCGAGAAAAAAAGATCCAATACACTTTCAGCATTCGTGCCTCAATCCGAGTATCATATCGGCAGACCACTGCTGCCTGCTTCACACCTTGTTGTCCACCCTCCGAGTTCGCTACAATATACGGTTTCACAAGAGCAAAACCTGCGACACTTCGAGAAGATAAGATTATGGATTAGGCAGCTCACGTCGACGTCGTGCTTGTTGCCTGGTCTTCCGAGATATCTACCCTCTCGTCCGACATTGAAGCTTTTGATGCTTCGTAGCTTAGCTGCATCACCACTGCCCTCTACTTCGATGGACGCCTCGCTCGAGATTGTCTCATATATCATCCCGACTCTCATCGCGATCTTTACGGTTCCCGTGATATGGCGATTTGCCAAGAGTATTCGAAGCGCGAAACCCGTCAAGGATGATGAAATCTATCAAGATGAGGATGGGAAGGCGACCGAGGAGTCAATGAAGGAGTATTCAACCAAACGTTCCTTCATTGTGATCTTTGTCGGGACTGGTTTGGGACTTGCTTCTTCCTTTGCACTCTCAGTGGTAGCGACTATTGAGTCTATGAACATCAAATATGTTACCATTGTATGGCTATTGTTCTGGTCCTGGGTACGTAACAGCGTCTTTCACCTCGATTTCCTACTCACAAGACACAGGTTTTGGTACTTCTGCAAGTTTTGGATGTCTTCCGAGAAACCCGATTTGTCACGAGATTCCACAGAGGCGTGCGCAGCTCAGTCTCCCTCTTCCTGACCGGCATTCTTGCTACAATTATGATCCTCTCTCAGCAACCCGACTTCCCTCAGAACATTGCCTTCTACGTCACCCTTGGACTTCAAATTTTCGGTACTCTGACCGCTGGTACCACGTTTTTGTTCATCAAACGACGTCCAGATGTCTTTGCCGAGAATGGGAAAGTCGTTGAAAGGCAACTTCAGACTTCCATATGGACCAAATATACCTACAATTGGAGTTCTGATATCCTGGATCTTGCTGCGACGAAGCTCATTGAGCCCGAGGATTTGCCGGCTATGGATGCTCATGTGAGGGCTAAAGACGTGAAGAAATCGTTCCGAGAGATCATCTTGAAGCCCACCACCTCTCTATGGCTTCAGATTTTCTGGGCTTATCGTGGGGCTCTAGTCTACCAATGGTTCATGGTCATACTTTCCTCTGTGGTCGATGCTGCTCCACAACTGGCGATGTTGCAATTGCTTCGGTACCTAGAAGTGCGAGAAGGATTTGGATTCATCGATCCCAGGGCATGGCTATGTGTTGGATCCCTCTTGTTAGCTACGGCCTTGGAAACCCTGGTTGATTACCGAATAACCTGGCAAATGTGGTCTGAACTTGGGGTACCCATTCGATCAACTCTCACGACTCTAATATTTGAGAAGATGATGAAGCTGAAGGACTGTAAAGAACCTCCATCCGCTGAAAAAGATGAGAAAGACGAGAAAGACAAAAACCCGAATGGAGCCAATGGCAACCCTCACGGACACGGCCATGGACATGGAAAGCCTGACCCCTCCAAAAAAGATGCAGCGAAGAAAGGCAAGAAAACACAGAGTCAACAAGACATAATCAACATGTTTGCTGTCGATACCAACCAAGTTGGAGTTTTCGGAGCCGTGAATCAATTCTACATTATGTTCGCATCGAAATTTGCCGTCTCTATCGTCTTTCTCTGGCTCCTTGTGGGCTGGGAGAGTTTACTGGCTGGCATGTTCGTCATTATCTTGTTCTTCCCAGTCAACAAGTACCTAGCGGGTCGATATGGTACCGTGCAGAAAGAACTAATGAAAGCACGAGATAAGAAGACCAAGGTCATCTCAGAAGCACTTCAAGGCATTCGACAAATCAAGTTCTCTGCGAACGAAGCTGAATGGACCGAAAAGATTAACGACGTACGAGCGGAGGAACTCATTTTGTTGTGGCAATCCAAACTCAACAACCTGAATATGATGCTTGGATCCGATATCGCACCCGTATTCTTGACTGTTCTGGCACTGGCTACCTACTCGTACATCCATGGTGATCTCCTACCATCGGTTGCTTTCACGGCCTTGGGAGTCTTCATGCAACTTGAAGGCATTCTGGGGATGGTTCCATTTCTCATGATGATGGGCATCAATGCAAAGGTATCATGCGACCGCATCGACAAATTTTTACAATCCGATGAGAAGCCCGAAAACACCTATCCTGGTGACTCTATCAAATTTGACAACGTCTCGGTCAGCTTTCCATCAATGTCTAACGATCAGGAACCGGACCCAGAAGAAGATGAGGAAGCACGCCAAGCACGAGAGAACAAATTTGTTCTTCGTGATCTGACTTTACAATTTCCCAACAATGCCCTAAGTGTCATTCTAGGTCCCACCGGAGCAGGCAAATCGTTGCTGCTGGCAGCTATTCTAGGAGAAGTGGATGTCTTATCAGGAAATATTACGGTTCCCCGAGCTCCACCTGTTAGCGAACGTTTCGACAGCAAAGCAACTGCAGCTGATTGGATCATCCCGTCAGCTATTGCATTCGTTGCCCAAACTCCTTGGATTGAAAATGCATCCATCAAAGATAACATTTTGTTCGGGCTCCCTCATGATGAGACTCGGTATGAAAAGGTTCTCAAAGCATGTGCTCTAGCAGATGATCTTAAGCTTTTCGACGACGGCGATCTGACTGAGGTTGGTGCTCAAGGGATCAGTCTTAGTGGAGGACAGAAGTGGCGTCTTACTCTTGCACGAGCGCTGTACTCTCGATCTGGTATACTCATCCTTGATGACGTTTTCTCGGCTCTCGATGCCCATGTTGGTAAATATCTCTACGATAACGCTTTGATGGGAGAGCTGGCTGACGGAAGAACGCGTGTACTCGTCACCCATCACGCTTCTTTGTGTCTTCCACGTGCAAAGTATGCGGTGTGCCTGTCTGCAAAGGGAGTTCTCGAGCATGCTGGTCTGGTCAAAGATCTCCGAGAGACTTCTGCTTTCAAGAATATTGTCCAAGCTGAGGACGAAGAAGCTAGCCCGAAAGAGCAAGAGGCAAATGCCGATGAAGTAAAAGCCGATGGCGATACGAATGGCACGACGCCCAAGGCCGATAGAAAGCCTCCGAAGAAGCTCATTGAAGATGAAGCACGCGAAACTGGTAGTGTCAAGCGAAGTGTCTACATGACCTATCTCAAAGCTACAGGAGGCTACCCTTTCTGGGGGTTTGTCCTGATTTTCTACATCATTGCTCAAGCTCTAAATCTGAGTCGTTCCTACTGGATCAAGATTTGGACTTCGAGCTACGAGCATAAGAATGAGATGCTACATGGTGTTGTCTCCTACGCTCTGCAAACACAATTTGGTGGCGTCAACGCCTCTTCTACTCTCAGCGACACAGCTCAATACTCCCAATCCGATTCGGGATTCTCTGAGATGTTCTCCACTCCGCTTGTCTCTAAATTGTTCTCCAGTTTTCAATCTAGCGACGCTTCGATCGGCTATCCAGTCTCCCCTGCGATTTCGACGTCTTTCTCTCCAAGTTCGCATGCTCAAAGCTCCCAGATGTCGGTGACAGCACTCCCGATTGAAGTCAACAACCGTAGCTTGACATTTTATCTCGTCGGATATGTCGTAATCTCCATGGTATCGACAGTGATTGATATTGGCCGTTTCTATGTCGTTTATCGTGGGTCTCTTCGAGCTTCACGGAAGGTCTTTCAGGATATGACTTACAGAGTTCTTCGAACACCTCTGAGATGGCTTGACACTGTTCCTACTGGACGCATTTTGAATCGTTTCACAGCGGACTTCGCATCTATGGACTCGCAACTATCATCCAACTTTGCACAAGTCGCGGCTTCAATGCTCTCTATTGTCGGAATCATGGTCTCTGCGCTCCTGGTCTCGCCATATATCATCATCTTTGCTCTTCTTCTCCTCTTCTTTTGTGGCCGTATCGCTCTCCGCTACATCCGTGGCGCACGCTCCATCAAGCGATTAGAATCGATTCAGAAATCGCCCATGATTTCGCACTTCACTGCCTCGCTTCAAGGATTGAGCACTATTCGCGCTTTCGGTAGCTCTCAAGTCTTCGAAACCCGTATGCATAACTTGATCGATGCATTTACTACTGCAACATGGCACAATTGGCTGTTCAACAACTGGGTCGGCTTCCGCATGTCTATGGTTGGATCTTTGTTCTCCACTGTCGTTGCGGCTTTTATTGTCGCCACCAAAGGCATTGATGCATCGTTAGGAGGGTTTGCCCTTGCTTTCGCATTGTCCTACCGCCGAACAGTTAATATGACACTCAGACTTCTTGCTGCAACAGAGCTTGATATGAATGCTGCGGAACGTGTCTTCGAATACTCTGGTCTTGCCATTGAACCTGAGGGTGGAGCTGATGTTCGAGCTTCTTGGCCCGAAAAAGGCGAATTAGAGATTACAGACCTCGAAATTGGGTATGCGGAAGGTTTGCCGGCGATTTTGAAGGGCCTGAACGTCCATGTTGAGATGAATCAAAGAGTTGGTATCGTGGGAAGAACCGGTGCTGGTAAGTCTATAATTCATCTTCGTTGGTATGGTACTTACATTTTTAAGGTAAATCAACTTTGTCCTTGGCTCTGTTCCGCTTTCTTGAGGCACGTAGGGGTAGTATCGTCATTGATGGAATTGATATCTCGAAAATCAAGCTTCATGACCTCCGTACACGTCTCGCGATTATCCCTCAAGATCCTGTTCTCTTCTCAGGCACGATAAGATCCAATTTAGACCCGTTCGACCAATTCTCCGATTTCCAAGTCCGTGAAGCACTTCAGCGGGTCCATCTCATCCCGTCTACCGACAACACTCCCGTCCCTGAACACGACCTGAGTACAGAATCGTCCGCAACAGCTGTCGGAAGCAGTGCTACTTCGGTCACGGCTGCTGAACCTGCCAATAAGGAGAACACCAACATTTTCCTGTCGCTGACTTCACCTATCTCTTCGTCGGGGGCCAACTTATCGCAAGGTCAAAAACAGCTTTTATGTCTGGCACGAGCCATTCTTTCTCGTCCCAAGCTGCTCTTACTGGATGAAGCTACTTCAGCTGTAGACAAGAAGACAGACACTCTCATCCAAAGAAGCATTCGAGAAGAATTCGCCAACACAACATTATTGGTCATTGCACATCGATTGAGTACTGTCATGGATTTTGATCGAATTTTGGTTATGAAAGATGGTGTTGCTGCTGAGTATGGAACCCCAAAAGAACTGTTAGAAAAAGAGGATGGCGTTTTCAAAGACATGGTTGCACAAAGTGGAGAGAAGACTGAATTAGAGAGTATGGTGGGCTCGTCTTAAACGCGTGTTTATAGAAGTGAGTGTCCCATCGAGGTATGAGAAGTCCTTTTACTAATTTCAAACAGAAGTTCGTGCATTCACTGTATTGGAATGTTGGTTTATGACAATGTATTAAATTATCTGTTCAAACGATTACCAGACATTCGCGTGACCACACAAAAAGCAGTGGCGAACAAGAAGCTAGTTCTGCTAAGATAAGTACAAAACCATTGACTCTTCAGACAATAGTGCTAAACATCATATCAGACGCTACAACGATCGGACCAGCTATCTCCACTTCTTTGCCCTTGCCTTTCTCCGCAATGTCAATATTCGAGCTCCTCCTCTTGTTGCCATCTACATCTTTCAGACCTCCTTCAGGACGAACAACCGCCCTGTTTAGCAGCGAAACTCCTTCGGCCAAGTACTTTCCACTTCCACTAACACTTCTGCCTATCTCCCCACTCAGCACTCTCTCGTTCACTCTCCTCATCCCACCCGCACTCAGTCCCATTCCCGATTGCATCCCCTGATACCCGGCCCCACTACCACTAGCCAATTCCAAAGTCTTCCCACACAACCTCAAGAACACACCTCCAAGCTCTTCCTTATGCAGCGGGATCAAACTAAACACCAGACTAGCTGTGATCCTCAACAAGGTCTTTCTATGGACTCCCAATCCGTACTTTCCCTCCACCCATTCCCAGAATATCCCTCTCAGGTTCTCTAATATCTTCTCGTCCGCTTCTTCGAGCAGCGGTGACGAGGAAGACGGCAAAGCGTCCAATGACAAGAACAGAATATGATCATATCCCATCAAAGATTGCAGCACTTTCGCCAAATCATAGTGCAGATCCCCTTCCGTCGTGAGCGTGGAAGAGAGCTGGCACCTGACATCGATAAAGCTCGCCGTACTCTCATCAGGCGACAGAATCACGTTCGAAAACACCGGATCTCCATGAATGATCTGGGTACGCACCCCTTTTTCTTCCGCTTCATATGTATCGAGGAACTCGTTCAGGCGTTCGAAATACTTCGCTGCATCAGGTCCCAGGGTATCGTATCTTTCCTTGTTGGCGAAATATCGAGAGCGGAGTTTCGTGCCGTAATTGGCGTACAGATTCGGTGCACCTGTCACTTCGATGCTGTGCTCCTCAAATTTCTCAGCCAATGCAGGTGAGATCTCTATCTGCTGTTGTTCAAGAGAAGGGATCGTGGTATGAATCTTGTGCAACCCAGCCAACATAGTCAATAGTCTCCCCTTGGTAATCGATCGTCCAACCAGCATATGACTAAACGTCAACCCGAGCCTGTACTCCATCTCCAACGTATACGTTTTCGTCTCCTCCAAATAATCGACAGCGAAGATTGTCGGGAAGATGGAAGCCAGCCTGCTCGGCATGTGGGAGTAGAAATAGAGCTCTCCGAGGATAGCTTCGCTTTTGGAGGATTTGAGGACCTTGGAGCCGACGAATTGGACGGTGTTGAAATCGCGGGCGGCGAGCACGGAGCGTGGTTTGGTGGGCGAAGCAGCGGTAGAGGGGAGGATACTGTCGGTGGAGTCGAGGAGCCAGCCTATTTCTCGCTCCGTGTCCAGGTTGGCATTGACAGCGAGGTCGTCAATGTAGACGTCTGCCCAGGGTTTGCCGAAATGTAGGTCTGGACGCAGAATCTGTTAGCATATATGCACCGGACGAGCTGGAAACCCCAGTAATACTTACCATCGTATGGGATTTGATACTTTGCTAACTGATCAAAGGTCAGCATGCCGACGTCCTTGAGAATTGCTCCGACATTGCCGCTGTGTGTTCTCATCCTCCTCGCTGTTTGCTAATCTTGGTCAGTACACAGCCCTTTGACTGAGCGTGGTGCAAATGCTTACAATGATAATATAGTGACCAGCTTTGTGAAGTTGTTGAACCAACTTGATGTTCTTCCAGATGGGCGGACATGTCGTGTAATCTCCTGCAACAGCTGGGACACCAACCAAAGTCATATCGAGATCAAAACAAAAGCGGCGTTTCTGGACCTGATTCTCTTTACCTTCTATCCTCAACTGCAAGAGCAAATCTTGCAACTGCTCTGGCGTACCTACACAGCTGAAATCCTTCATCCCGATCGGAAGACCGAGGAATGGCAGTTTGCCCTCGAAGATCATCATGCCAATCAATTGCGAAGTGTAGTATTCTGCCACGTTCAACTTCTTTGCATTGGCGTCAATACTCTTCGCTGCCCATTCTTGGAGCTTCTCTCCTGATACGAAGACATATGCCCCGGTATTGGCTTTGTTGGAGATTGCCTTCTTCTCTTGGATGTCCACTATTAGTCCATTTTGCTTTGCATCTGTCTTGATGTATGAGAAGATGGGCTTGAGTCCTTCGTCTGAGAAGTAGAAGACGGCTCCATGCCGGAGAGGCAGATTTCGAACTTGTGTCAGAATGTCTGCCCAGTAGATTGTATCGCCTAGAAGGATCAGCCAGCTTCATTTTGGTTTTCATCCTACAACTTACAGTCAAGCGAGATCGTCCTTCTTGTCAGATGCTGTTCTGTCATGCTCTGGGTAATGACATATAGCTGTAATAGTCAGCTGGCCTGTCAAGAGAGTGCAGAGGAGATCATGAAGATCATACTGTCTCGGAAGCACCTCTCGTCTGATGCTTCAATCTCAAAAACTTAAAGTCCAGTTTCGGAAACGTCTTCATCACTAGCTGACCGAGCCTGAATTCATCGTCGATTTCTTCATTCGCGGCCATCCACAGAGTATCTCCCGGTATCAAAGACAAGTTGTCTATCAGTCGCAAGATCATTGGTCTTCCCACAATATTGATGAGGGGCTTGGGATATCGATACCCCTCCTTTGAGAAGCGGCTGCCAATACCTCCAATTGGAATGATGATATTTAGAGCATCTCCGGAGGCCACCTGGCTGTGCTCGTTCTTGCTATACTTTCTGATATGCATTTTGGATTTCTGGGTCCGCAGAGTGGAGTGGTTGAAATTATGTGAAGATCGTTTCTAGTCGGCGTGAATAGACAGATCTCGAGGCCTTTACTATGCTTTGGCAGCATTATTTCTCACATTCTCCATTGACAACATTCGGTGTTCGAGAATGTGATTCGCGTCACTGATCGTGGCGCATGTAAGGAGTTGCACCCCTGTCTTGGCGAGTATGGACACGCCACAGCCAGAAGTCCATCATCGGAAACTCTTCAACACATTCATATTGAGATATTTACATGGGGGAAATCTCGATCTAATCTTCTGATACATACGATCTCGACAACTGCGAACACAGATGATTGTTTCTAGCATTCGCTGGTCCTGTCTATACTCGACGATATCATGTTCTTTCCAGTCATCGGTGCTCACAGTGCTGCATACCTATCCGCCCTTGGATTGATTGTCATCCAAGTTGGTATCGGAATCATCTTGAAGTCATCTCAGACCAACGGCCAGTATGCCTTCTCCGTTTCGGGGTCTGTCACGATATCAGAGTTCTTCAAGTGTCTATTGTCGATATCATTCATCCTCAGAGAATGTCTGATGAAAATCTCAAGCATTCGGCGTGGACACTCTCTACTTCCCTCTTCTCCGAGGTCCGCGTCATCTGAGGAGTTGTCAGTCGAGTCGACTGAGTTTCGTGATATCGAGGATGAAAAGCGTGCAGAGGCTACGGCGCCTTCCTTTGAGCAATACCAAGGAAGTTCTGTGTATAAATTATTCATGCTGAAGATGAATGAAGTTTCTATGGAGAATCGATTTGGCTTTGCGAAACTAGCCTTGCTCTATGCACTCATCAACAATACGGTAAGATCCTATCCTGAGCAGTGGACGATGCTGACCAGGTAACTATTCAGATATTCGTGGCATACAAGCTTGCTGATCCAGGAACCATTGCCATAACTCGAGCTGGCGTGATTTTCATCACTGCCGTGGTCATGGTCGCTACTTTAGGTACAAAGATATCAAAGATACAGTGGCTAGCTATCATAATCCAGGCAAGCACAAGTGAGAGATTATGTACCTGCTGCTAACTTTACACAGCTTTGCGGGTTGATGACGACACAATATCGACCCGACACCGGGATTTCATACCCATTGTTCACGTATGTCGTTCTAATGACACAGGTTTTCATCAGCGCGGTGGCTGGGGTCTACAACCAAGCACTTCTTAAGAGTGAAAAAGCTTCTTTGCATGCACAGAATGCTGTTCTGTATGCCGCTGGATGTATCATCAATATTATAATCCATGTTGTCATTCGATTCATCAAGCCTGCCGAGCCGAGTTTCTTCAAGGGGTATACCAATTGGTCTTCGTTCCTCGTCATCATCAGTAACGTCTTCATGGGCATTGCAATAACAGCAGTCTACAAATGTCAGCATACTCCATTTCGCTTTGACAGTTTAACTGACTCCGGCAGATGCAAATGCTGTGGTAAAGTGCTTGGCATCTGCGGTGGCCACGGGTATCTTGTTATACCTGTCTCCCATCCTCTTCGGTACTGCTATGTCGCCTCTCACCATTCCTGGTGGTCTCATAGTTTTCATCTCGTCTTGGCTGTATATGGATTCGCCTCCACCCAAAGATCCACATCTGGACGATGCGAAAGACGGATTGCCCGAGAAGCGCACTCTCTTCTCTTCTTCTCCACAACCAGTAGGTGTTCTCCAAATATGTATTGAGCAGCGGCTAACAAGACACCCCAGCTTTGGCGTGTTGCTGTCTTAGCGCTCGCTTCGATGATTACAGTACTGATCATCTCTTTTATGGAAGTGGCGGACTTTTCCAATCTCAACGACAACAGAGCCGAAGATCATAGCATGATCCACTCCCCTTTCAATTCTACTGTTGCTTATATCCGATTCAATAGTTGGCGTTTGGAACGCCTAGAATTGTTAGACAAGTACAAACCTTTCTTCCACAGCGTACACTACAGTATGCCAAATATCACAGAGGGCGGTCCAGACTTTGTCAACACAACTCACGATAATTGGGAAAATCAGCTGGTTATGTATATTCCGATGGCTCGCACTATGCAGCATATTCTTGACCAACCTCCAGACTCTCCAGATGCGAAAATCAAGGGTATAATATACTACCACTTGTGAGTATCTACATCTGAAGTCTCCCGCTGTTAGCTAATCTGTCTTGCAGTGATGTGTGGATAGACCCAATGGACTTTTCGGATGAAGACTTCTCTAAAATCTGGATAGCTCGAAGCAGGTCAGACAATGGTGAAGGTGGTGGCCCAACATCTGTATGCATGACGCATCGTAGCCGCTTCCTTGCTTGGCCTGGAATGCATGCGGATAAGAATTGGCACTACTCAATCCTTTTAGCTCTCCAAGCTCTCAAGAAGGCGGACACAGATTTCAAGTTCGACGACGAGGAATGGTGCACGGGGTGGTCGGACATCTACTACATTCCACGACACTTGTGGCCAGATTATATCTTCCTTTCTGCCTTCTTCGGAGCGTTCGACAGTTTCCATGAAATGACCATACCCACCATGGTTCACATTCTTGACCAATCGAGGAGGAAGAAGCCATACACTTCCATCATCAACTGGATTGGCGACTGCTATGGCGGCTGCTGTAACCGTGGAGGTGATCTCCACTCATTCGTGAACCATCGCTGTGGCCACGCTCTGAACTACCTAGGGGACAGCAAAATCTACATGGCACAATACGATCGGCTCGACCGAGTAGCCAAGACACTTGGTAAACCATCGATGTCGCCAGCCTGGAAGAAAGTTCCCGACAGCGAACGAGATTGGACAACTTTCATCAAAGGCTTGTCCCAGTCAGCAATAACAGCCTACCAAGGCTTCTCAAACAAGACGCCAGAAAACGCATATCAGAGGAAGAACATGCCGAAGCCTATTGAGTTCAACTCCACGGGCTGGGAAGCGCCCGGGGTAGACCCATATACTTACTGGTATAGAATGAAGCCACCTAGACCTTTGAATCTCACTGAGATAGCAGAGATTGATCTGAAGGAGCAGCAGCTGGAGGCACTTAATAATGGACCCAAGGAACATAAGGAGGGCCTTGTTAGCAATACCACAGACCTATTATTAGATGCTAAATCAAACAAGGGTCTTTAGGTTCTATTTAAATCAGGAGCCTCTATATACGACCTGATGGCGAAGTTTCGGTTTTATACTAGAATCGACTCAACTCTGAGAAATTTGTCAGAAGTCTTGCTGCCTTTGAAGAATTGCTTGCCACTTGTGGGTGCTGCGCATATTGTCTAATCCATTTGGTGTAGTCATTTATCTATAATTCTCCTTAAAAGAAGGACCTATTAACAAATTGCCCTAACCACACTATCCAAGAATTTCCCTAAAAATACTTTATACTTCGGCAAATCCACCACGCAACAGTAGGTACGGAAGGTGTAGGGTATGGTGCTGTCTATGAGCAGAATCGTTCTTCATCAAGATCCATAGTGTCATAATATTCCTAGACTTATGTTAGATCTGGCAAGCTCTAGGTTCAAGATACTCACTGTTCGTTCTGCTCTCTTCAATTTGCTTGCGGTATCCTTTTCAAGACCAAGCTGCCCTTTCTTGAGTTCAACTATATTGGCGGGACCAATGGTCTCCACCTCCACAGCTGCACTCCCCTCCAAGAAATCAGCTGCAAGTGACTGTGTAGAGTTGAGTTCATCCTCTGAACCAGAATCTTCTTCGATGGTGTCATAGTAGTCGAGCGGTATACCCTTGCCATCTCTATCTTGTGATCGCTCCAAAGGACCTTCGTGAAGGAGCCAATGCAGAGCAATATTGCAGAGTTCGCGCCTGGCATCTTGGTCATTGTCAAACGTCCTCGCGCATTCTATCTGCTTGTAAAGTATGATGTGTCCACGGTCGTCGAATTCGAAGATCTCAAGGTCGGCTTGGCCTCTATCAAGAACCACGATGAAGTTGCAGTGATATTTCATCCTTCGTGATATCTCGTATAGCATGAAAGGCGCACAATAATAGGCTTGGTCGAAGTCTATCTTCCGGATTTTGGTCCTGATGGTACAAATTCCCGATTCCGAAAACTCGACCTTGTTGAGATGGAAGAAGGCATCGGCATAGGTCCGTTTGAGGCGGGGCGAAATGTCCATTTTGTTGAATTGCGCCCCAAAGACGCGCCTTCTCAAAGTTTTGTCAATGGGCGCCATTCTGTATGATTAGTGTAGATGTATTTCGTGGATGTTGCTCAAGTTGGGGTGCGCGTTCTGCAGAGGAATAGAGGATGAAGCTGAACGCGTGTAGCTTGACGCAGAACATTTCATTATTGCATTAATTCAATTATAGCTTTCATGAAAAGCTAACGAAGAACACATCCTCTAATAACTCTTGCGACACGAGGTCCTTAATGCCCCAGCTGTTTAGGTACAAGCGTCGCCTCAAATCAATAACAAAGAGAATCGAATATCGTGCCTCCGAAGAAGAAACCAACAATGCACAGGCGCGGAATGGATGACTTATGGTCTAATGTATTGCTATGGAGCGACAAACTTGACGAGAAATTACCATAATGGCTTGCTTGATTGACACTCAATTTCACGAACCCTCCAACGCCCCACCTAGCAGCCTACCTTATTGCATCATAACCTCCTTGCTATCCGCTGTCTCGCAATCACCTGGATCCTAACTCTCTCACCATGTGCTAGTCATGTTCTTACTTTATAATGTCGGATCTCTCAATGCCCGCGTGGATGGAACGGAAGGTCGAATGTGGCTGCACCTGCGTTCTCCTTGTTCTCTTCTTTCTCCTTGAGGAAATTAGTAAATATAATATGGTACATCTCGAAGTTTTGAACTTACATCATTGACAACTGGCTTCTGGTAGATTGACTTGGTGGGGATCTGCGACTTTGGCTATCCATGTTAGTCTTGCGTTTACTCCTGTGCATGATACTGCTTACTTGAACCCGTGGGGTCTTGGCCAATGTAGCCACCTCCTTGATGTTCTCTTCTTGGTCGTCATACTCCCAACTGTTCATCTTGAAAAGTAAGGTCCTCGTGCCTTTCTGAATTTCATTGTCAGTATGTAATTGGTGTAAGAGAGGGCAATAGATAGATAGGGCTAAGAATTGGGCTGGCTTACTGGCTTCGCTCGTGATCTGGTCACAAGAACCTCAGTGTTTGATACGGAACCCTGAAGACTATGTCAGTGTGCACATGGCTATATTAATCAAATCGAGACTTACAATGTTCATCATCTGACTGCCATGCAGAACCCACCAGCAAGCAATGTTCAAGGCATTCCGATTGGCTTGTGCGACGGAGTCCGTACCATGAATATCGGTGAATTCAAAGCCGAGGAGAGAGATATTCCCATTCCATGGCTGCAAGTTATCTCTCATGGCATGCGGATTAATGGCAACCGCGACCTCGAGCTCAGTATTGTTCTTCATAGCCCAAAGGCCAAGTATCCGAGCAGGTTCTTCATCGGCGGGGTTGGGATGATCTCTCGCGGCTTCCTCAACCTTGCCAATATCTCGAGCAAAAGTGTTATATTTTCTCTTAAGGTTGTTCGGGATTGGCGCAGGACTCTGCTTGAAGTGAAAGGGCTCTGGAAGATGCTGATGGTCGTAGGAAGTTTGGTTTGGCTCCTCTGCTGAGTTCAATTGGAGATTGGAGAACGAAGACACAAAGAGCTATGTAATTCATCAGCAAGTAACATCTTGGGAGGTTCAATGAATTATTACTTACCGTATCCTGCGAACTAGGGGTCAAAGTGTTTGCCATTGCAACAAATTTTGGAGACTAACGGTAGTATTAGCAAGTGTCGAGACCAAAATTAATGACTTCATTGACGTACATGAATAAAGTCAATGACAGCATTTGCGACTTCGATGCCGCTATCCCTTTTCTTCTTGTGCAGTGCCGATTTGAAATCCTGTTCGAGTCCCGAGATAGCCAGATTAACATGGGCTCGGTGTCTGATTCCATCGAAATAGTCTTGCGCTCTCTCGATGTGAATCTTTTCATGGACAATGGTTACTTCGGCCTGAATACCAAGCTCATCGAGTTCTCTGTTGATTTTCGCAAGTGGCGCAAGTTTAGGAGCTCGCGGGCGACGCTTTCTCAGAGAAGTGTTGCCAGACATCCTGACGGGTTGGAAAGATACCTTTGTTCTTGGGATGTTTTCTGAGCGGTTGATGCTGTAAATTCTGGAAGCTTTGGGAGTTGAAATTTCTTTTACTCGCAATATCGAGAGGTGCCTCTTAGCGCAGAAGCTAGCAAGTGTTCAGCTTCGATTCACCTTCAAAACATCTTTCTGTATGACACCGCACCTCTAATTGACTTTCAAACAATGCTGTACGCATTTTTCGGAGGCACCATGCATGTTAGCTCACGATATTGAAGTTAGGCTATGCGCAGCATCATCAATAAGTGTGACATTAAAGTTTTTATACCAGGATTTAAAGTACCCCGAATGCACAACTGCCAATCCTCAGAATCGTCTACTCCAAGCCTGCACTACATCTCGCAATCATTACCATCTAAGCTATCTTCGAGTCAATAGCACAATTACAGTCACCAAGAGCGACTAGCGGCCAGACGCTCACCTAGGTTCCTAACAGAAACCATCATCACGTGGTAACATGACGAAGTGTAAAGCTACTTCCTGTAGAATGGGCTAAGAGCAGCACTTGTGATATTCAGTGGAGTCTTCGGAGAAATTAAAAACCAAGAGGAATCGTGATCCAATCACCAGGGCACAAGCAGATTTATTGACAAAGTGAGAATTCATGGTTTCCAAAACATCGCTTTACGATGTGGTATGCTGTACACGTTCCAAAGTTGAACTTAAAGTAGCGAATAAAGATCCTTTATTTCCTAATCCTTCCTCTCAATCTAACCTGCTCTCCTCCCGGCTTCTAAATGGGCAACCGCTATCAGCGTTGGCGAATTGGGAGCTCCAATGTGAAAGTGAACGGAACATTTTCTTTACTAATATTCCTACTTTGTGCCATATTCTGAAACGTGTTCGAAGCCGTAGAATAGTCGGTAGACTTGCCTCTGTTGACTCGATAGGAACCATTACTTCGCAAGGTTCTTCGCTTGTTCTGCAAAGATTAGAGACGATTCAGACAAGGAGCAGGGTAAGATTATTACTTACCATCATTCTCTTGGGAGTCATGAAAACCCTCGGGTAGAGTTTTTGGAAAGTTTGTTGAGTTCTAGTAGTGTTTGTCTGTTCAAAGGCTTAGTTGACAATTCCAACATCCTTTTCCATAAAGCACTTACCGGCAAGATTTCGGGCTCTGGAAAGACAGCCAAACCTTCTGTGTCTCCTCTCGAGAGTTCTGAGCTCGAACAGTACTCGTCCCATATGACTGTTAGAATAGGGTGCAAGACGAGAGCATCTGAGCTTACCAATGACATCAAGCCAGCTTTCATAAGTTGCGCCCCATACAAAATCCACCAACACGCCATATCTGATGCTTGTCGCCTAGCTCTGACCTTATTACTCGAAGATATCGGAGTAACAAACCGCTTTTGCAATACTCGAACCTCGGCGTACCATCGCGCAGATCCATCAGCATTAGCGCAGTCCCTGACTTTGAGATATACTGGTTTGCTTTGCCGATTTGCCCAAAGCGTGAGGAATTGGGTAGGATGTTTGCTTCCAAGAAATCCTTCACAGCAGCGCTTCTTATGTGGGCGATGATCGATGCGCTCTCGGGTGCTGTCCAATGCGCAATTCAGTTCTTGACTTCTTCGCTTGAGATGTCTGCGAGCAGCTGAAGCCGGAGCATTGAAAGCGCAATCTGTGAGTGACATCTTGGACATTGTGGTTGAGTTTTCGATGCCTTGTAGATTCGTAAACGTTTGCGTAATGAAGTATTTAGAGTTGAGAGAATTGCGTGGATTTCATTCATGAGGAATTGGGAGACATGAATAGCGGTCATCGCCAGTACCACTTAAAGCAGACTAGTGCGCAATAGGCGACTGCCCCTATTCCAACCTCCAAAAAATGGTGGTATTCAATCTTCAGTTGCAAGTATGTTAGACAAGAATTAGACAGGCAATTTTGTTCATGATGGAATTCAATGCGCTGAATAGGAATGACTTCCGGCTGGAATAATTCTCAATAGCATAACGCTCCCATCCTCTGCAACCTCTATTATTCCGCCCGAAGCCAAAGGTATCCGAGGAAGCATCGATCGACAACTTTCAGTTCGAGCTTGGAGGAGGAACAGAACCCTGTGGATGGGCGCAACCTGGTGATATGGAAGACATGTGAGAAGGATCATACTCATAAGAGACACTCGAGTTCCTAAAACGCAAGAATAGGCAACAATGAGCCCATTTCTGTTTATGGTACCTACGATCCTATACCAGAACATTCAGCAACTGTTCTCCCTTGTGCCATCTTTCAACATTCTCAGCTTGTTCCTCGTGCCACTGTCATTCGTCAGCATGAACCACCTCTCTCCTCTCCTATATATCAAAAAGAGAAGACAAAGAATGATGAGAACTCACAATTTGCATAGTCTCCTCCTCGACGTAGCCCATATGCGGACTCAACAACACCTTGCCTCTTCCCTCCTCACCCCACTTTACCGTCCTCCACTTACTATCCAACGGCAGCGGCTCAATATCAAAAACATCCAACGCCGCACCCCGAATATCTCCCTTCTCAAGAACCGCCATCAGCGCATCTTCATCGACCACTGGACCTCTGCTGGTGTTGACCAAAAGCGCACTCTTCTTCAACCAGCCCAGCTCCTCTTTTCCCACAATGCCTCTACTACGCTCAGAGAGCACATAATGAACAGACAACACATCCGCCTCCTTGAACAATTCCTCTTTGGAAACAACTTTAAAAGTTTTCTCTCCATCCTCATCTTCCACGTCCAAACCCAACTCTTTCGCCCTCTCATCAGCTTTCTCTTGCGTAAGACTCGAGCTCCAGCAAAGGATCCTCATCCCAAAGCTCTGATACATAATCTTTGCACAAGTACCCCCAAGTCTCCCAAGGCCCAGTGAGCTGAATGTCTTCCCAGAAAGCCCTGTGGCGAGACTAGTTTCCCATCCTTCTTCTTTTACCACCTTATCATCCCATGCGAGACCTCGAGCTAGGCCGAGGATCAGGGCAATGCAGTGTTGGGTGGTAGAATCTGGCCCTTTTCTCTTCTTCCCAGCTACTTTGGTACTATCACTCCTTCCAGTCCCTTTTGCTCCTGTCACGTGGATTCCTAGCTCTTTGCATGCTTCCATGTCAATGCCTCTATTCCGAAGTCCAGTCGTCGGCAAGAACTTCAAGTTTGGAAGCTGTTGCAACAACTCTTTTGAGAATAGTGTGCGCTCCCTCATCGAACAGATGACAGTGAATGGCTTAAGCCTAGCAACAAGTTCTTGCTTAGCATGATCAGGGGTGTCGGGGTGGTTGTATGGGAGTAGAGTATCACGAAAGATTGTTATATCGAAAGCAGGCTTGAGGCATTCAAAGTGCGGCGCCGCTATGCCTTGATAGTCGTCGAGGACAGCGAGCTTGATAGGACCTTGTGGAATTGGAGGCATGGTTGCTAATTGAAGTGATTGTGGCGGGTGAGGTGTGGTGATGTTGAAAGTAGGGCTTTTGAGATGGTGTACTAGGAGACTTGCTGAGAAGCTGATTGATGCGCTACAATACGAAACAAATATCTTTCACTCCTGAGTCGAATGATTTTCTTGCCAAGATACGAAGGAATTGACGGATATCCGTTGGAAGCCGATCTTGACAATCGTGGAGGAGCTGGTGCGGGGCAGCCGAACATCGGACTTGTTGAGCCTCATGAAGTACTTCGTCAGCAAGTGCACTCCACAATCAATAGAGGCAAAATGGTAGCGACAAAAGCCATGGAAGTTTCCTGTCACGAGTTGAAGGAAACACTATTCCGGTGGGGGGTAAACGGGAAAGAGATGGCCCGTCAATATCATTGGCGCGCATGAAAACTACTCTCATGTGGATCACAGCCATCGTCGGCTTAAGGTCCCCCGACTTTCACAAGCCCCGCCACGTCTCGAGCACGGCGGAGTGAGGTCGGGATACCTCCTCTCTATTCGTGGATTACCTTCACAAGTCTCGAGACGAGGGAAGGTTTTCCATCTTTGCTTTTGTCAATTGAGTTACTGTCGTGGAAGCCCGGATAATTCAATACGTTAGCACTTCTCAGCCAAGAGGTCAGTTGACTATTTTCTGCCACCTCGGACGCATTGCCAACTGTCCCACCTATTTATCCTTTGTGAAGACTCTTGATAAAACATTCTTTGACAGCTAGAGTTGACGAAATGACTCCCTCAGCAACAGAAATTCTGCCTGTTATGGCAAAGGTGTCAAAAGCCAATATTGGGGTGTATACAAATCCGGAGCATAAGTTGTGGGTTGGGGAGGCAGAGCCATCTGTCGAGAGCGTTGAGAAGGGCGATTCTCTGAAGCCAGGAGAAGTGACTGTTGGTATCAAAAGCACCGGTATTTGCGGGTGAGTAGAAAGCCGAGAGAAAATACTTATTCTGACGTTCCATAGATCAGATGTACATTTCTGGCACGCTGGTTGCATTGGCCCTATGATCGTTGAAGGCACGCACATTCTGGGACACGAATCTGCAGGAGTCATCTTAGCAGTCCACCCTTCAGTCGAACATCTCAAAGTCGGAGATCGAGTGGCTATCGAGCCTAACATCATCTGCAACGAATGCGAACCTTGCTTGACAGGCCGATACAACGGTTGTGAAAAAGTCCTCTTCCTCTCTACTCCTCCGGTCCCTGGACTACTTCGCAGATATGTCAATCACCCCGCCATTTGGTGCCACAAGATTGGAGATATGTCGTTTGAAGATGGCGCATGCTTGGAGCCGCTGAGCGTTTCGTTGGCAGCGATGCAGAGGTCTGGTGTCAAGCTTGGAGATCCAGTCTTGATCTGCGGTGCTGGTCCAATTGGTCTGATCACTCTGTTGTGTTGCCAGGCTGCCGGCGCTTGTCCGCTGGTGATTACAGACATTGACGAGGGAAGATTGGAGTTCGCAAAGAAACTAGTTCCAACCGTCACTATCTTCAAAGTGGAAAGAGAGTCTGCAGAAGCATCTGCCAAGAGAATTGTGGAGGCTTTTGGAGATATCGAGCCTGCTGTTGCGTTGGAGTGTACTGGAGTGGAAAGCAGTGTATCTGCTGCAATTTGGGCAGTGAAGTTCGGAGGAAAGGTATTCGTGATTGGAGTCGGGAAGAACGAGATGACCATGCCCTTCATGAGATTGAGTGTTCGAGAAATCGACCTACAATTTCAGTACAGATACTGCAACACATGGCCACGGGCAATTAGACTCGTGCAAAGCGGTATCATCGACATGAAGAAGCTGGTAACACATCGTTTCCAACTTGAAGACGCTATCAAGGCCTTCGAGACAGCTGCCAATCCAAAGACGGGGGCGATCAAGGTGCAGATAAAGAGTGAGGATTGAGGTTGTGCATAGGAGGCAACATTAGAGATGTGTTAATAGCATTTAGAATTGTCAATAATGCAATTGTACTTTCCAGTGATTTGATTGTTTGAAAAGAAATAAATACTGTATGTGAAGCTTGGACATTCAAGAGTTGTGCCTCAGGCCGCCGCAAGCTTCCAAAAACTCCCGAGCCACCGAAAAAGTTGAATGCTTTCGCGCGATTTCATCCATCACCAATTGCAGGCCCACCACTCGTTCTCGAACCTCGAGAATTGTTTCCTTGATCTCGTTGGGCGCGCATTCTCCTCTCATCATGTCGATGGCCGTGTCTCGTGCCGTCTTACGGCGCTCTGCGAAGCTCCCTTTCGGACGAACACCTGCACGATTTGAGTCGACAGCTAGCAAGGCCAGTGAAGCTGCGAAAGATACCGCATCAAAGGCATCTGAGAAGGCGTCGGATTTCCAGAGCAGAGCTTCAGAAGGTCTTTCGAGGGTCAGCTCTGCCGCTGGACCGGCTATCAGTGGAGCTGCGAAGGGGTTGAGCAATGCTCTCGGAAGAGTTGGAGGCAGAACCGGAAGATTAATTGCTTTCGTTGAGCGTGAGTAGCATCTGGGACGACTCAATCGTTGAGATATTGAAGGCAAGATGGCTCAATGGCTGACGTTGAATGAATAGGACAAATCCCTCCCACCATTTACTACGCGCGGGTTGGATTGGAGCTATCAAAGATCGTTTTCCAGGGCCAGAAGATGACACCTCCGTAAGCTGGATCTATACGGGTAACATTAGAGATTGAAAACTGACCCTTCGTCTAGTCCTGTCTCTACCTTCCAATCATACTTCCAGCGTCTTGTCAAGAGCTTCCGAAATCCAAGTGCTCTCCTCAACTCAACGCCGAATGCTACCCCCTCCAACGCTCTACAATCCTTTCGAAACATCAACACAGCTCAATTGGTATCTGGAGCCGTCATCGTAGCTGAAGTCCTAGGATTTTTCACTGTTGGCGAAATGATTGGCAGAATGAAGTTGGTTGGATACCGAGGCGAGCACCATTAGACCAAATAGGAATCGGATGGGACAGAGCTGGGTGGAGTGTTTACTGGGAGGTTTGGGCGGGAGGCAGAATGTAGAGCATTTCTATCCGTAGCGAGAGAGCTATGGATATTTGATGCTCTATGTTGCATTGCACATATCCTGCAACACTTTTTTTTTGTATGTCTGTACATCACACATCATAAACAGCATAATGGAGGGTTACACTATGCCTGCTTAGAGAGGAGGGTTTTCAAAAGCCATGCTTTTCCATGTTACTTGCAAGTTGTGATGAAGTACAAAGCAGTCACTACCTACTCGAACAATCTGCATTGGGTGTAATGCCACAGCTTCTGGTATTTTCCAGCGCTCTCAATTGCTTATCACCCATTTGAACTTCACTAGGGATCGATTCTCCGAATCTTGGACATTCTCTGAGGCAGAAGTACAAATACCAGATATCATGTCATTGGTTTGAATTCAGCCACACACAAAAAACAGCCACACTCAGAAGAACACTTCTTTGAAGATAACCGGTATAGACCTCGAATTTTTATACGCCTCAAGAGCCTCCTGATAATGCTCGAAGTCTTTACGTTTTGCGAAGAAAATGTTACACTGTTCCTAAACAGGTTCGAACCGAGGGGAAATGCTGCGAGGTCTGACCCAGTCACAGCACTGAGCTTCCCCCATTTTCGACGAATCACCAAATTTCTAGCGTCCACTCTCGAGCTCATTAGCCCCGCCAGCCACAAGATTTGGCTCATTGTAACGTGCCACCGACTCCGCACCAACTCCCTGTGTGTATGTAATAATTCTCTACGTATAATTCAGGTACGAGTATTTGAGTGACATCATGCCGGCTAATGTACGTATTTGCATCTGTGCCTTCGGAGCCCAGCAGTAACCATTTACGGCAACTTCCTGGTACTCTGAACGCGGGGAAGATTGACAAAGAGGGGCCTTTAACTCTCGACTTATAAGATCGAGACGAGGGGATAATGGCGTTCCCTCAGTCTCCTCTTCTCAACCTCAATGTTTCCTCTCTCTTCAATACCGCTGCTATGAAGTTATCATCCTACTTCCCGCTTTCATCACTATCATCCGCGTTACTAATTGGGACGGCGATTTCTCAAAGTGCGAGTGTATTGGATCTCAGTACAGCGAAATGGACATTATCGAGTCCTCAAAACGAAAGCATTAAGGTTTCCGGAAGTGTGCCGAGTCAGTCGCACTTGGATTTGTATGCTGCAGGGGTTATTCCTGATCCATATTACGGATTAGGAGACTTCGACTTGAGATGGGTGACTTATTTGAATTGGACATATGAGGCGGATTTGAGTGGACTGTGAGTTGTTTTCCCCTTGAAACTTCATTATCATTATGCACTTGTTGGTATGCAACGACATGAGCATGGCAGATTTACATGTCATTGAGACGAGAGGTCAACTCGCATTTCCGAGCTTCCAGATTTTGCCGCGAGGTTTAGTGACTGATTTTACCTGTCACTACTCTCCCATACAAGACTTCCTCTAAACAACAAAACTCTACCCTCACATTTCAAATGCTGACTGAGCACAGAGACACGAGCAACGGACTGTCAACATGGCTACTATTCAATGGCTTAGATACTTTCACGTCAATCTCACTTTGTGGGCAACATGTAGCATCCACCAATAACCAGTTCCGGCAATACTATTTTGACGTCTCCAGCATACTGAGCTCCTGCTCCAGTTCTCCATCACTCAGTATTAACTTCGGCTCATCGGTAAACATCACAGCTGACATCGCCAACGAGCCTGGTCAAGAAAAATGGCCATTCGCGGTCGAAGGTCTCTTCGAATTCCCAAATCGGCAATTCATGCGGAAAGAGCAGAGTGATTTTGGTTGGGACTGGGGTCCAGCTTTTGCTCCTGCTGGAATATGGCAGCCCGCCTATGTTGTTCAGTTGCCGTCTTCTAGCATCTACGTTCGGAATACGCTGCTCGACATATATCGAGAAGGCCAGCTGAACAACCTTCCCCCAGATCAAAGTGCTCCTTGGATAGTCAATGCCAGTCTAGATATCTTGGGAACTGTACCAAGCACTGCATCGATGAGCATCGAGATCATGGATATAGACAACACAACTGTCGCGAGTGGATCTCTAGAGAACATCCTGATTTCAGATTCGACTATTACTGGAAGTGTTACAGTTGACGGAGAAACTTGCCAATTATGGTGGCCAAATGGTCTCGGGGCTCAGAACCTCTACTACTTCAAGATTACTGTCACAGACGGAGAACAGATCCTTGCGTCGGTGACAAAGAGAAGTGGGTTCAGAACGATCGTTTTGAACATGACACCAATTTCTTCTGCTCAACTTGCACAGGGAATTGCTCCTGGTAACAATTGGCACTTTGAGATCAACGGTCATGAGTTCTATGCCAAGGGCTCAAACTTCATTCCTCCGGATGCTTTCTGGCCCAGAGTTACAGAAACGAAGATGCGGCAGTTGTTTGAATCTGTCGTGGATGGCAATCAAAACATGTTGCGTGTTTGGGCAAGTGGAGCATATTCTCCAGACTTCCTTTACGATATCGCAGATGAGATGGGTATTCTGCTTTGGAGTGAGTTCGAATTTGGAGATGCTTTGTATCCAGTCAACGAAGAATTCCTGGAGAACGTCCGTGAAGAGGCCAATTACAACGTCCGGAGAGTCAATCATCATCCCTCTTTGGCACTTTGGGCAGGCGGCAACGAGCTGGAAAATTTAGAGTTGCCAGAAGCAGAATACTATGACCCAGGAAACGACAAGTGGCGTCAAGAATACGAACAGCTTTTTCTCGACGTCCTTCTCCCGTCTGTCTATGGGAACACCAAATCAATCTCCTACATACCCAGCAGCACCACAAACGGGTACCTGGTCCTCAACTTCTCCCTTCCAATACCGATGATCGAACGCTACAACAACGCCACGCCTGGATCAATCTATGGTGATACTGATCACTATGACTATGTCTCTTCAGTCGCGTTCAACCTCTCGTCCTATCCCGTAGGTCGATTCGCCAATGAGTTCGGCTTTCATTCCATGCCAAGCTTGCAGACATGGCAACAAGCCGTTGACCCTGACGAGCTATACTTCAACAGCAGCACAATCGTGTTACGAAACCACCACTACCCCGCAGGTGGCACTTTCACAGATAACTACCGCAACTCGTCATTAGGAATGGGCGAGATGACAGTAGCTGTGGATCAATATTACCCAGCTCCGAACCATGCCGACTCTTTGCAGAACTTCTCAGCTTGGTGCCACACCACGCAAATCTTCCAGGCTGATTTCTATCGTTCACAGATCACGTACTACCGTCGCGGTTCAGGCTTCAGAGAACGACAATTGGGAAGCTTGTACTGGCAGCTCGAGGACATCTGGCAAGCTCCTACATGGGCCGGCATTGAGTATGATGGGAGATGGAAAGTGCTTCATTATGTGGCAAAGGATATTTATCAGCCTGTCATCATCGCTAGCTATTGGAACTACACAACAGGAGATCTCACTGCGTACGTTACTTCCGATCTTTGGACCGGAGCAAGCGGTACTGCATCACTAGAGTGGTATGGATATGATGGCTCATCGTTGGCTCCAAAAGTCGATATCCCATTCACTGTTGGAGCATTGAATACAACCATGGTCTATGAGGTTAATACGAATTACATACCTTACAACTTGACGAACGCTTTTCTGAAGATGAACATCACGACTGCTGGAACGCCTGTCAATACCAACGATACTCAAGTCTACAAGCACGAGTACTACTTCCACGCCCTCGATCTGTCTCAAGTCAAGCTCCAAGATCCGGGTTTGGTTCTGTCATACGATGAAGGAAGTGGAAATTTCACAGTCGAAGCAACCACTGGGGTGGCGGCCTGGGTCTGGCTCGATATTCCAGCTGGCACATTGGCGAATTTCGACAGCAACGCTTTCTGGCTTTCGCCATCAGATGGAAAGAAAGAGATTGGAGTGACCGTCAAGAATGATACCAGTGCTGGGAAGTGGGTGGAAGGTGTGACGGTGTCCAGTCTTTGGAACAACACTCTGGCCTGATAAACTCATTAGCAGGGGCCAGACATTATGGAATTTAAAAGTAGCATTCTCATTTTGGTAGTCATGACTAATGATGAGTGATTCAATCTACCCAAAGCTACAAGTGGAGCGTGAGACATTGAATATTCATAATTCATGCACTTTCAAAGTTCTCAAATTCAAACATTCTCCTTGGGCAATTGCTTGTTAAGTCATGTTTACAACTCCGTGCTTAACATAAGGTCTTACAATCTCTTACCCTCGTTGTCATATCAGCTTCGAGGACATCCAAACCTCAAACCCTATATCGTGTCTTAAAATCCATTGAAAACTCCTTCATGAAACGGCAGCAATGCTAAGGGTTGACAACAACCCGTTGATTGTGCAATTCACAATAGAACGACAACTACAAGTGATCAACAACAACAACATCAATCTTGACAGCAACCATCTTCCAGTCTTCAAATTTGTCTTCCAAAAGTCCTTCTATATAACACCATAACATTACCCATCTCCTCAATTGAAGCCCACACCGCAGTTGCTCCCGGCTCACTCTGACTCTAGCAGCAGTGTTCTCTTTCTGACTAAAGAAAGAAAAGGTACTGCTGAGAACGCGGCGCTGGGGCTTTATACCCCATCAGGCCGCGAGGCTGCAGCCTGATCTGTTTAGCTCTATATTCACTCAATCCGAACGATTCTCGATGGTAGGACGTCTTAGTTGAGGAAAGCGCTTTACTTTGTTTGTCATGTCGCTGCAGCGCTGATCTCTTCGGACTGATGCTTCACTTAACTTGAAGCAGACCATCCTTTACGCCTAAACCTAGCCTGAGGCTTTGTCTAACGTTAGGGCTTTACCTCGTTACACCTAATGGTACA